GTGAAGAATGCATCTATGGCAAGGCATGCAGGGCAAAGTTTGGCAAGGGAATTCATAGATCAGAGGCTATTTTGGATTATGTCCATACTGATCTCTGGGGTCCAGCAAAAGTGCCTTCTCATGGTGGCAGCAGGTATTATATGAGCATAGTGGATGACTACTCAAGAAGACTATGGGTCTATCTGCTCAAACAAAAGAATGAGGCTTTGGATTCTTTCAAGACCTGGAAGACCCTGGTTGAGACTCAGACTGGAAAGAAAGTGAAGAAGCTAAGGTCTGATAATGGCTTAGAATTTTGCTCAAAACAGTTTGATAGCTTATGCAGATTAAGTGGCATTCAAAGGCATCATACAGTTGCCAACACTCCTCAACAGAATGGTCTTGCAGAGAGATTTAACAAGACTATCATGGAGAGGGTGAGATGCCTTCTGATACACGCCAAGCTTCCAAAGGCTTTCTGGGCAGAAGCTATCAAGACTGCAACTTATCTAATCAATAGGTGTCCTTCTACAGCCATTAAGTTGAAGACTCCTATGCAGATGTGGTCTAATCATGAAACAGACTATAGCAAACTCAAGGTCTTTGGGTGTACTGCTTATGTGCACACCAAGCAAGGTAAGCTTGACCCTAGAGCCTTGAAATGTGTTTTCATAGGCTATCCAGATGGGGTAAAGGGGTACAGGCTATGGTGTCTTGAAACTGGGCACAGAAAGTTCATCATCAGCAGAGATGTGACTTTCAGGGAAGATGATTTCTGTAATAGAAAAACCCCTGGAGATCTTGACAGCCTTGCAGAGGAAGATGAAGCAAGCTCAGAGCACACTGCTCAGGTGGAGATCTCTACTGAGACTGCCACCCTACCTGTCAATGATCATGCTGAAGAAGCTATTGAAGATCATCTACAACACCCTGAGGGAGCTAAGGTGGACCAGCATGATGAAGCTGCAGATCAACCTCAAGATGTTGAAGCTCATCCTGATGAAATTGAAGATCAGGTGAATGATGAGAGTGCAGGCAATCCATCTGACTACAATCATGTGAGAGATAGAGCAAGAAGTACTCACAAACCAACTCAGAGGTTCGGTTATGACCTCACAGCCTTTGCCTTGTTGGTTGGGTCAGAGCTGCTTGAAGATGAACCAAGAACTTTCAAGCAAGCTTGTCTTAGTGAAAAGAGAGATCAGTGGCGATCAGCTATGTTAGAGGAGCTAAAGTCTTTGAAAGAGAATGAAACCTGGACTGTTGTTGATAAACCAGCAAGCAAGAAGATTGTTGGCTCGAGATGGATATTCAAACTCAAGGAGTGGATTCCTGGAGTTGAAAAGCCACGTTATAAAGCCAGGCTTGTGGCAAAAGGTTTTTCACAGCAGGAAGGTATTGATTACAACAAAATCTACTTGCCTGTGGTCAAACACAGGTCAATCCGTATCATTCTCTCTATGGTTGCCATTTTTTATTTAGAACTGGAACAAATGGATGTTAAAACTGCTTTCTTGTATGGAGATCTGGATGAGACTATCTATATGGAACAGCCTGAAGGTTTTGAGGTTGGAGACAAGACTGAGAAAGTTTGTTTGTTGCATAAGTCTCTCTACGGCCTCAAACAGTCACCTCGACAATGTTACCTCAAATTTGACACTTTCATGATTCAAAATGGTTTTGTGAGAAGCCAGTATGATTGGTGCGTGTACTTCAAGGATCTCAAGGCAGTTGGTTTCATCTATCTACTCTTGTATGTGGATGATATGTTGATTGTGAACAAGGAACAGTCAGAGATTCAAAAACTGAAAACTCTCCTCAGTAAACGTTTCCAGATGAAGGATCTTGGCCCTGCTAAGGTGATCCTAGGAATGGAAATTGAGAGAGACAGGACTCAACGGAGGCTTGGGCTTTTTTCAGAAGAAATATCTTACCAAAGTGCTAGAAAGGTTTGATATGAGTGAAGCCAAGACAGTGAACACTCCCATAGCTCATCACTTCAAGCTATCAGTGAGTCAATGCCCTGAAACTGATGAAGACAAAAGGTACATGCTCACTGTACCTTATGCCAGCGCAGTAGGGAGCCTGATGTATTCCATGATATGTTCAAGACCAGACATAGGATATGCTATAAGTCTTGTTAGCAGATTTATGAGCAATCCTGGAAAGGCTCACTGGCAAGCTGTGAAATGGGTGCTGAGATACATTAGAGGGTCACATGATACTGGCATTATCTATGGCTGCAACAACAGATCCTCAGAATTTCAGGGTTTTGTAGACTCAGACTATGCCGGGAGTCTAGACACCAGAAGATCTCTCACAGGATATCTGTTTACCATTGGAGGTGGTGTGATAAGTTGGAAGAGTAATCTCCAGCCAGTGGTCACTCTATCAACTACTGAAGCTGAGTATATTGCTGTCACAGAGGCAGTGAAGGAAGCAATCTGGCTGAAGGGTCTTGTAACTGAGCTTGGATTCAATCAGAAGCAAGTTACAATTCACTGTGACAATCACTCAGCTATTCACTTGTCAAAGCATCAAGTGTTTCACGACAAGTCAAAACACATTGACATGAAGATGCACTTTGTGAGGGACATCATCAACTCAGGTGGAGTAAGCATAGAGAAGATCAGCACTGAGTATAATCCATCGGACATGCTCACGAAATCAGTTCCAGGACACAAGTTCGCTCATTGTCTAGGGCTGATAAACATGAGGAAGAAGATGAAGAAGACTGGTCCTTAGGGATCAGGAGAAGAAGATCACTTCACTAGATGAAGGTGTGTTCGACTGAGGTGGAGAATTGTTATAAGGTCAGTCTCAAGGCTTCATCAATAGGCTCGAGTGCAGGATTCTGCAGATGAGTTCAACCGTTGGATCATACCAGGCGATTGCTTGCGCAGGAAGCTATCAACGGCTGAGATCAACAGTTATGTTTTGTGTAGTTTTTCTTTATAAATAGAGGAGAATGAAGGTAGGGATCAATGTAACTTCATTCTCATTTTCAGTTTTAGAACAAACACTTGGGGAAACACTTTTGAGAGACAAATTGTAAGGGAAACACAATTTGGGGAAAAGTGAGTAGGAGTGTGTAATCTGAGAAACCTAATAGTGATTTGATCTTCGTTGCTGGATGTAGGCATATGGCCGAACCAGGGTATATAGTGTGTTCACTGTTATTCCACATTTTGATTTGATTGCGCGTTAGATCCTGGTTAGCGTATTGAGAAACCTAATAGTGATTTGATCTTCGTTGCTGGATGTAGGCACATGGCCGAACCAAGGTATATAGTGTGTTCACTGTTATTCCGCATTTTGATTTGATTGCGCGTTAGATCTGGTTAGCGTATTGGTCAAGTTACGTCTTTGTTCTTGATTCATTACCGAGGTTTTCACTACAATATTGACCCGTAGTATCACGACGGTGCTATTAGGACTACGGTCTAATTTACTGCATCCTCTTTGCTGTTTAACGTCCCTTCTTCACTTCTGCCCTTCCTTCATCCGAATGTTTTGAGATCTTCCCCGTTGTTCGCCATGATGCCACGGTCCACAGCCATTCGTCCCTGAGTCACGTTCTCGAGAATGTGAGAGAGCTCTTAGACGAGCTCTCTCGCATTGCAATCGACTCAGAGCATGGAGTCGTCGGTCGCGCTTGAACGATCTTGTCATCTCGCAGTTCCAGTAGCTGCGCTGAATGGTACTTTGAAACTGATTCTGAGTTTTTGGTGGCCGAGGAAGGTACGAACTCTTAATTTGAAATCGAGCAAGTCTCGTCGTAGAAAGAGAACCCTCTGTAAAGCTCAGCGAGTCGTCGAATGAATCGAGCTGGAGGAAGGTTTCGTACCACGGAATGAAGAAGATACGGAATGATGTGCGTGGTTTCGCGAAGGTGTTTTTTTGGCTGCAAAACCATCACATTGTGAACTCAAATTCGAGGACTCGCAAGTATGTGCGGACTGCAATCAATCGCGCGAGGTAGCAGGTGTGGCGCATCGAGCCATACGGGATTCTTGATTCGGTGTTTACGAGTCTAATTTGATGGATTGTGTTCTGGATGTCTCATCATGTAACTCCGTCACCGCCGGTGATGGCTGGTGGGGCTGGGCTGGGCTGGGCTGGGTATGGAATAAGTATCCACAAGCTAACGCTCGTCCTGCGATGGATGTACGAAGATTCTTCTCATTACCGACCAGAATGCACATAGTGCGCTTCAAATGTGATATGGCCCGAGGCCCGCTAAACAGTAGTCAGATTCCCATCTCCTCTACCAAAGTGTTGAGTGTGCTCACTGTGTCTCTATCTCGAAATTCACCGGGCAGTACACAGTGTCACGAATTGACACAATGTCACTGACTCCCTGCATTCGGCTTCCTCTTGTGAGATCCACGTCCCCACTTGCCTCATGAAATAGTGATATTAAAATGTCCGAGAAAGCCGACCTCGCGTGAGACGAGTAATTAAATTTAGTAATATACCTGTTCTTTATGTCGAGGCACAGTTGCATTCGGGTGGTGATGTGAAACTCAATTCGATGTCAAGGGGACAGAATTGAAACCGAGAAGAAGCAATCTAAGCGAGTTAAAGAGAAGCCATAGTAAAGAATCTAATCTACTATCGTGAAATAAATGCGCGATATTGTCGGTTCTGCACATTCAAGATAGCAAAACTCGCGAGCTAGGTCTGCGCCAGTGTAAACAATGGTGATTCTAGTCGTCTTAGGATTCCACTAGGTGTTTGCCAGATCACGCTGCTATCGATGAGGGCGGGTTCCAAGCAATGTGTTTTCCTCGGATGCTGGAGGACGAGGTGACAGTCGATTGATGTGCGTAAGCAAGCCTGATTAAAATACGTATAGGGATCTCGAGCTCGAGGAGAAATGAGTTGCGCATTTTCCTCAATGGCAACAAATGTCACTCTGGTCAATCTAATGATTTTTTACAGGTATCAGATGCAAGCCAATTCTGCGGGAGGGAGAATCTCAGAGACCTATAAAGCCAACCGAGTGATGGTAGTAGAGCAATCAAACACACCGGAGTATTCCAGAAGTGCGCTCTGCAGTAGCAGCTCCGGATAGGAAACTATCTAGAAATTTGCAGAGCGCACTGTCTAGATCTCCGATCGAGTTGGATTGGTTGTAGTTGCATCTAATTCGTCAGGTCGGGTACGTTGCAATTCACAGCTAGCAAACCGGAATCCAATTTGACCATCTTACCCGCGAGAAGCTCAAGCTCTTATCGACAGAGTATTGAGGAGTTCCCTCGGGTGAAACAGAATCAGCGAGGATGGAGATTGGAAGTAGCAGCGAGAGCAGAGCCCCGATCGATGTCACAAGATCCTTGATCTTAGTCATAGCTTTGTGTACAACACTCTTCATGGTCACAGACTGTAAGCTGAATATTTCTCTCTCCAGTCCATTTTTTCTTGGCAATGTGCATGTTTAGCTAATTGGCACTAGCTCGAAGTCCAAAGGATTTTGAGTGATTGCAGCTGATTTCTGCACTTTTAGATAACTCGCTTCGATCTAGAATGGTTTAGTGATAGCCTCCAATTTTAGATCAGTGGCTCATTTAACGACAAAGGGGATGTCTCGGCTCCGATTTTGCTCACTCACAAATAGATGTGGAGCATTCTCATAGTATAAGTACAAGATGTTACCCAGCAGCTGAATTCCGTGAGAAACTGGAAAATGATCAAAGGTTTTATGATTGTGTCTTGACTAATCTTCGTTGTGTCGACGTACATTTCTTTCAGATGCTACGATGGCAGCCAAGTTCTGCTACGAGGTGTATTCAGTGGTCACAATTGAACGTAGGTAAAATTTAGGTTGGCTGCACCAGTTTGAGTGGAATGGCCTATACCAATCCTGCAGATAACGACAGTATTGCACACAATGTTCCACTTCTTGAGGGCGTTCCATATTCCAAGATTGTTAGTATGCGAAGGACCCCATGAGAAAGAAGCCGGTATAATGAATGCGCATTGCATCTCCACTATTTACATTCTTCTCCAAATTGAATCAGGTATCTAGCATGACAGAGTTTAACTCGTTTGCTGATAGTCTGAGTACAAGCTACTTCTAGAAATTCTTCCGCCTGATTCCGTCACTTAGGACCATTGTATTATCTGAGTATTATGGATTAAAAAAATATATCGGCTGTCGAACAATATCGAATCTGTATGCTTGACTATGTCACTGAATCTTTTGCTTCTCCTTCAAAGCTTGTTCACAAGTACGTCGTACGATGCCTTTTGCTGACCAGAGCGTAAATGAAGTTACCTACATCTGTATATGTGGATACGAGAGGAAATTCTGAATATATGGACATATCCTCGCCGGTAACTAACATCATATCCACTGAGTCGATCCAATGTCGTATTATTGCATTGTAGTTCACATCATCTCACAGAACTATGTCTCATCACTAGAGTACCTAATAAATTGTTGTAGCTGAACTTCGATCATTGAGCTTTCACCAGTTAGAAGACAGATTTATTGTTTCTCCCTGGCACATTTTAACCGGTCTGTACTGCAGTCCTCGCACTTCAGGGAAATTTGCAGTGAACCAATAAGTGTTGGTATTGTTGTGAAGGATTACATACCTTCGACTGGTACATCAATCTGTGGACAGTCCAAGGCCGACATTCGTAGGATGTAACTGATATAGTGATGTTATTTCCTGCACTATTGTGCACTAGTCTTAAAGTGTTTAGAAGAAATTTGGCCATGAATCATCGAAGGTCACACTGTCGACGATAACCGCAGACCTGAATGGAAAGAAAATGGTCAATGATGTCAATCTGAGAGTGTCTTTTTCTGGAAGTATTCGACATGCTTATGAAAGAACAGCAGTTGGAGTACTCTGTCTATATTTCCTCAAGCAATTTTTGAGTCTTTTACACTCCAGGGGCTTGCTTTCTCCTCCGTGTGTATTTTGGTATTTTGATTTCCATTGCATTCAATTATCGCCTCGTGATCATTTCCAACGTCACGGTCCCCCGACATATGTATCCCATACTTAGTTTATGGGAAAAATGTCTGCAAGGTCTTCTGACAGATGCAACTTACAATGCAAGCTCGAGCGGCATCGCTTGGGATGGTGCCAGGGTGCGACGGATCTTGAGGTGTAGTTTCTTACACCTAGCGTTGTTTTGTCTAGAAATGAGCTATCTCATCTTAATGTCAGACATTGTAACAGGTCTCGGGAATTTTAATCTTTTGTGGGCGGAACATTGTTCTACACATCGATCCTCTTATTCAGAAGTTGAATCAAGCAGATGACAAGGGTTCCATGACGCTCAAGTTTTCTGCTGCAGGCTGTGGCGACACGGAATCTTCACAATGGATCTTCAGAGTTCTATGGACACCACAAGGAACTAAACCCAACGATGCTGCTTCATGGTCTTGACAACTGCAACATTGAAAGTTGGCAAAACGTATGGTAAGCATCTCCATCGCCGAGCTGAACAAGCTCACATAAACACAGGAATTAATGGCTACTGCGTGTAAGGCGAGCGGGGCAGACCAAGCTTAAGCAAGGTGAGTCATTTACGAGTTACTTCTTATAAGGCTCTGTGTCAAAGTTCACAAATCTGTTAATCCAGTTTTCTGTTACAAGAGAAGTAATCAGCTGACGTCTTGTCCCTGCGTGACTCCGAGTTGTTGAAACTTGATTGAAAGGAAAACGGCCGCAGTGACGGAGAAGACCTCTCAGCGGAGCTTGATTGAGTCAATTTCCGGCATTCTGTACGTATTCGTATCATCGAGGCGTTAGCACGTAAGTCGCAATCGCTGATAAGAATCGTCAGCAAGGTTTTGACAGAGGACGCAAAATACCTCGACGCCGCCGTGAAGTTTCAAGATCTTTGTGAGTCACTTGGAAAAGGGAGTTGGAATTTCTCCACATTCGAGTATTGCTGAGTATTTTACTCAGCCATACCATCATACCATCTTTTTTTTTATCTTAGTCTTTTTTATTAATGTTGATTTATCAAATCCTTAGCATTCATATAATATTATTTGGGGGAGCCAAGGTATTCATCCAGAAATGATCTATTCCGAAGGTTTTCAGGAGGGTTCTAGGAGGGTCTCATTCTTCGCCTCATCTGCAGATTAGATTAAGCTTATGATTTTTTATATTTGCAGTTTGGCAGGAATGTTCGTAGCTCTTCACAACTATTTCAACGTAGCGGAAGGAGGGTGCAGGAGATGTCACAACAAGCTCACATGTTGTGAAATTAACGGAATGACCGTGTGACAAGGTAGTTTGGGGGTCGAACTAACTTGCACAATACTCAAAATGGACGTCACAAAGAGTTCCAACCCGTTCATGCCAACTATCTCAGACGCTCATTATTATTATTATTATCATTATTATTGTAGAATGAATTGCGATTAGTATTTGCACGTACTATCAGGACTGAGCATTAGCAGCTGGCTAATCTGCATAATAAGTTCCATTTCCTTCCGTGGACCTCCCTTAATTTTTCAACGAACAGTTGAGATATACAATTTTTTCGAACATTGCAAACTTCTGTTTCCTGGTTAATTCCCCGTACTTGTGCCAATTTCGTCGGCAGCGTCCCGAAGGTTAGTACATTTTGTTATGCACCATACCTTTGGAGAGGCTTAAGCAGAACCTCATATGTAAGAGGTCGAAGGAACGTCCGAGGCAGTCAGTCAGTCAGTCAGTGGGTCCGTGGAGAATTGTCGATTGCGTTACCGATTGAGTGGGGGGCTGCCGCTCGATGTAGTGGCCTGTTCAAGTCGGGAGCTAAGTTGAGTCCAGGATTGTGTTCAGACAAACTTACCCCGGACGACGATGATGTCGTGGCGTCTCGACACGGTTCGTTGAAATTATGGTTTCGGACGGAGGACTTTGAATTGCTGCCGGCGTTAATGTCCTCGACGTATCAGAAATGCAAGCAGAGCTGATTCTTACTCTCTTGGGTTTCATCTTACCTCGACAGGTCAGGGCCCTAGACCTTATGCAGATCCTTTGCTTGGAATTGATAGCAATGGATCTGCGTTGATCATCGATTTAGAGCGGGATAATCTGGGCGTGCACGCTCAGCTCAGCAAGAATCTGGTGACAACTCATTGCGAGGTCACTGAGTTCGGCTAGAGTCCGATCATCTTGGCGATGGATGGGCATGGGAATCGACGAGAATTGAGTAGGAATGCGGCGAAGGTTCAAGGTCACGTTTTGAAGAAGCAGTAGTCATCTTTACCGAGAAAGATCCAGTTCTCGTCGTGCGGATTTCGCAGGTAGAGATAGGAATCGGCGTAGCTAAGGGTGTTATTCTCACCATACCCAGCGCGCACAAGCAAGTCCGAAGGCCGCACGGGCATGCCATCGTCCCACCAGTACACGTACCAGACGAAGGGGAAATGGACGCCTCTGTTGATGATCAGGTCCCCTCGACGAGGATCGAACCGATGGTCCACGCGGTGGAGGCCTTTGGCCCGCGGGTCGGTGAATCGGTAATCGCAAGCGTACAGCGTCTGCGAGATCTGCCTGGCGACAAGGAACATCTGGTCCTTCCTGTACTGGAAGACCCGAACCTGAGTGGACTGATTAAAGCGCCACCTCCGATCATACGTCCCGAAGCGGATGACGACGTCCCCCGTCTCGAAGGCGCAGGACGGCACGCGCCTACCCACGAACGCGTTTCGCTCGTTCGGTTCGTCGGTGTAGATCTCCAGCTTGCCGTCGAAGCCGGGCCAGGGGATTTCGTACCTACAGCTTCGGAGGATCAGAATGTCCCCCGGCATCGGAGCCCAGTTATCCTCGACGGGTTCCCCGACGTCGATATGCATATCTTCGATCTCGGGGGCAGAGGTTTCATCCATTTGCCGCGGCCGTGATTCCGGTGACGAGTTCATTGCACGTTGGATTCGATTATAAATCTCCACAGAACGGCGAATCGCGTCGCTCGTTTCTCCTTCGGGCTCGCAAACTGTGTTCCCGGGCCGGGGGGGGCGCAACTGAACCCCGTCGTGCTCCTGGCTGACGACCTCGATGACCGGAATGGGATTCGGGTTCAGCCCGCGCGGGGGGCTGTCCGGGCCGTGGATCTCACACTCGTATTCCGAACTCGGTCCGACCCGGTCTCCCGTGTTGCTGAAACAAACGAGTTCCGTCTCCTGCCGGTCGTCCCGCTGGAGGTTCCTGTTCGAGCCGTACTGGTTACTGGCACCGAGGTCCTGCGCCGCTTTCCAGTCGGGGTCGTCCTCTATGGGATCGTCCTCCGAGAACGGGTCGAACTGCGTTCCCCACTGCTCCTCGGACCCGAGCTCATACAACTCGTCCCAGAGAGGGTCATCGTAGCCCTCTAGATGGTCGCCCGTGAATTCAGGAGCGGGCGGTTCGTCCTCGAAGCTCTCACCCGCATAACCTCCACGGCCCGAGATCGGCCACGGAAGCTGGAGGGCTTCCTCGTCCTCGTCATTGGGGACCCGCTCCGGCATTCCCTGCGGATAGATGACGGGGGTGGGGAACTGCCGGATGGTGGAGGCCTGCACGTGGATGTGACGTCGCGCTTGGCGCCCCCGGCAGGCGTAGCCAGGCGGGCGTCTGGACGGCGGGCCCTCCAGGTCAGCCTCAAACGGGTCGAACGAAACCTTCCCGGTGTTGGGTTCGTTATTGTAAGCGTCCAGCAGGACCAAGGCGCACCTGCAGTCGGGGGTGTTGAGGAAACAACGCGCGACGTCGCCATCCGGCGGCGAGCCAATCTCGAACATATTGCCGTAAAACGTAGAGTCGTCGTAATCTATATCCCCGTAGACAGCCGTTTGCTCCCGAGAGCTCAGAGTCTCTCGAAAGTCCGCAGGGTACGACGTCGCCTCGAGAGTGCCTTGCATCGTATCCCGCAGGTACGGCTGGTCCCAAGTGGGCTCCATGTTCGACCCATACTGATTCACCACGCCCAAGTCCCTCGCCTCCCTCCAGACCGGGTCCACCTGGCCCGTTCTCGGCAGGGGCGGGGGAGTGTCGTCTTCCATCGCGGGCGGCTTAGACTCCGAAAGCTCGAGATCGACGCGCGGGCCCGGTGCTCATGGGCCTCCTCGCTCCCAACGTTCGCTAGCCACCCGCGCTCCCGGATCCGGTTGGTGCCCTCCCTGCCCCGGCCTCAGATTCCCTCGGATCTGCCCGCTGGCAGGAGCTTGCGCAGCATGCATGCATGCAACGTCCTCACGTACCCTGGATCCAAACCTGCGTGCGTCGTCGTCATTCTAGCGGGAGGAGGAGGAGAAGAAGGTCTGAGTCTGCTGGCGCTTCTCTCGTCGCGCATGTCAAGCGAGCTTAGCCGTGATTTTCGATTCACACGAAATCAGACTCGCACTTTCTGTCAGCGCGGCAAATTCTACGTGATGGATCCAGAATCGTACTCGTCTGCTCGGCTTTGTCTAGCTCCAGTCTGGTGCTGGAGGCGGAATGATCAATTTACCTTCGATGACTATACCTCGAGATATACCTCGTTCGTCGAAGTCCAGGACGATCACGAGCCGCTGGCTGGCCGGTGGGCGACAGAACTAGTATTCGTGAGCTATTCGTGAGGACTGCCAGTTACTCCTGTCATAGTCTCTCTATCTCTATCTCTCTCTTTCTTTTTAATCGATTGTGTGAAATTTTCTCTGAAAGATTAGGACCTGAGAATGATGATGATGATGACGAGGGTGAGAACTGCGGGTTCGAATTTTCTTACGTCCACGATACCTGTCGCACCGTCTCTCTCGTCGGAGTATAACACGTACGCGAGAGCATGCAAAGCAAACACATTTCAATTCAATGATCTAAATCGATGGAATCGCGGTCGGCCTGCAAAATCAACTGACTTCTACCTTCTTCCTCCGGACCGAGTCTACGAAGAGAGGAAAGGAGTGGAATGTCGTCGAGCACATCGAGATCCGCTTCTACAGAATCACGTCGAGCTTCATGAAATTCCGAGAGTAGAAAGCAACTGCCGTCGGTCTGACTTCATCGCCATGCTTCGCCTACGACTTACGGGACTCCGAGCATGAAACGCCCGTGGACTCGACCGTGGATCGAGGAGGGCCTCTGCCTAGCTTTCGGTCCATCGATTCTACCGAGGGATTTGCCCGATACACATCGACCTGTTGATCGTCGCGTTATGGCTGGCCGTCAGCTTGTCCTTCCTTCCCTCTGGCCGCAGCCGAGAATTCCATTGCGGCAGAGCGTGAATTCTGATCTGTACGCGATGACGATGAGTCGATGAACCCAAACGCTGCGTCTGTTGGTCTTCGCCAGTCCAGGAAGGAGCCTCTTACCCACGTACCGTCAAGGATTGATCACTTCGGTACCAACAAATCGCTGGATACCAACGCTGCCGACCATCGACCATTTTCAGTTATCCGATTCATGATCCATTCATCGCAGTTATGGCGGCTCTTTTCCGCCGGGCACTCAGATCAATCGTTCTGCCAATCTCACCTGCTAAACTCCGATCCAGTTCTTCCCTGGACTTGACTTCGTCTGGATTGCAAGGTCTGCGTCCGATCGCTAACTAACTCGTGCACGAGATGTGCCTGTGGGAAATGGCTCATCGACGAATGATAAAGCAGGCCATGCCGAGCTCATGCATGAAACAAATGCAAATGTCCAAAATGGAGGAGCAGCGGGAACTGTCTCCTCGTCACAGCGTTCTGCTCATTGAAATCGCTTTTTCTTGGCTGTACATTTCACGTTCTATCGTGTTTGGCTTTCGACTGGTATCGTACATGCAATTTAGGATAGGACGTGCACTGGGCCCTCCTTCAAATCTCATGACCAGCAGCAGCAGCAGCCGCAGCAGCTACTTTCTACCTCGGTAGAGGTCAAGCTGTAGATGAGGATCTTCATCGGCCTATTACCAAACTTTCTATCCACGAGAAGCTGAATGTCGTGGCTGTACTGTACTGCACTAGCTAGAACGACGCTGCTTGGGCCTCACTTTGTGACGACGTCGTATGCACAGAGATGTAGACCAGATTGGCAAATGAATCCAATGCATCAGATCTAGCTCCGAGCTAGCATGAGAACAATGGCATTTGTGACGAGGTTTTATGAGCTGCTGTCAGTGGCTTACAAGCTCGTATATAGATTGAGTGTGCGAGTACTGAGTGTGAAGGGGACTGCAGTGAAAGTTATAGGCTTGATATAAGCTGTTCCTACTATTTAGCTCACGCAGCTCAGATTAAACCGCTCGCAACATTGAAAGCAAGCAATTGCTGTTGCAACTGTTATTCCCAATTAGAGCTCTCCGTGTATTTAGAAGGAAGCAGTTACAATTGTGGTTCACGATTGGAACCCTGTTCTGCTGAAGCTGCTGCAGATGATCCAAAAGTAGCCGCAGGAACATGGGTCCATGTTTCTCGTGTTACTCGAATCGGTTTAGATGTCGTCTCTCTGTTCGCAATCGGTCACCGCAAAAGAATTCATGTCCGCGAGAACCGTGCCTCTTCCCTTAGGGTTCGGGCGGGTCCTTTGCGAAGCGAATAAAAGCTCTGCTTTTTTGTTCTGGCCTGATACAGGCATGATTCCCCTGTGTCCCTCGGACCATTTCACTGTGCCTGGCTTTGCTCCTGGTCCAACCAACGAAACAGGAGTCGCATCCGACTCCTGTTTCTCAATAAGCTGGCCAGGCGTTTCTAACTCACCATTGAAATCTCCATAACTCCTTCAGGAATTTGGATCTAGGAATCTTGAGTCTCACCAATTGCTTTTGTACTACGGTCGTAAATTCTGAACTCCTAGCTTGGCAACCAGGCATAATCTGCTGTATTCAATTCCAATCTACAAATTCTTTGCAAATGTTAGTCACGTGGCCGGGATTTCCGGACTAAACGCATCCCGATCAAAGTCTGAAGTTGGCCTGCAGCTCACTGTGATAAGCTCACTATTGTAACCTGTGTCCTCTGCACTAGCGTAGATATGCCAGGTCCCACACGTTAGATGAATATGGCATACGCAACAAATGGTCGATATAGCTGGCTGGCAAGTTAATTACGCAATATTTGGTTCCTCTCAACAGCAATATTTTGATTGACTCTGAGCTCCATGATTCCTTTCAGTGTTCACTTTGTTGTTATTTATTCCTCTCAGACTGTTTCTCTTCAGTGTCATATGCTTTTTATGACTATTCTTCCAGTTTTACCAGTGCTGAGAATTATTGGTTGACGGGTCCTGAGCAGCCACATTGTAGGTCTCGCAGTCTCAGCAAAAGCAAAAGTAAGCACAGATTGTCCTGTCCATGTTTGACGAGATGTTTTTTAAACACCTCGAACGGGGACCAAGTGGCAGGAAAAACGATGAGTACGTACTTTTTACCGGCAAGAAAAAGTGGCATTGTTATGCTTCGTGTTTTTTTGTCTGATTCCCAGCCACCAAGAATTAATTGTCCGTCTCAATTCAATACAAATTTTATATTGTTGAATAAAAATTGTCGTCTCTCATTAAAAAAACGTTTATTTATTTCTGTTCCAGTTATTTGGTACGAAGTCTTTTAAGTTCTGCAAATAACTGTCGCCAGCGATCTTCATTCACATGATTAGTATCATTCACAAAAAAGCTGATTCTGAAATAGATAGAACATTAAGACATGATAATTCCCTTTCAAATGGATTAAAATACCAATCCACTTCCGTCCAGTTCAAGCAATGACATCACTGAAACTAGATGAATGCAGAGTCAAAGAAAGAGAGAAGCAAAGACGGAGATTGAGAAACGGTTCGAGATAAATCCAAATCACAGTGAGCTCAACCCAAAGTAAAGAATGAGTAAATGATGAGCCTCGTAAACCCACATATTGAAGCAACTGAGTGCTACTTGAACCAGTACCAGTCCAAGTTTGTTCTAGGCTTTAGGGTGTCTTGAACTCTGGATATTGCTTCATCCTGAGTTTCCACTCTGCGGATATTCTCACCTTGGGAACAAAAGCGTGCACCCAGGATTGCTAAATAGTTAAACATGAAGTGTGGGCATCACTATCTTGGTATTAAGGAATAGCAGGTATAAAGTAAGCGATATAGTCGAAGAATGAGAAGATTTTAAGATCTCACTGAAGGTGGAAGAAATTTTCGTCCTTAAGGTAGACGTTAAGTGCATCCATCCATCTGCTCATGATTACAGCCATAGCCGTATCAGCTGTTTCCAATAGCACCATAGGAGGCGTATTTGCCTGTATTTGGATTGCTCATGAATCATGAGCAATGATTCATGAGTCACGAATCATGAGTCATGATTCGTTCATCGAGTGGCGGCGCGTGTACGGTACAGAAATGCTCCATATGCAGCAAGCTCTTTCGGACATCCAGCATATGTCTAAGAACTCACTCTCTTGCTGGTTACTGCACTTTGGCTTCAAGAATTTGCTTCTACTTTGGCTCTGTATCAATTTCTGTTTCTTATCTGGACAAAAAACCTCAAATATGAGTACTCACTTTACAACGTAGGATAATCTTACACTCTTTCCCTGTATGAGAAGGAGAGACTCCGTGCCTTCTATTCCCATTCTCATGTACATCTGGCATGAACGAGCTCCGAGTTGCTATGTCAACGAACAAATACACCATTTTTCATTGTGCCTCGGACAGCGTTTGGTTCCTTTGGTGCAGTTACAGCTAAATGACTCCTCGAGAACTAAAAACTTGAGCTCCGGGAATTTGGTCGGCAGATATTTTGAACGGTGGTGACCGGACGCACATTTAGTGGACTGCACTGCACAGTCACCGTCAACTTTCGCCTTTTCGACATTTCCGAACACACACTGCTCTGAATGGTTCACTGCATCAAGTGCGTGCGATCTCACACTTCGCTTCGAGCTGTCGGTGCAGCTGATATCTGATCTGGAGAATGATGGATTATTGTTCAAGAGTATGAACCAAGATCATCGTGAAATCACTTACTTCCACGGTCATTCAAGTGAAGCTGACGGTTGTGACCCTGTGAGGTATATGATACAGCCAAAAGTTGCAAAACAAGGAACAATCACGACGGTTCTTAATTCAGAAGCTCATGTACGCCTCGGAGCCTACAATGTACGTGAATCCGCGGCGTTCATTTCAGTCACTATATACTCAGTCTGCCAGATTCAACTCAGTCCAGGCCACTAATGTACAAAGATTGTCAACGGAAAATATAAGAACCACTTATTCTCAACTGTTACTGACATTGTTTCTCAAGCCGAAAAGTATTTTAGGCTGCCTTTTACATTGAGCAGTAAGGAACAAAATTACATAACATCTGGTTTACATGTAATAATACGAAATTGGATGAAATCAGATTTGCTTATTCTGATTATAAATATTTTTGGTATTTTTCATCATATTGCTTCAGATGTGCTGGAGATTCGGCGTGAGATTGAGTATTTACTTGGTTATTCCTTCGGCACCTTGAATTTCAAGTCCAAAACTATAGGTAGATATCCCTATAACCAGAAACTTCGACTATTGCTTGATTGTTGGTGATTCCACGAGTTACCCACATATGTAAGCTCCTGTCAGCCAGCAACTTACTTCCAGATATAATACCTTTTTTCCAAAACCATCGTTCGCAAAATCATTGATTGCAGGTAATGTCAATTTGACCATAACGCTCACACAATTACTCTTACACGTTCGAAGAGTCATGAGAGACTTTTGCCGACTCAGACCACATCTGATTACTTAACATATACTGCAATTAAGGTATCCCGTTCCAACTGTGAATCCAAGGAATAACTTGCAGCGAATTTTGCAAGGGGCTTGAGGAACTACATTCTGTACTTCGAACGGACAAAGGCCTCCTTAAAAAGATTCATAAGTGATGAACTTGCCAACGGTGCACCGCGGTGATATTGAACCCAACGGTGTTTACAGTAAAACTAGTGAGTGTCATAAAGTATTGATGGATTATTGTCCCGGGATGATGGTGGAAGTGATGCGTAGATAATCGGATATCAGTGATGGCTGATCGCCTGATGGTTAACGAAACTGCACGCGTCCTGAGGTGTGTGGTTGACGTTAGATGCTAAGGGTAAGAGCTGGTTAGAGTAAATATCACCACGGTTGATATACTACCAGTGCTCATGGAGGGAGCACGGGTAGTAGTAGATTCAGACCCTTCTGTTCCAATGAACCATGGTGCTAGATTCCGGCTGCCTGAGGCCTCGTATTGCGCAAAGGCTAAACGTGTTCCGGTATGGGAGTATCCCGTGTATTGGAGACCATTATGAGATTGTCCTCTCATCTTTCAATGCGATCTACATGTAAAATTTAAAACCCCATGAAGAAATATGTATCATTTCCATTAGTAAAATTTAGCTTCGCCCGATTTCCGTCTGACGTTGAACCTATCTAAGAAAACGAAAGGTTCAAAGACTTTATTGTTGAAATGTGGGGGTTGTGTAATAAGTGACTTAAGGTTATATACACAACCCAGTGAAACCTACAGTTCTGTTAACGAAGTGCATTTAAACTCCTTAGATCGACCTACTGCCAATGAATTTCGAAGTATGTAACCAGAGATTGCAACCTAGTGATTCAACATAAAGCAAATTTGAACACGGTCTCTCTTAGAGATCTACCGCACTCATTTACGTGTACTAGTCCAGGTTTTCATGCGTATTTTCTCTTTCAGTCTGCTGATAGCAGAAAAATTGCATCAATTGAAGAAACTGGAGTGCTACAAGTATTTCTGGCAATCAGTGGCAGCCTACTGAAAATACAACAATCCGAACATCTTCGGACAGATCCCACTCTGAGCCAAGTCACCTGTATGCAGATGTGATTTCAAACAGAACAGGATCACACAGAAGGAATTCAGCTTGCTATCAATCCTTCACGACAGTATGAACAACTTCCATACGATGGATGACTTCTCACTACTTTTGTAGTGAGTTCCGGCTACTGTACAAGTGAAAATTGTATAACTCAGGACAGTGGGAAAAACCCTCCCACAATGGGCAACAAGGCAGTAGGGAACAACCACATCGTCCGTAACAAAGTCAGACCTCACAAGCTCAAGGAAATCCGAAACAGATTGAGACTCGTCTGCTTACCGCCTATTCCACCGAACTTTCCACTACCCGCGGGTGTCCAGCTCACTTCCTGCAATACCAAAGACATTATAAACTTAAGGATCAATAAACATTTCGAAACATTTCTGCATCACTACGTCATAAGAAACCCAAACTTTCAGGTCCTCCACGACTTTGAGATGCAAATTTACCACCGACGATTCCCTGTTGTACTTGCTTCATACACAATGTAATCCTCTCTGCCAAATTCTAGGACTATCTTTCCCAACCTACAAACCCATAATTTGCTTGCGTTAAGGGTGCCCAGAAGTGAAGGCATAGATTTGTTCTAGCGTCAAACTAAATGTGTTATATTTCCACCTACATATCAGGAGAGGGTTATGAGCTTACGTAAAATAATAAACTCGTGAGTGAAACTAAAACGCAGGGGTGTAAGCCGTCAAAGTTAAAAACCAAGATTTAGACACATCCTTCCAAATTCAACACAAAATTTAACTGCATAATTCCACTTTCTCATGAGCAAGAGCACAGAGTTTGGCGAGACTTACTCGTGGTAAAAGGCGACAGGGCATCCCTTCCCAGAATCTCCATTCTACACCCTTTCAGTTATAATCGAGAGGACGTTGTGCACAGCAGCTTCGGAGATGTTCGCAGAACCCCGTCCCGAGAAGATGGAACCGCAAGCATTTTCATCCCGAACTTGGTGTGCATCCTGAAAGTAAACTTGATCGTAACCACTACCTAACTATCGCTTTGGCTGATGCCCGGTCACTGGCAATTGTGATGTTTGAAGCCAACCTGTCAAATCCACAGCCTTCCCTGCAATGGCCTGCAATTGCGCGTTTCCCCAGTCTCGCCCAGGGATGAAGAATTATCTACATTTATGCATCAGTCCTGTGGCAGAAACACTGCGGCATTCGATTTCAGCAGTACTCACTGCTGAACAGGAGCTACAGAGATACCCCACCAAATTTAAATTTGCATCGAACCCGACGTGAGTAGATTCAGACTCGCTCAAGTGGGGAAGAGGTTGCTGTGCTAAACCTGGCTCACGCAGCCAGCTCAAGACCCATGAACACAACCAAGTCAGGAGTTTTACGAGAGGGTGGCAGTCTGTCGCAGAGGTTCCAGAGTTCCCTGGAGAACTTGAAGAGCTACGAGCAACTGAACCTCCTGCGTCACTCTCTCCTTCAACCAAGCTATCGGTCTGTTGATGGCGGGAATAGATCTGAAAGTGCCTTCGTACATGTCCAACACCCTCAAAGTGACAGGAATCAAGAGCCTGGCGTATTTCGGGAACATTGCTTGCTTCGCTAGGAAGCTCATGAGAGAGACGAGGTTCATGTTGTCCAAGTTGGTCAGCGCCCTCACCAGACCCTTCCGGGCAACTAATTCTTCCATGACCGCCACAACCACTTTGGGATCAGAAGTCCGAAGAGCAGTGGTGAGCGCGTCCCTGTAACGAAATTTGCGCAGGAACACATCGTATCTCGTCAGATTTATCTTCTTCTCTCGAGCATAAAAGTGGTCGCTCTCCGACGCCTTCTCGGTGCGACCACGAAGAAAATAGCGGTGACTGTTGGGATTCAGAGGTTTCTTCGGCGGCGGCTTCAGCGGCTCCATACCCATCAACTCTGTGCCTGTTGCTGCTTCTCCTAGTGCCGGGAGGGCCGGAGCCGAGAGATCATCCAGCTCCGCAACTTTTCGGCGATCTCGTATGGCCAGCGCTCCGTTAGACATACCCACGACGAGAGTAGTGCACGCAGGCGAAATGTCCATCGACAAGATCGACCCACTGCTGTACTTGGCCGCGTGAGTGACCTTGAATTTCTCCAATTCGAACATTCTCACGTGCCCATCGAGCGAAGCTGAGACGAGGCGAGGTGACAGCGTCCCGGCTATGTCCGGGGAGGTGAAACATAGCTTCGTCACGGTCTTTTGGTGATTTGCAAGCGAGTACAGAAGCTTTCCACCTCCGACTACGTCCCAGATGTTGACGACATTGCCACCCGCAGTGGCGACCAAACCCCCGGATGGGAAGAAGATGACATCCTCCAGAGGAGTCTCCTGCTTCAGCTGAAGAACGCATTTCGCCGCTCGCACGTCCCACAGCCGCACCGAGTGATCGTAGGATCCTGTCGCCCATGTGTACTCGCTCGAGGGCGAGGACGCCCCGCACCGCACGTAATCGGTGTGCTGCTCCATCTTGAACAGCTGAGTCTGCGAGGCCACATCCCACCATCGCACCGAGTTGTCATCGCCGGCCGAAAGAACGTGCAGCCGGTCCTCGAGCGAGTAGCGGACCCAGTGCACGGCTCTCTTGTGGCCCTTGAGCTGCCGAAGGACAGTTCGGCTCGTGGCATCGAAGACCTGAATCAGCCCCGACTCGCCCCCGGCCACAATCAGCTGCCCATCGCCTCGATACGCTCCCGAGTAAGCGACATCGCTGAAGCGCGAAATGTTCTTCTTCACATCTCTCGTCTTCCCGTTGTAGATCGTCACCCTGGTCGAGGAGGTCACGGCGAAATCATACGGCGACACCGGACTGAAATGAATGCTGCTGACAGCAGCAATCTGCTGCTCGGTGCGCTGCGCTTTGAACGACTTCCAGAACTTCGAGTCGACGGTGAGCGAATCGCGAGATTTCGGATAGAGCTTCGGCCGAACGGGCACATAATCCGTGCCGATCACAGCCATCTCGACCAGCCTCGTCCCAGTCCTCCAGATTTCGTCCCAAAATCAGTCGCTGGAATTTCCCCTGGAATTCGACCGACTCGCACCTCCGCGCTCTCCACTCTCTCCTCGTCGTCGTCCCCTTCCTCCCTCCTCGAGCGCAACCGCTCTGCACTGTCAACTGGCCGAGAGGGTTTAGGGTTTCGGAGAGCACAGCACGACCACCGGACAAAAACGTCTCCTAAACCCTGGGGCGGTCCCGCTCTCCCGTAGGAAGGAAGGAAGGGAGGGAGGGCTTTTCTTGTCCCGTGCAGTTCTCTGGACGCTCTTGTTAACGCGGGTTCGAACTGGGTTGGATCTGGGTTCGAACAGCGTCTCGCGGTCGGGTTAGGTCCGGTGCCTGCCAGCGTCTGACAACTACTTGCTCGCTGCTCTCGAGCGAGAGCTGGCTTACAACGAGCGAAACGTTCGCAAGGTGCCGTCGGTGCGGCTGGTTTCCTTGAGACCGACGAGGGGTGGCACCCTTCATCGCCGAGGCGGGATTTCTCTAGCCGGTCGTTGAAATGGCTCTCCCGTGATGCCTCAGAGTTGTGTAGAGATAGGCATGAATTGTGAGTTTTCTCGTGTCAATTGCAGAGAATGATGGCTCAGGTGGGTCTTCTTCCTCACGAGAATGTTCTTCACGGTTCTCAGATGGACCCTCCCATCGAATCGTTTCTTCAAGCCTCGTGAAGAAAGAGTACCAGGTTTGAAAATTTTGGTCAGTTGTAATACTGGAATGGCAGGTGCGGGTTCATCTTCTCGTTTGCAACCATTTCAGGTCTCCAGTCCTGGACGACTTGAGAACCCAGAAAGATTGCTGCACGAGTCGCATTCAGCTCCAACCGGGTAGTAGGTTGGTACTTCCTTAAGACCACAATTTTTGTATGACAGTCCGGTCATCTGTAGACCGAGACTTACACCGAGGCAGGTGTTGAAGTCGTGGGCAACGATACATGCATGACAGTTCGGCCACTAGAGATTCAGAAATATCCGTCGACAGGTGATAAAACCGTGGGCAACGCTGTCTATCCATCACCATCCCGCAGTTGTCAAGTCACTGTGTCTTACTTATCTTATCTCTTTAGGCACTTTTTAAAACCTGAGTTCTCTCCAAACATACATGTTCACCGACAGTTGTGAGAGGAAGCTTGTCGCCCTGTTGTGTTAACTCACAGCCACTCACAACTCACTTTTGAAAATGTGAAAAGTCAATATTGCACGGACACATTCAAAAGACATCGTGGTTTCATTCTCTGCGCAACATTTGAGCTAGCTCGGCTTCAAACGCGTACTCGTCTGCCCGGGAAGTTTTGTTTTGCTGCCTAAACAATCGATTTCAGGTCCAAATTTCCTGGCCTAGTAGGTACACCGTACGTGTACATGTTCAGTGACCTGTCCGGCTATCTCAATCTGACAATTTATCAGAATTTAGCTTAAGGGCTCCCTCACACTTCTAACCAGAAGGTGGCTGGAGAGTCGAAAACTTTTGCCACGTTTTGGTGGAAGTAGAATTGGAACGTTACATTTCCTGATACCGAGTTTAGTCACTATCAAGACGTACGTCGAAAACAGGTATCATCTCTACGCAATCATATATCAACTTTGCCTCCTTAACTTGAAACTCCTCACGTCAGAGCATCAGAAACACGAAAGTAATAGCATGGAGCGAGTGTTTAAGGAGTCTCTGACCTGTAATCAAATACGGTAATGGATCACAATGAACCTGAAAGGCAGTTCAGATAAAGAAAATTGATACTCATTGAATTTTAGACTTCTAGCTTCACAAGGGCGGAAAAATGTACAGTAGTCTTTATTATACACCAAAAAACAGTGAACGTATTCCTACCCTGACCATCTCTTCTCTAGGGAACGTATGTACACTATTCTCTGTCTGCGGCTGCATCCAGATGCAGAGGTGTAAATCTGGATTGTGACTCATTCTCGATGCGCTTAAGAACAAACAGCTCCTTCGATATGATGAAGTTAGTAACGAAGCCCTGCTCCTCTTCTATAGGTCGTCGTCCCGTCCTTCCAGCCCGATGAATGTAAGAAGTAACATTAGGCGGAAGATCAATGTTGTAAACATGGCTCACTTCTGGAAGGTCTAAGCCTCTTGCCGCTAAATCGGTGGCCACCAGGAGACACCGCCCCTCTCGGAAGTCCTGCAAATGCACATGATTGCAAATTCAACATGCTTGCATATCTATCAACTAGCAGATCAAGGTTCAACAAAGTAAGCATCTGAACTACACAAAACTGGTGTAAGAATCTTCCCAAACCGATCAAACCCAACTTGGAGCTGTACTTACGGAAAGAGTTGACACGCGCTGATTGATGTGATCGTCTTCCTCCAAAATCAGAGGTTCCCACCTTTCTCTCTCACCGTTTCCGAGTTGACCCAATCTCAGCTTCTCTGAGAGGAACTCAGCTGTAGTGATTGTAGCTGGTGTATCACCATTTCTTCTAGCCTTATCATTCTGAACAGAAGAAAACCACTTCAACACCTTGTCCATGGACTGGAAGCTTCGAGAATAAGACGAAGACTGTACCATAAGAGAGAGAAGGAAGTAATTTTGTCGCACAAATTACGTTGATTCCGTATTCCTGCTACAGTAGCAAGAAAAAACTCTATAATTGAAGTTGAGCCAGACCACTGGCTCGGAACATAAAATACGGTCCGTGCGCACGAAACACTCGTGGTTTCTCTCGCTACTGGGAATGGTCAAAAAAGCTGTTACAGTACAAATCCGAGTACACAAGGCATCACAAGCTGAATGACTGAGGCACCAAACACGAAGCCTGATATACACGTAAACAATTTAGAGGATCTGACAGCTTACCTGTTCATTCACAAATATTATGGCTGCTCGAGGACAGTCTTCATTTATGACTGCGACCAGCATATCTAGCTTGTCTTCATTGTCACAAATCTGCAAAGTTGCCACAGGTTAGGAGCCATCAAGACCAAAAGCTGCGACAGGGAGATACGAAATCCATGAAAATAACAGCACATGTGGAAAGAAGAAAAAAAAAGTTCTGACAAAGCCATGAGATGTAGAGGATAGGAAAACTTGCCACGTAGCGATGTTGAAGATACAGGGGCATCATCACCTCAGGACTCACGTGAATATGTTCAATGTTACCCTGTTCGGCAGGAATTCTGAAGTCACGTACACAACGAAGACTTCGTTTCTATCCTGCTCTATTGAATTCTATATTTTGCAATCCATTTATTCCGTGCAAATAACAGAGACGAGATCACCTACCACACTACTCAGCCTTGAAATCTAGGTCAAATAAATAACAATCATCGGACAGATCAAGAAATACCTTGGCCCATTTGTTCTGTATGCAATCATGAAGAAACCTGTTGTGTTGTGGGATGGTGGCACTTGCAAAGATTGTTTGCCTATCAGTAGCACGAGTGTGAACTGCGAGAAGATTCTGCAAATTGTTGCCTTCTTTCGCAGAGCCGAGTAGTGTATCAACCTGGGTCAGAATTTCATGCACTCGTTCAGAGACCGATATAATATACCGATACAAACGTATTGAGTGGTTCGTTTCGGAAAAGTAATTATAAACAGGCAACAATAGTCAACATTGACGTTCACCCTCCCATATGCAACACCTCGTAGAAAAAGAAAAATTTTCGGGTTGCTACCTCATCAATGACCAGAGTGGTGATGGCATTCGTCCTCAAGTGGTTTGACTCTATCAACCGAATCAGACACCGCAGAGTTCCCACAATCAATTGAGGCGGAGCAGCCTGCAGACATGGAGTAGGGGGGAAAGATTACATTATTAGCAGGTTAATGGATATCAGTGATCAGATGTTCCAAACAGGGAGCTGCGAAGAACCCAAAGCTTACCTTGATCCACTTCTTTTGACGACTTGCTGAACCGCCATCTAAAAGAGTCATCACGGTGAGAGTGCCTTTCCCGTCGCCTTTACCTGCTACTTTTCCCGCTTCCTTTCCTTCTGTATCAGAGTCCACACTTTTGAGGGATTTCCCCATCAGAGTTCGGGCTACCTTTGCAACCTGATCCACATACGGTAGCGCAGAAGCCCAAAATTCATGAGTGACTGATCCGTCTACGTCATGGAATAAAACATAAATCACCGTAATCTTGAATGCAAACTTCTCAAACTGATGTCCTGCACGAACGAAAAGAGCTAGTCGTTACGCGTTTCGCTAAAATGGTTCATGAGCGACAGATAGCTAACACGATACTCTTTTTTGGCCCCGCTGCACGTGTCTGCTTACACAGATTGAGCTTACCTGCATTCCCAGTTCTCGAGTCGGTACTACGATGACAGCTTGAACTGCTGCTCTGGGAACCAATTTCGACAAAATTGGGAGAAGGTAAGCGAGTGTCTTCCCAGAACCTGTCTGCAAATGCGATGCAAAGGCAACATAGGAGAAACATCAGCAAACCTTTTTAAGTCTCTCTCTTCAACATTGTAAGCGTACAACACTCCAGCTGCGAATTTGTAAGTCTGACGTAGTCTGGGTTTCTGGACTGGAAATTACCTGGGCGTGAAGTAGGCAATCAGTGCCAGACAGAAGGAGAGGGAGCGCATCCTGCTGTGCTACCGTGGGATACTTGAAACCCAGCTCCTCAGCTCTACAAAATCACACACACCTATTTGAGTCACAAAACATTGACATTACGTTTACTTTCAAAGCGATTCCTCGGAATTGCCACTCTAGAATTACTCCTGCCAGTCATGCGACCACTGAAGCAAGTGGACAATACTTCTCCAAAATATGTTGGGGCACCATTCCGTCACAAAGTTCCTTCAGGGTGGGCCTGGAAGGAGCAGTGAGACCACCTTCGTCTGCAGCACTTTTCTCCACGTCCGCCGTCCCAACCGAGGCACAGAAATGGCGGTGACCGACACGCGAAAGCCCAACCTCGGCATTCTTCCACGACCACCCACCAAAATCCCGATCCCCATTCGAATTCCTCAACCACCCGACCCGAGGGTGCAAAATTGCAGATGCAACTCTTCCTCCCGCACGCCCGAGAGATTCCTCCCTCCTCACAGCACCCAAACACTCAACCTTAGAAATCCACTTGGAGGCCGTCAGCATTTGGAGATACGGCCTCGGCATCATCGTCACCATCGTCGGCAAACTCGGCGAGACCTGTCCATGCGCTCTCGCACTCCTCTCGCCGGTGTCAGATCCTCGAGCAAATCGATCCTCCCGATGAAGAAATGCCGAACCCTCTCGATCGATGTCGACAATCCTAAACCCCGGAGCGCCTTCGAGGTTAAGCCCGGGCGAAGGGTTTAGGTCCGACCGAGAAGAACAATAACGGAGAAGAACGAACCGGAAGCTCAGATTCCGCTTCCGCTTCCGTTTCCGCCGTGAGGCTGGGGCGTCGTCTGCCAGTGTCCCGTAGCGGATCCAGTTCAGAGCCCAGAGTCACGTGCTGGAATGTGCATTGTCCCCATGCAGGACAGCGTTGAACATTACTTCGCAGGCTCGGAGCCTCCGGCACAGGCCACGGAGCTAGCTGACGGCCCTACGGAGTCACCTCCCCGACCGACTGACTGACTCACGGACCGCAGTCGGCCCGGGCTCACCAGGGTTAGGAGGAACCGGGGCACCGGGTGCAGGAGGATCTAGAAAGTCGAGGAGGAGGAGGAGGAGGAGGAGAAGGAGGAGCAGGAGCAGGAGCAGCGGGAGAAGGAAGTTGGGGTGGCGCTTTTCGTGCTGCCCGCGCTGGCTGGACTTGTGGTGAGCTCACGCCCTCCGGCCCGCGCTCCTCCCTCCTCGCGGGGCCTGAAGATTGGCCGGATCAGAAAGCGAGGCGCCGATCGGCGCCGGCAACACTTCGATCTCCTCTATCGACCGCCTTCCGTCGCCACGGCGAGGCGAGCTAATCCGAGAGCGCTAACGGCAAGATATTCGAGCCCAGTCACGCTTTCCGCCCCCATCTTATCCACCACACGCCATCGGTATGCCCGGTTCAAACCCAACCCCGCGGACGGTTTAACCCTACCCGCGGGCTGACACGACGAGGGCATGCACGCTCCGCCAGCCACAAGGCCAACTAGCTATAGCTAGCAGGGTGGCCGGGGTTAAGTTGACCGAGGCGGGCGACCCAGCTGGCGGTTCTCGTCGAGGATAGATGACGATGAGGTTGTTCTAAAGCTCGGACGAAAGTGGACCGGCCCGGTGCCGGAGATGAATCCCGGGACGGGAGAGCGCTGACTGGCGTGGCCCGGTCTCCGGTTCGTCGTCGATGGCTTAAAACCGAGTAGCGGACCGGATCGCAAAATCCTCTTCGCACAAGCAACGCCATGCGCCAGCTTCAGTGCCAGTGCTGCTGCTTTCCATCGCCCTCGGCTCCATCTTCTTGATGCGTGGGGAGCGAGGGGCGCGAGCCATGCTGCACTACGAAGAAGAAGAAGAAGAAGAGACGAGAGAATGAAGACTATAGGTACTGCTGCTTCTACTACTACTACCACTACTCCTGCTGCTGCTACTAAATCGACCACTACCACCACTATTACTACTCTTCCGTCTTCCATGACGACTGCGACGACTCTCGATGCGTTCCGGGTGAGTTCGCGCTGATCGGAACCGTCTGGGGGCCTGTGAATGCCGGGGGATGGTGTTGCTCGCTCTTGTTGCCGTCGCACGCCTTTCGCGGCCGCGGCGTGGGGCGGAATTGATTCTCGGATGCGTTTTGGCTTGGGCTCTCGTCTCGTGCGCGTGATTCGGGTCGATTAGCGTCGCGGGTCGCGTCTTCTTGTGCGTGGGTCGGTTCTTGGTGGCAATTTCCTCGGAATTGTCCCCGGTTGTGAGTGGGATGGCGGATCTCTGGAGGGATTGGGAATTCGTGGGGTTCTTTTTTGTTGCGTCGGGTTCGATGGTTAGGTTGGAGTTTTGTGGCCACTCCGGGTATGGTGATTGTCTCGAATGCTCCAATTCCTCGTGCTTGTTTGCAGGTAGCTGGCGGTTTGTGGGTTTCCAAACTTTGACCGTTTCATGTAACGTCTGCTTGTTTTGAGCGCTCTCTCTCTCCATGTCGCCGTGGTCACTTTGGAATTGTGAGGAGTGTCTTAATTGTTCGTCGGACTGGGACATGCCTCCACATGATCTACTCGCGGGAATTGCACAAGCGTATGCATTTCTCTCCGTCTTGCTCGCCATTCTCTGGAATGGAAAATGTCGTGCAGATTTCGCTCCACGTGAACTTGTGTTCGCGTGGAGTGACTGCCTGTCTATCAACCTCATTCTAGAGAAAAAGAGAGTATGAGAGAGAGCTCTGTTTAAATTGGAGTCTTGCCTTCTTGTACGGTTGATAGACGTAGAAAGATTCTGACGTTGAACTTGGTTAAGAGTTATGGCCCTCGTCGCTTTTGCGTACCGAGGGACAACCTTACGTCCAGAAAAAACTTTTGTGCGTGTTCAAAATCTAGAAGGAATCTAGGCATTTCGCTTGAAACGCAAGATCTTGTGATTGAGTGTTTGGTCTGACACACCTTCCGTCGGGCATGGTGTGCTTACTCCGCGTATTGGCGGCACATGTATTCGTCACGTATGTGAATTCCTGACTTCATTTATATCAGAAGACTGCGGATCGCTCGATGCTTATCTCACTTTTGAAATCGTGGAGCAGGAACTCTGAGGAAGTGTCATTTTGTCCGTCAAAGTACCCCCAGAGTGTACAACACGCCATCGGAAGCTGCAATGATGACAGTGTTTCATGCCGCAAGTATATAAAAAGGTCCTTTCCCATTCTTCAGCCATGTACTTCAGTCTGTGGATGTAATTGAACGAGGTGGACAACCCTAGGCCTCGACCTCGTGATAATGTAATCACCTAAACAGAAGTCCTCATTGCTGGATAGATTTCTTCTGGAAAGCTTTCCTGTCGGAAGGTCGGGGTATGCACAAGCAGGATCATGTTTGAATCACTTTACACAGGCAATTGCGGGAAAGTGCGCAATCTCGTTCGCTAGTGGCTTTACTTCAAATAGGGTTCTCGAGTTGAATTCAAAGTTTTATGTTCACAGTGACGTGCTTTGATGCAGAGGCTTGAGGCTGTTGGACTTGGCCGTCGTACACTCATCTGTGCATTCTAGTGGAACCACATGGAATAGAGCCACCTTTGCCTTCGTCGTCCTCCTACATGAATTTACTTCTCGTCGGGCCGTGTATCTTGCTCGCTAGACGCTCTTAGCTCGTGACTGATTTCTTGTAGTTGTGGTACTGACTGTAAATTGCTCTGATCCAGGTCTTGCTTCAGGCATGATCCATCAGGCACTTGACGAGAAGACAAGTAGCGACTTCAAAGGGAGTGTAGCTGCACCTGCCTCCAGTATATAAAGTAGTCGCCCCTTGACATAGTTCGCTCTGAGCTTGCTGAGAAACATCAAAATGAACAAGCCCAGGGTCTCTACCCAGTACTCCATACGTGTTGATGACAATCTTGGAAATCGCGGAAATCTTGGAACTCGAGAAGCTGCGGTCGCTGCCGAAACCGACGCCAGATCTAGGCTTGCTCAAGAAGAAGCAGCCATAGAAAACAAGATAGTCGACTGGATCTTAGACGGAGAATGGCAGTCTCTGCGGCCCAATTCAGGAATTTCTGTAGAAGTAAGAGGTAGTCATGTGTGTGTAGATTATCATGAGGAGTCTGGATATCGTGTGTGGGAATGGCATGGTCATTGTATGATGTACGAGGAGGGAGAAGGTTACTGTCCGGAGTACATATATGGAAATTACTTCGAGCCTTTGATCGAAGAGGAGGAGTATGAAGAATACGACTATGGACCACTAGCTTTAAATTCCACTGCTATGAACAGGGGAACACCACTCGGTCTCGGTCTTGGAGGGCTCATCAGTGGTATAGAGAGAAGAGGTTCTGTAAGGAATCAATATACTGGAGACTTTAGAAGAGGTAGGTAGAAAACATACACGAGTGCTGCTGGGGCTTGAGTGGATCTTAGTATATTAAGTATCCTTCTGTGCCGGGTTAAGACGGTTAGCCTGCACTCGAAGGTACTTGGAGTTGAGCTTCTGGGATACGTCCTACATTACCTTCTTTACGTTTTGGCTGCATATGCGACCGAGTGGCCAAAGTTATGATCAGCAACTCCATGTGTGGATGTACTAGTAGATGTCGTATCGAGTAGTCTACCTCCCCCACCGGGAAGGTCGTACACTCTTTCTCCAGTCCGATCAGGAGAGTTATCTTCCCCTTCCTTTTCCACCTGTTCCAGCAGGAGGGCTCATCATATTCATTCAAGGACTTTGATTTTTCCCAAATCTTTTGTGGAAATAAACAAACAGGACTTGACTCTCCCTGCCTACAGTATGTGATCCGTTGTGTCGGTTTTATTGCCCCAAACTCCGTATCTCGTGAACACACCCATGTCTTGCGAGCTGCTGTCTATATTCTGGCCTATCGGCTGCTCATTAAAGAACCACCAGCTCGTCTTAATTACGTCGACGATCTGCCACCATTTCCAAATGCAGAAAGTCTCATGCCGAGTGTGCGTTTCGATCGTTCTTTCGTGTACAACCGCACATGGGACAGAGGCCGACCGACATCTGTGCACTCAGTATGAACGTCTGACAGAAATCTGTTTCGAACTATTTGGAGGAATCCAGGAGAATGTCACATGTACTTCGATCAAGTCACGTCAGTCACAATAAAACAGTCAGGGCCAGGTTAGCGTATCGCAGATGGATAAAGCGTCAAAGCATCCTGGAGACCTGGACGTATCATGAACATTATCTTGCCAATACAACACGAAAAATTTTGGTCTTTGGTCCGAAAACAACGCAACCGCGACGAGCCCCGATCAAAAGAGTGAGCCCAACAAAGGCCAGAGAATATGGAGAGAGAGAGAGAGCTGGCGTCTCTGACTCCGTCTCCAACTGCATCTCGAATGCCACCAGCACGAGCGAACCCTCGGGACCGCAACCTGCAATGTCCATTCAGATCGGCCTGCAACGCTACGGAATTCATCCGAAGGCATGGATTCCAACGCTAGCGCGGGATCGATCGGTCGAATGGAGGCCGAGGGCGATGAGGGAATCCACTTACCAGCATCGGGGGAAACAGGAAGAAGCGACAAAAGAATCCATCATCGATCTCGCTGAAAACGTGTGGCGCACAATGCAATCGCAGCGCAGCACATGTCAGCAAGGATATAGAGTCACAGAACCCAGAGACGAGTCGGACGATAACGAGATTCCCCACATCTCACGTCACGATCCAATGGCTCCACTTCTCCGGAGGATGCTGAACGTCGGAGACTTTATTTACTTCCTTCATGCTCGTGACTCCGCCCGCCTCTTCTGCGCCCGCGCAGCAGGTTCCAGTTGTCTTTCCCAGCATGCTCCGTGGCGACACAGGTGTCGATGCCTACACCCTTCAAAGATTCTGGACCTGTTTGCTCACATTTTCATGAGCAGTTCCATTCCCCTCTAGTGCATTTGAGTGGAAGTTTGTGGCTCTCTGTGCTGAAGACCCGAACTTAAGGAGCCCTAACTCCCTTGGGTTACCATTTAATTGCGCTCCATGATTGCATTATGCTTCCGGAAGCATTGCAATGCAGAAGTTGACAATTGCGATAATGAGAATTCCCAATCTGCTCTTTTTTATGGCTGCTAGACTGCTCCAGACAAGCGCTGGCCAAATGCTTTGAATCACTCAAAATCTCTATCTCTCTCTCTCTCAGTTCAGAAAGGAGAGAGAGATTCGCATGAGAGAGAGGGAGAGAGAGAGAGTGTGTGTGTGTGTGTGTATGCCAAAGGTCTGGCTGGCATTATATGGTGACCAGGCATCAAATTCTCCCAATGCCATAGTTCATGGAAGAACACTCGTTCTGCATCTATCTCCACATGGTGACTAGGTATAGTTAGATGAGCTACCCATACCTTCTGATGGCATGACTGTTAGTGCAACTGCAAGAATGTCTAATTTGGATGTCCCTACGTCTACCAACGTAAGAGGTTAACAAAGTTTGCCTCAGGTACAAAAGATTTGCTTATCTGAAACAAGCTCGCAAGTGCAGCTATAACTGTCTGATAGTCATCCTTTGAATGTAATCTTTAGGGAAAACATGGAACATAACAAAAAATAACATTTGAGAACGAACATAACAAAAAATTCAATGCATCAGTTATGTAATTGGATGGATCACAGTAGAAAATGAAAACGAGTGTATTACAAATGAGTCTATTTAAAATTATGGATAATTCCTATAACGAAACGATCACTTCTTGCAATGGAAAGCCCTACGTCTTTTCATTTCTATAGTTCTAAAATAAAGTAGTTCTATCTAAGAGTACCACTGAGATTGTCTGCATACACCAACTGATGTTAAGTTTAATTATGATAACTCCATCATTTCTTTTACAATTTCCAAAGTTCAAATGCTAGATTAAATAGGATGCATCATTAGAATGATGTATTGGTCAAATGTTTAGTTTATTAGAACAACCATTTGACGAATGGAAATTATTTATCAAAATAATTTTAAGTACTCACGATATACTTCTTGGCAGATCTTCAAATTGGCAAATTTATAGGTTTTACTGCTGGTTGAAAGAATATCTGACCACTTAATGCTTGATTAAGGTGCATACAGCAAGACATAGTAAGGACATAGAGTCAACTATTGCTGAAGAAACTATTGTACTGCAGAAAGATACATGCTACTGCGTTCTCTCCGAACGTTCATCGTATTTTTCCAATATATTTCATTTATTTAAAAAAAATGTGAATAATGATTTTTAATTACTCATAAATAATATATTATCATTTTGACCAAAAAAAACTTAAGCATTCATTGTGGAGAAGTGCGATGGAGATGGATTGTACACCAAACTCTTTTATGTTTAGACAATGACCAGTCTTCCGACATTGGTCAAATCAGCAATCAAACTGAATGTTGATAAACTTTCTCACACAGTTTCTTTCCCATGGACGAAGATGAATGCCGCATGTCCTTGGATTGTGTTTCTTAATAATGTTTTTGTGCTTATACTTATAACTTTCGTAATGGCAATCACTGTTTGACTGGCTTATTGTTACGTAATTGCTTCTGCCTTCTCGGTTAGGGTCATCGGTGTTGGTAACCACATTCAATTTATATTCCATCAGCTTACCAGGAAGATATTCTTTAGAGAAATATGTCTTTTTCTCTGTAGTGACTAAAACACGCCGTATGTGAGACCTCGAGATGACTTACATTCATGACATTAGTCTTGTGAAAGTATCATAGTTGGTAGTGTCTATTTTCGTAAAACATAACATAAAGACATGCATTTTCTAGTCCACACTGCATCACATTTAATCATCCCAATTTTACTGAATATAAAATATGAAACTTCAAAGCGGTGTTCACGACCTGAATCTTCCGTTAGAATAACATGACTTCATTATTGGGTATGAACATCCTTTTTCAGAAAGAAATCTCTGCTGTCACAATTTGCAGATGGATACGATTTCAAATTGATTATGGCAAGGCCATTCGACTGGTCAAGGAATCAAAATTTCAATTGCGGGTCTGCTCAGTGACATCTTTCACGTACACCAAAGTCCAAGATTACGCACCACCCCTGTCGCCTGTTGTGCCTTGAGGTCGAGTTAAGCCAGACTTCTTACGAGTAGGTTAGATCATAAATTGGAGTTCGCAATTCGCTGTAGGAACGTTCGTATTTTGTTCAGTAGGCGCAGGTAGGAAATACTATATATATATATATATATATATATATATATATATATCGAACTTCATGTGTCTTCTCTTCCGTCGTGCTACTTGTACAGATAAAAAGCAGGGTTATAAGCCATCATCTAAGCAGAAATCAAAGTCTGAAAAATCCTGAACAGATTTTGCATCCCGATCTGCAATACAACAAGCTTGATATAAACCTGCGGCATCTTACTGGCATAGACCCTCGAAGGACCGTACAAATTCACACTATCAATCTCCATGAACCTTAGTTTAGGCCCATAAAACACAAGGAACAAAAGCATATACTCTCATCAAAGCAGGGATAGTTAGGCTTCTGAAAGAAGCTCCAAGTCTCAAGTACACATGTCGTTATGACTTACGAGTCTATCCTGCTAGGTCCAATTGGCTTGCATAACTTTGAGAAGGACTACAACTTCGTCAAATTGCAGCATGTTACTGCTGCACAAGGCCAGGCATTACTGGCAATGTGTGTCAAAAATTTCTGACAATAATCTTCCTACTACATGGTCAACACAGTTATCACTGAGTATCAATTTCACTTCTTCAAATAAGAACACGTCTCCCTCATGCTATGGTTCCGATATAAATATCTTTCTTATGTGCTAAATCAGCGGGGCAAAAGCCTTCAACTTACTTTGTACACAATAATGTACACTTTCTACCTAATGAGAAAGATTATGGAACATATCAGAACCTGTCCTCCCTCGAATTTGTACCGGTGTAATTTACAGGTGAATCGTCAAGAGTACATAAAACAAAAACATGTTCGTCTTGGAAGAAAACCAATCCTGAGGGGAAGAAGCGCACAGGATCCAACGCAATGCTCACGTAGTAATTCTGGCCACAACGCCCATCAGCATGCAATACAAGAGTCTACTTCAAGGTTCACAGTGAGTGTCATCGTGCCTTCGAAATGTCGTTGATCAGAACCATTACATTATCAGAAACCGGGCAAGTTAGACCGGAGGCCTCATATTGTTAGCTGACGAATTTTGTGTTAGAATCACCATGCACCTGATTGTCGCATTCGAAACGCCCTATTACTGACAGGAAATAATGCGAGTAATGATGCCAACGGCTAACGTTTTACCACCATCTCTCAGTGCGATACGTCCAAGAGCTTTAAATTGCGAGTACACCTCTAGACACATACTTCTCTCTGGAATGATCTGCACATTGACACAAACGTTGAGTTGCAAAAAACACTGAGAAGGTGCAATATGCACAGAGATATATTACGCACGCATGGGTCGAAAGCAACTCGAGTAGGAATAACGATGCTGACATGGACACTGAAAAAGATAATTACTCACTTCTATAAGAGCACTCTGATTGGCAGTCAAACATCGTGGCTTTTTCCGGACAACAGCTCCAGATTTAGAGTCCAGCAATGCTACAAGCTCAGCTACTTTAGCTGACTCTCTTGCATGATGAGCGTGGAGGACCACCTGTAGAAAATCAGCAATTCTTTACGGTGTGACTCCCATGTAAGGTATGAAAGAAACGAGAACGAATAAAGTCTTCAAAGTCGAACTTCCAATATTAACAAAATTCAAGTTCGATTAGATTATATAATCTAATCGCAGTTGAATTTTGATTTGCCACTTTAATCATGATTGTAGCTGTCGTTTTACACAAAGGGGATGGTTCTAAGAGACAGAAACAAACCTGTCCTCCTCGAAGAATGGGAACCGTTATCCCTAGTATTAGCACTCTTATTTCCAGTTTAGTAACAACGGGCACAGGATAATCAGGGTGACACAGCACACCGCCTGATATCAGAACAGCAGGTTCAACTCCGGTCAAGCCGACATCAACACTGTCTCCAGCCAATGCAACAGTCAAAGGATGACCATCCTGTTCGATAGCTTTTACAGTTGCTATCTCTCCTATAGGCATCACCAAAACCTGCAGGAACAAATACGACATGTTTTAAAAGATAATCTAGCTGCTACTTTTGCCTTGCATGACTACATCCAGAAAACACGGCAGACATGTATTAAAAAATGAAATTATTCAATCTCCTGTTGGACTCCACATTAGAGGAGAAGAACTGCAGTAGAGAAGAGCAAACCTTTGAACCAATCCGAAGTGCACCACTTTCCAACTTGCCACTGACGGCAGCTTGACCTAGACTTCGAGTTTTGACTAGTTCTGCAACTATAAGTCTGAAAGGTTTCAAAGTGTTTCGCAAAGGTTGTTCAAAAGAGTCCACGGATTCCATTAATGTTGGTCCAGAGTACCTGAGAAGCAAAAGAAAAGGGGTCCATAAGTAAGAGCTTCATGCTTGGAGGACAAGTTTGGCTCAACAGAAGACAACGTCAGCCCCCAAGAAGAGATAAGGGGCTACCTGACTGCATTCACTGAAGGGACGAATTACTGAACAAAACTTGCATCAAGCCAACCCGGATGTTCATCCTCAAAGGGATTTGTGGGAATTACGTCCAAACAAAGTAAATCTTACTGAGTAAAGATTTATATTTTTTGGATTTCAAGATAATAACGTACCATGACTTCAGTGCGGGCGCAGAAGGAGGTGCAATCAGATTTTCACCTTCCATCGCACACACAGGTATCCAGGATATTGCGGCCTCCTTGAACCCACACTGTCGTAAGAACGAATGTAGGGAACCTTTGATGAAGTCATATCTTTTCTGTGAGTAGTTGACAGCATCCATTTTGTTTACAGCAACAATAAGTTGTTCAACTCCCAAACTACGAACCAGCTGTGCATGTTCTCGAGTTTGACCACCACTTTGTCCCTCGCCGTCTAAGCCTGCTTCAAAGGCTCCCAAGGATGCATCTACAACCAGAACTGCTGCATCCGCTTGAGCAGCTCCGGAGATCATATTTGGAACAAAGTCCCTATGCCCGGGTGCGTCGAGTAGCACTACGCGTAACTTCGGGGTCTCAAAATGTGCCACGGCAACAGTCATTGTTACTCCTCTAGCTCTCTCCTCCGATCCCTCGTCCAATACCCAAGCGTAAGCAAATGACCCCTTCCCCTGCCGAATCGTAAAAAACGTCATCAACTTAAATGCAGTACGAAGCGTATGCATTGTCGCAAAGTGTACTTCCTCGACATGGAAAAAATCGAGCGATAGATAAAGGAAGACAGTTTATCAAGCATCCACACCGAAGGTAGTGTTACCTTCTGTTTCGATTCTCTCTCGTTCTTGTGCATCTCTTTCTGTGATACTCTGCCTAACAGATGCAAAATGTGGCCCATAAGCGTAGATTTACCTGCATCAACATGTCCTATCTACACAATCCACAGAGCATGAGCACTCTGTTCCAGTCAAAGCAGGACAGATTCAATCGCGGCAAACGAATTTACTACTTCAACGCCTGCATCCATAATCCAGTTCGACAGAAAACAACCTAAGTGATTCTTTCTGTAGAAGAGGTATTAGTCACTTACAACAATAAGATGAAGCAATGGCTTTCTCTCTTGTTTAATTTCCTCCAGTATCCATGACTCCGGAATAAATGCCTCTATGGGTTTTTGAAGAGCAGGAGTCTGTTCTCTGCCTTTACCGCGCTCTCTGTAATCACCCTCTAAGGTCATGTGCATAATACCCTCTAAAACTTGGGGTTCTGCACCTTCCATTTCTTTGGGCGATGCTCCAAGCTCAGCGGCCTTCAGCTTTGCATTGGAAGCCTCCTTATGATTACTAGAGCCGACATTCGATAAGTTTGCGGAAGCCTTCGGCTTTTTGGGCTGAGCTTCTACGGTCTTCGCGACATCCTTACTTTTCACAGCTGCAGCCTTCACCGGAGCTTTCACTGTCATGACAGCAAGCGATGCATGGTGAAACAAGCAAATATCAATCAGCTTAAGTCACTAACTTAGACCACATATCAGGCTTCACTTGCATAATTCAACTTGCGAGGTTTATTTTCATGTCGTGGAAAGGTCAAAACAAGCTGAATCAGGTTGTCAGTGTCCAAAATCAGTTGTCATTGTCGTATGAAAATTAGGAATCCACGACCATACACTACGAGGATGAAAGGGACTAACCCGCATTGCCCTTTGTCCCAGAATTAGAGGCACGGACTTTGTCATCAGGTGAGGGATAGTCGAACTTGAATGGCACTGTACATGCCTTCCAAACCCACTACTGCTCAGCTCCTACAGGAAACTCAACAATCAAGCAGATCACCCACAGATAGCCTACACAGATATGGTTTCACGAACGAAAGATAAACGTGGAAGGACACGGCAGTATAGAGAGCAACAAGTAGACAATAATAACCCCGCTTCTCTGTGACATGACCTTGATGAAAGGGTTCCCACTGTAACTCTCATCAAAAGTCTCGGGGGATGGAGGGGGGAAGGGGGCTAACGCTAAAACATAAATCTATAAAATCGATAGAGTTCACGGTTCTCTGTGGCGCGTGTTACACAGTCCACCGTAGTTGAAAGATACTAGCAAACAAAACACGTGTTCAAACTGTCACCGCTTTCCACTGAAAACCCTTCGACTTTCAAACAACAAAGGCTCCCTCGTTTGCGGTTGCTTTGCAGAGGGGGGGGGGGGTCATTTCGAGATCCCATGACAGCCACCTCACCCTCCACTGACAATGTACATTATGAGCTTTCTTGAAGATACAATCGGGACAACTTTTCATTCTAAGAATTTTCTATAAGAGTTTTTTTCAGATGTCGGTTCGGCATCTGACCTACTCCAGTGTATTGTGGTGAGGAAGGAACGTAGACGGACTTGTTTTGCCCCATAATTTCTATCCTTGTAAGAATACCGGAGTCCTTGACGGCATCATCGTCACTAACTTGTTGAACCAGAGTCGTTTTCTTCAGCTTCCATGGAGGTAAAGGAGAAAAAAGAGCTTTTCCAAGCTCTGAAGCTCCTGACGCTCGGTATGGATGTTTGACTGCAGGGGAACAACGAAGGCTTCATTCGTCACGTTCCCTAACACTATGCATTGATTAAATCAGAAGTGACCTGATCAAGCCCTCTGAGACTAGCCATCCTCATCATGAAAATAGACAATGGTTAACGCAAACTCAAAACAAGAGCACAATTTTCAAATACATCAAACAATATTTTACTCTAACTCAACAGACCCTTCAAAGCTTCGAACCTTAAACAATGTTCACAGGAAAATACTGAAGTAACCGTGTAAAACTTGGAACTACTCTCACCAGATTCTACTACAACAGTGATGAAAGTTTCTGAGATATGTACTACTCTAAAAACGGGGCATGATTGATTTCCAAGTTAAGCCAAGAATCGAGACATTCGCCATACTTCGTGAGAACTACATCAGTGTCAGGATCTGAGCGACGGTATTATGGTGGTTCTGATAAACGACAGGTTTTCTCCCACTTGGACCTCGGGGTTCAAGTGAGAAAAATCGGCAGACTTGTTACGCCTCGGGAATCATAAAGGATGGATATTTCCCCAAAGTAATGAACGAGACTCCAATTCTATTTCCATTTTTTTTCTCTCGAGACAACTCAAATCCAAACCGACAAAACTGGATCACACCAGAGTCGAATGAGATCACCTCTAATTGAAGACACTCACGAAAAAAAGTAAAAAATCTGCAGAAAACCACCGACAGAAAATAATCACACTCCAATTCCAAGGTCCCCCCTAAAAACTGAGGAGGGAAAGAAACTGGGAATAACTCACACGAGCTCACTTACCTCGAACACTACAGAAATCTCAAGTTTGAGCTCCATCGGCGGCTGAGCACACTACCGCGATTCAGCCTCCGCAACCAAAAAAATCACCAGGATTCACACCGCAGCAATGAGAAGCATGCCAAACCTGAAGATGGCGCTTCTTCGTCGTCGTCATCATAGTAATCGTCGTAATCGTCATACCCATCGTCCTCGTCGTCGTAGTTGATGCTGCGGTTGAATTTCCGAGGCATTGTGGCGGCAAAGCGTCAGCAGACCTCACCAGGAACGCACGAGCTCACGCATGCACTCGCTGCAAACCTCAAATTCCTGCCAGCCGTGCACTCACTCGCGCCTTCCTCCCTTCACTCCCGGCTCGCAGTCCCATCCTGCAGGAGATCGGTGCACCTTTCTTGTACTCCACCGAGCGTCGATCAATTCCTGGCGATTTGCCATCGTCCCCGACAACTGGAGCTCTTTTCGGCCGCTCCTCCCGATTGCGCGGCCATTTTCGGTCATCCCTTGCGGGAAGCGGGAGCTGGGCAAATGGCAGTAACCTAGCGAGACAGAGTAGGTCCCACGAAGCCATTCTCGTGGAGGAAGTGGTCCTACCCTCGTGAAGGGTCGGACCTTTGGGATGACCTTCGGGAGCGGTCGCGCCGTTGGTTCGAAGTGAGGTTTGGAGGATATCGCCCTCCTCGTAGGAAAATGAATTCTCCGGAGTCCGTCCTTCAGCGGGAGTATAACGGGATTCATCATTGCCCTCGTCGTAGGAAAATGGATTCTCCGGAGTCCGTCCTTCACCGGGAGGATAACGGGATTCATCATTGCCCTCGTCGCGGTCGGACTTTGTCCCTTGCTGGGGAAGGAATGATTGGTGGAAGGGCGGAAATGGATCCTCGTATTGAACGCTCGCCCAGGGAGGAAATAGTCCTACCCGTGGCTGGGGCAGGAGCGGAGGCTGGTCCTAGGAGGGGATTTGTGAGAAAATTCCAGGAGGTGGATGCAGCCTGCGGAGGACGAGGCCCGAGAGCCCGAACGCGGACGAGAATCGAGTTCGTGCCATCCCGAAGCCAATTGGACCCGAAGAAGAATTCATGGGCCGTCGGGACTGACACCGACTTCACGCTTCATGGACAGTGGCCGAAGCTGCGGTGCGCCACATTTCTGCCAGCCCCCCATGCTCTCTGGTGCTTTGCTACAGTCCTCGATTTTCTTGTCTGTTTGATTCCCCCGTTTTTCCATCTTTGTCAGTGCCTGCTCGCTGTTCTCATGTCGCGCGAATGCATTCGTCTTCGTGATCCTCAAATTCGCCTGCTTCGTGGAGAATGGCACCTTCTTGCACAAATGATCTCGTTGCAGACCTTCATGCAGGGTCTGCAGTTGTTCTCCTTCAGGTTTTCTTCTTCTGTCTGTGCATTGTCTGAGTTGCAGTGCATCCTTTCTTGTTTTCACAGCCGTGGCGCCATTGAGGAAAGAAGAGATGGAGAGGCAAAAGCACGGCATGGATGTGGGAAGAGTGCTTGGCGACGTCCAAAAGAATTGGGACGGAATTGGGAGCAGGTTTGGGCTGTGCATTGAACGTGGAAAGGACGTTGTAGCCGGAATTGTGAAGAATTCAGCTATGGGGAACAGGAATGTGAATAATTCAATATTGCAGTTTACTGGATTGCTTGGGCAGAAAATGGAGGAAGGAAGGGCGAATCTGTTACAAGCCTGGGAGAGCCTGAATAGAAACCATCACAACACCAGGATGCCTATGTTTGCTAGTATTTCCGCTTCTTCTGGAAACACATCAGCCCCTTGGGAACCCACGCCTCTGTTTCAATTAGCCATGAGTACTGAGCAGGTTTCCAAGAGGCTTGATGGTGTTCCTGTGTACACCGTCAGCAACTCTGCAAATGAATTCGTATTAGTTTCCGATATCAACAGCCAGAAATCACTGGGAATATTTTGCTTCAGACAGGAAGACGCAGAAGCTTTGCTGTCTCAGGTATACATCCTCAGAATTAGTGCGCTGAAATTGTTATGGGTTCTTTCTCTTGGTTAGAATGTTCTGGATGGACTTGTCGCTCCGAGGTATACTTCCTCGATGCTAGAATGCGTTGAAAAGTTAGCAGGTCCCAACTATGGCTCGTTCCCTTTCTTTGATGGTTATGCATGGAGTTCTGGAGATCGAACTAGTGTGCTTACTTAGTCCTAAGCACGCGTGAGAAATACAATGTTGATAATTCAAACTGCGTTAACTATGAGCTACATGAGCTTCAATATTTTTTTGGAAAAAATCATAATGATGAACTTAGCCTCAAACCTATGGGAATCATATGGAATTTCGAAATACCGAGCTCTAAGATTTTTAAAATTTGACTTTTAACGACCTGATTTAATCTTGCCAAATAACGCTAATTGCGCAATGATTTTTAAGTAGTATTTGTTTGTATCATTTGATTGGTCACAAGTTTGTCAGGGATGCGCAAACTTTGAGTCTCAGTTTAAACATGCTTCTGTATAGAAAGACGAAGACTGTTTCGTTTTCACATAGAGCTGGTGTGGTGGAACGTATAGAAGTGCTTTTCTCTTTCAGGAAACTGAGCTCTAACTTATTGGGTATTGTTGTACAGGTTCGGGATCGAGAGCCCTCTTTAGGGCGTGGGGCAAAAGTTGTAGCAGTATCTCTGGATAAGGTGCAGTTTTAAGGTTTCTGAGATGAATCAAGTGGAATAGATAGATGCTTGAAGGCTTTAATAGTTATCGCATATGACTAGCTTGTCATGAAAACTTGACGCGAAGACATCAAGCACTTTGGGACACGCCCTACGGATGTTTTGTAAGTTGAATGACTTTGGAGAATATAAATCATCTTCATAGGAAGATCGCTTATTGAGGAAATAATTACATTTGCCTAATCACATCACAGGTATACCAGCTGAATACCGAAGGTATAGCCTTTCGCTTCTTACCTGATCCACATCAAGTCAAAAACGCACTGGAGGTGAGCTGGCATGACTGTGGTTTGTCCCCCTTAATGTGAAGATGTTGGCGAATACATACATGTTTTGGATTTGAATTCAGGCTGTTTCATTTTCTCTTTTGCGCTCAGCTTGCTCAATAGGCCCTGCATCCCTAAATATCAGATTCTTTACCTACATATTGAGCTAAGTATCTTACGTGTTGTCGCAGACGAAGTTGAAGCCAGGAGAGAAGAGGAAGACGTTTGATGGAGTGCCTGTTTTCCAGGTTTAGTCCACGAGTTCTAGTCATAAATTCTCTTCACAGCTGTTCAGCACATGTCTTTGAGGCACCAAGATGGATGTCAAGAGCTTTAGCTTTGTACAAGTTTTGGATGATTGTCATCATGCCATGAAAATCATCATCCTCCTCCTCCACAGTAGTGCAATTTACATTGAATTACTCAGACTTGCAGTCTTACAAATCAGCCCATAGAATTTCCTATTCAACAGTTTCTTCTGTATCCACACATTCATCTGAACGCACGTTGTGTTCTTTTACAGTCTGACAACTTGATTCTACGGAGCAACAATCGACGTTTCTGCCCAATATTTTTTTGCAAGGTGAAGACTTCGATTTTTACAAAATTTGTGATCGCGGAAAAATCTACAATGTTGTAACTGGTTGCCTTATAGTGGTCCATGTAATTTTTTCTGAACTCCATATGACCTGAATTACAGGAGGACTTGGAAAGGGCTCTCAGTAGAGCCTTCAAACAGCAGCAAAGGGTGAATCCCTCTTTGCAAGTAAATTCTAATATTCAGGTGAGTATTCCAAAGTCATCTGAACAATATTGAGTTTGTAAATCTTGAAACTGTAATATTTAGTTTACTAAATGGTTGGGATACTTGTCTTTACGTTGAATATCTCTTACGTGAACCTAGTAACAACACAAGTAAAAAAGTTGCACAACAAGGACCTCTGATTTTTTGATTGTATACCTAAAGGAGAACACATCACCCGTTAAGCTATGCCGTAGCAGTACTTGGCTTTGGGCGTCGTTCCCTCCACTAACGGAACGTTATGGACTGGTTGTAATCGTCAGGTTGGTAGTTTTGAAGATGTCTTGAAAAGACTGGAGGTAAGACATCATCATCAAATCTTCACATACTGATTAGTAATTTCGTTCTTTGCATTTTAGTGTACCTCTTGAAGAGAAGAACCTTCTCAATTTCTTCTCAACTTACTCTGACTCTCATTTTCAACAGAGCAACGACGAAGATACAGGTTGGGGCGATATTGTGTTTATTCCTCCTGGAATGGATGCTTTCAGTCATCTAGGAAAAGCAGTTGCACAAGCATCAAAGCGGGGTGAATCCGTTGTTGCATAACCTCCAGAGTAAATTGCAAATTAGTTAGGCGACAATTTTGACAAGCCAAATTTAATCAATCTCTCATTTTCAGTTCTCAAAAGGTTTTATTACGACTCTTCATTGGAGAGCTGTGCCCTAAGTGAAGAGCAGCGACGGTGATTCTTAGTCGCGTATTTAGCTTATTGGGAAGAATATTTGATGCAAAAGAAACTGAGTAGTACTTGGAAGTGTTAGCTGAGTTAGCCATAAAAGGTGATCACCATCTATGGTGAACTTGAATGTCAATCTTGTCAAAGCATGTCATCCCACGCAGATTATCTATAATAAAGGATCAAAAGCATGTCACCGAGCAATCCCCTTAATCTATTCTGAATAGTTCATGTCTCGTCTTGACAATTATGTTCTGCAAGTACCGCACTGTACAAGTTACGTCAAGATCCCAATATGCCCCGTGAAGGGAGACACAGCTGAATTGTCTGAGGAATATTGCACAATCAAATATTATATGTTGTATGTGAAGTCTACTGTACATGGTTTTTGTGTCAATCATTGGCTGTATCTCGACCTTGTACAGTACAATAGCAGAACGAACTGCTACCCACCCACCACCGTCGACTGTGGATCGTGTTGTCACGACCCACGAATCAGAATGTTTAGAACTGTGGAGGATTTGTAAATAGTCATCTAAGACATACATCGTCCAGTTGCTCGTTACACTTACCGCCTATTTATATTGCCCGAAGGAGCGCAAGTGCGCGTCGAAGTCTCTCAGTGTGTTCGGACTCTGGACTCAACCCAGAGTTACCCAGAAATTTTTTCCATTAAGAGAGTAAGTTTACACGCCTCGCTACCTCTACCACCACGAAAGGACAACATGCCCCCGTTGTCGTCTGCTGTAAAATTACAGCCACTTCCTTCATTCTGCAATTTCGTCTCTCATTTGACATGACAGTGACGAAGCTTTGACTGGCAAGGTCCGATATTCGTTGACACGGAACTGGACGAATGAAGGGGCCACTGTCCTCTACTTCACTTTTGGAAGCTAAATCTCAAAAGTATACATTTCCTTGGGGAACGAACCGGTTGTAGAATAAGAATGGACGTTCTTCAAACGGAGGTCCTTCTGTGAGGCGCTTTCATCAGCAAGCGTTTGTACAAATCCGTCAAGTAGCAAGCGGATCTATTCACAGTGAGGCTAGGAACTTATGTAGTGAGTACTCTATTGACTTTGTTGGAAACTTCGGTTCCTCTCGATCGTGCGGACTGTGCAAGGTGTACAGCAACTCTCTTAGATCACGTTACATGCGAATACTCGGAACACTAAGAATACGTACAGTGCTAGGAGTCGAGGAAGGCTCCACGCTTAGCAAGACAATTTGAAGGATGTTAGACACTGTAAGTAAGATCTCTATTGCAGATCTACCTGAGGACGCTACAGTCCCGCTCGACAGACACTCAATCACCATCTGTACTGTTTAGGTGGTTGCTGTTTGTCCTGGGGGAAAAGAAATCCTTGTTTCTGCATGAGCTTGAGCGATCAAGTTGACCCGAGAGACTATACATTATCACGTGGCTCCTGCGAGGCAAGAACTCACGAGGTGTTCAAGCTTTTGATGTTCGTTCGATCGTATCGTGACTTCAAGAGGTGTTCGGGCTTTTGCTGTTCGTGTAATCTTGTTGCACGTGACCTTTCCCTTGCGAGACATGGACTCAAATCTGCAGTTGCCATGAATGATTCTAGCGAAACGCACCGAGAAGCCACGATCAGCATCCTCTTAAAGTTACTGTTCGTCATGCATACACTACTGGAACATCAACAGCTGTAATAGCAAATCTCGTATGCTCTAAAAAGGCCTTTGAAGCACCTTCTTTTCCTTCAGTCTCAATTCCCAACTGCATCCAGATTTACGAGTCTTTTAAGTCTTTTAGGCTTCTATAAAAGTATCCATTATCTACCCATTGGAAGAATTTCATTCAATTGAAAGAAATGTGCATAACACAAATTCTTTTTGTATAGTGTTGGGATAGTTAGAATTCCAAGTCCTTTTGAGATATATTATCATCCATACTGTACTCAGTATTTACATGCAGCCTTTGCAACTAAGTTCCACTTTTGTTGAAAATTTGACAACATACAGTTTATAACTGCGCCAACAGAAGCTTGTGTTCGATCAATTACGCAACGTATACCGCCTGGTAGAAATTGCTTTAAAGTTATAATTGTAATCTAAGTTTGCGCGTTTACAATACTCATCACAAGCTTCATTTTGTAAAATATGGATCATCGTGGATTTAAAACTTTTCTTAAGTGAGAATAGGTTTCCAAAACCAAACTGCGTATTATTTGAATGTTTATATATTCAACGAGGTATATGATCTTACATATAAATAAATCTTTGTATATGCAATATATTTCTTCAAATACGGAAGTATGGAACCAGAGCGTCTATCAATGATATTTGGTGATTCCAGTGAGTGATATTGGGAATATTGCTAAATATTTATGCTGAGTCCAGGGAATATGAAGTGGGTGATTCGGTCCATCAACAATGAAATTGAAATTTTGTCATCTTTCCTTACAGTAATGAAGGGAAGGCCTAAATCCTTCTCTTCTCATCCTTCCCGTACAACAGTATCACATCTTAGGGATGTGATACTGTTGTACGGGAAGGATGGTTGTTGAAACTATAAACATCAATCATGGCATAGAGCTCACTTCCATAGAATAGTTCCCTACAAAGAATTGATCCGCATTACACGATTAGGATACAGTTAATACAGTTGATTATTTAATATCTGTGAGCAAACCAAGACTCCACAAACATCTTGCAGATTCCTGTACATCAATGATCATGAACCAATGATTAAAAATCATCGTAAACAATGACCCAGAGGAATGATAGGGAACTCATACCAACACCAGTAAAAGGCAGATTAGAATAAAGTTTGAATTATCACAGAACCTTCCTCTTCTTAATGACCTCTCCTTTATGCCAAGATGTCACTTCCTGCTGGCTGCCGTTGAGATTCAGTCTTATGCGACGAACGTCAGAATGAGTTGGGCCTCGTAACAGTCCTTCGTCATGAAAGAAGCATAGGGCGCGAAATCTCGACAGGCAATCGTAGACAGGGTGCCCATGGAGGAACGAAAGGGGCGGTGTCTGACGAACCATTCAATGGGAAACGGTAAAGAACCATGGTTCGGGTCTCCACAAAGAAGCATCCGCGACCTCGGCGCGTGTACCCCGAGCACGGGGTCCGACAGTCAAATCAATCAATCCTCTCCTCCTCCTCCTCTTCCCTTTCCTCCTCCTTCACGTAGACCCGTAGCATAATCACTCGACGCTAGGCTTTAGTTGTTGGGAAGTGCTTTCCTGTCGGCAGTTTCCTGTCGTCATTTGGGCTTGGCCAGACAGAACCTCAAGCATCGAGCACGGCTGTTCATGTCGCCATGCCGTCGTCTCTGATGCGATTCGAGACCTTCGTCGTGGAAATCGATGGGGACAAGGGGTGGGGCATATTTGGAAAGCCGTGAAGATCACGGCGAATTTGCTTGAACCAGCAAGCAACTCGCCGACTGGCCTCGGAAACATTCCTAGTAGGAAATGGATCACCACAGGAATTCCTTTAGATACGAGCTCCTGTAAAATTGCGCAGTCAACTAAAATCTAGCCCCGAGCGGTGAGTTCAACAGGAAGCTAAAAAGTGACAAGAAATACACCGAAATCGACGAATTCGACGGGATTGGAGAAGTCCCAGGAACGAAAAGAAGATTGAGCGCAAATGAAAGAGGAGAGGGCGAAGCCGCTAACCTAAAGAAGGAGTGGACAGTGTATTCTATCATCCCAAAAATAGAAACTCTCATTGTTTTCCACTGATTTTCACCAAGAAGGAATGGACAGTCGAGGACGGTAGCGGTAGCGGAAATTTTAAACATACAGATGGCAGTGATGCTCTTGTTGAACGGCAAGCTGTGATGAATTTTGACCTTTATTTATTAGTGTCAAAATATTATTTATTTATTTATTTATTTATTTTATTCATGAATACATTTTTAAATTTCATGATAAAAAATTTGAATTTTTATCATGATTTACAACGCATTTGTATTGCGGGACACGTGCTTCTCTAAAATAAAGTCAGCTATCAACGTCTCAGCCAAATGTTAGTAACTATGGTGGTGCATAATTACGATATTTAAAAACTGAATATCCTGGTTGATCGAAAATCTGGAAAAGAGGTTTCAGCAATTTCGGCAAATTAGTGGCGCTGCTGGGTTATGGCTTTCGAAATAGAAGGCGGATATATAGAAAAAAGCTTGTCGATTTACGAGCCAGATTTACTGGCCTCATGGTTGTGGCGCTTATCAGATTTATACTTCTTGTAATAATATTTTTGCTTCGGCTTTGAGTTGAGTTGACAGTTAATATTATTAATATTAACTGTCAACTCAAAAGGTTTTGAATGATACATGTAGTTATATTTCGGTGTGAGCTAGCTAACCTTGCATGTATGAATTTATTCATTCACTTGTGTCTAGATCTCACTTGTGCAAAAACCAAATGCCTAGTTTCTAAGTTTTTACCATTCTAATCTAAAAATAGTTATATTTTATAGAAAAAATTTATATTATATCTAGGCCATCATTTTCTAGGACAGATACTTGCAGTATCTGTCCTAGAATTGTGAAACTAATTTTGAAAGTATTTTGAAATTTATTTTTCGAACAACAGATATCATTGATTTTAACATAAAAGAATTTCAGTACTTTCTTTTGTTAGAAAATAAAATATTTCCAAAAAAATTTAAAATTTGCAAATATTTTAACTCCTACTTGCCTACAAAAAAGCAGTAATCCTGCAACGTAGTACGTTATTGAAATATAAATTTGACAACATTTTTTCTTACTTACCTCTGAAATCTTTCTTACTTACCTTACTTACTTACCGCATCCTACGACGAGGTTTGCAATAGATGGACATTAGTTAGCTCTGGGTATATGACAAACAAGGAAACCCTCTTACCCTTTACAAATTTGTTTTATATACACGGTTTAGGCTTTAAACTGAAGGACAAAAATGTATTATATACGCGTTATACAAGTGGATATAGTCTCCAGGCGCATATAATCTTCGATCAAACACTTAAAAAATTCCTTTATTCTATGTACAACACGCACAGGTATGCACAAGTCCATTTGAACAAATGCGTTCTTTCTACAAACCGAGGAAGTTCTCTGTCAGATTCTAGTGCAAATTAAATGAGATCGCCTCGAGTTTGGAGCAATTGAAACATTAGTCCAGGACTCCGTGTTAATCGAAGATGATTATTGCATGGCCAACAACTGCGATAAAATCAATGGAACGGATGGTCTCCATCTGAACAAGGCCCCAACTTCTGAGAATCAATTCTCAATGGCCCCAATATCCTCCTCGGGTATGTTTACTACTGTACTGGAGACGTACCAGAAGGAGGGCAGCTGTGTCAGGGCCAAGCTCGGACACGCTGAGCTACTCTCGAAGCTCCAACACTCGCTAGACTAGACTAGGATCCCATTACGCAAAGCTGCTTATAATCGTGTTCTACAGGCTGCTCTGCACCATTACCTGGTCTTTCGCTTCTTGGAGGGCCAAAATTGGAATTGCAGCTCGGCTGAAGGATGTATCTACGCACATGACTCAAGATAAGTTTTGGCTTTTCATAGTGGAAAAGGAAACAGAAAAATGTTTTAATATATCGAAAGGGCTCCACAAACCGGTGACCTGCCACTTTCGACGACCTCGAGTAAGACGTGTCGTGCAGAACGATTAAGCCTCGCCACTTTGGTGAAAAGAATGCATCTGTGGACCGTTAAGTTATGAGGTTAGATATATGAGAGCTGTTAACTCCAAAGCATAACTTAGTCGAGGACACAGTAAAGGAACAAAAAAGATGGGAACAAAGTCCTAGGCATGACATCTCTATAGCTGAATATATAGTTCAGTACAAAGAAGTCGCATGTGTAGCTCCAATCCTCGACCACACGAAGGGCGTGTCAAGGATTCGTTGCCACCCGCTTTTCCTTGTAGTGATCGTTGTCTTGCTTGCTCGCGTATCATGCCAAATTAACATACCACTGCGCGTCTGTCATTAACATGCCATAAAACATTTATCACTCACATTACATGAAACTTTAAGATGTTTCTTCACTGAGGTTTTTCATATGCATCATACCCTTGATCGCTTTCCTTCTTAATGGGGACACATCGTTCTTGAGACAGAGTTTTATTACTGGTTAACACATTTATACGGAAGATGATGCTCCTCTGTTCAGAAAAAAATGGCTTCCTTCGCTGTAAGTTGCTAGAAGGTAGTAACCTTTTTTTTAGGGCCAGTTGCGCGTCAGCTGCAGAAAATGCTCATTGAAGTAATTGATAACTACCGGATGAGCACTCGGTCTGAATACCGGGGGAGGCAAGTCTACTGGTGGTATTTTTAAAGCTATCGATTAAAAAGAAAAAGGAAGAATGGGGGAGACTGCACGATCTTAAAATGCAACGGCATATTCACAAGATACTGGCTATGAGAGTGAGAAATATCACCTCAATATCTTGTGACTTTGATATAGTTAATTCCATGTACCATGAACTCACACTTAAATATAATTAGAGCCACATGAATTTGACATCGTTGACTTGTAGGCTCGATGATGGTAATGCTATAATAGATCAGAAGTGAGAGGTCGTTTGGGTCGATGCCATGTAGGTTTAAGTACGCATCAGTGTCACTTTCAAGAGATTCTTCCTCCTCATCATGACAGACAAATATACATTTGACTTCAGTATTCCAAACGGAATTACATCAACTGTCAAACTAAATTTAGTCTTCTTCTTTTTTGTTCAAAGTTCAAATCCTCGGTGATGAAACTCTAATTTCACAAAACTCACAAGCACTGAAATCAAAAAAAGTATTTAGAATGATATACCGTACAATATCTTTAACATGTTAGCATGAAATTTTCTATTTATTGCTCCAAAGCTAATATTTTGTAAAAAAATTTGAAGAAAAATTAAGTTTAACATAAAAGTTGTTTCAGATGCTACATGGCATCCACCCAAATGACCTCTCAATTTTGATCTATAATAGCAGTATCATCATCCAGCCTACAAATCATGCAGTGTAAAAACATCTTGGATCAACAATTTTTGGAACACATAAACTTGAATATACTTTTTCTTCATTTTTTAATCAAAAAGATGAATTATTAACAATTTTTAATCGCGAATTCTAATATAATTTTTTAAAATTGCGAGATTATATTATAGCAGTATTTCTATAATGATGATTTTTTAATAATTTTTTGATAATTTTAGGCTAAAATATTTTAATAAATAAAAAATTTATTACTAATCAGTGTTTTTGTCAAGTTGAGTTTACTTTTGTTACGTAAAGCAAATCATTTAGCTTTTATTGAAAATGCTCAAACATATGGAACGTCATAATTTAATGAAACAACCGATAAGTTATCTACTTGTTCCATCATAAAGATTATAAATAAAAAAAATCAAAAGTATGCAGATATATTTTGGATTGAGACGATGAAATTGTTATTATTTTCCATCAATTTTCAAATATGGAAATTTTTCATCTTGAGTCTAGTACAATAATGTACATTAATTTCATATCTAATGATCTGAATAAAATTAATGAAAGTTAAAACTTTAATAAAAAAATTTACATTAATAATAAAATATGAAAATTATCTCAAAACTTGATATGATATGAACTTAAAACAAAAAATACACCTACAATTAATCTAAAATCTTATAATCATCATTGATGAAGTCCAAAATATTAAGAAATCCAGTTCTTGAAATTGAAATGATAATACAATAGATTGCTGTTTTTTATACATTTTAAACATAAAACTATCGGATTATTGTATAATAGATTTTTTTAGAGTTTAAAATTTTGAATTGAGTGACGTTCCACCTTACTTTTTTGAGATTAATAAGTATATTGGACTGTTGTTGGAAACAAATTGTTAGTTAGCAAAGAAATTTAATAGGAATGCAATGAAATAAACAAATCTAGAAAGTTTACTTTTAGATAGATTTCAACAATTACATGAATGAGTTCGTGAAAACTTCAAGAATTTAAAATTCTGTATGGTTTCTTTGAAAAAAATTTAATGTCTTCAAGCATGGATATGAAATATGAGACAAATGATCATGATGTGTATTTATACACAAAGCATAAAAGGTAAAATCGAACAAACATGATCATACCTTCAGGTGTGACAAAAATAATAACAATCAGCCCCACACACACACACACACATAGATATATAAACTCTAATCACTCTAAAAAATTAGTTCTGTATACACGATCATCTAGTATGTATCTTTAATGAGATTCAAGATGTTTTATATATCTTCATGCTCGTTGTTCAGACAAAAACTGAATAGAATATTGACAAGAAGAAATGTGAAATAGGAAATAAGAAATAATCAAGAGGAGAGATAATAATATTGTAAAAAATATATCTCTAAATACAAAAATAATTTCAAAGAAAGAAACGTCATGATCAATCACATAGATGCATACACTCATCTTGAGATAAATACAACTATGGATTTAATTATATCCATAATTGTGTATTTCATCATATTGTGCTCCAATCAGCTATTGATTGTGTGTTAGCATAAGAAGATGTACTACTAGGTGAAAGTAAGATTGCTATCTTCAAGTATCTGAATTCACTTCCTTGATTAACAAATTATTTGCATCTCTTTCAATAACATCATAAAAGTGCATAATATATGAACAAAGTTTTGATATTGTGCTTTGTCAAGGTTATTCGCAATATAGTGTATTAGATTGTAAAGGCCATATTAGCAAGAGCCATGTATGTCAAACACAACATCAACTGGACTTTCTCCACTTAATCCTTCTTTTTCTTAAGAAGTGCGAGGAATGTGATGAAAGTCTGGCTTTCAACATTGAAATGGAATCAATTGATAACTTTGAGGGAACTCCAACTCGAACCAAAAGGGAACTTACGCAGTGAATCAAATATGAAGATGAGCGATATTCTTTTCCTTTGATGCATCTACTCCCAAGTCTACAGCATGGTTATTAACTACAGAGAAGCCATGATCACTGGTTTGTTCAAAAGAGATAGTAGTAATGTTGCAAAAACATTGTGCTGTGCTTCTTCCACCTTCTATGAAGTAAATGCTATGGGAGCTTCCAAGGAATAAGAACACCAAGAGCAGGAGAAAGCGCAATGATGAACACCACGTACTGTGCTGAGGAAGGGCAGCATCAGATTGCACAGTCCGCATGAACATGACATAAGTGATGATAGAGCGGCTGCGAAAGCATGCGAGCGGCGAGATCCCGAAGCACGGGAGAGGCTGATGGCGAGAGGCAGCATGACCGAGAGTCCGTGGCGGGGATCCGGTCAGAGGAAGAAGCAGGAGGTGGAGTGGGGCCGACGTCGGGCCCGAGCCGACAGACGCGAGCCCGAGCGCGAGCTGGTCTTGTCGTCGCGCAGAGGAGGAGGGGGAAGGCAGGGCTCAGGGCGGGGCCTAGGACGCGGACGTAAGAATCGCAGGCGATGGCGATGGGAGGCGTGACACGGCGAGCGCAGAAGATTTCAGTTTTATATCTTTATTTAATATTGGAGAGTCGAATTCGAAGCGCAGGAGAGGCGCGGCTCGGTCTTCGGAGAGAGGCCGACGGTCTAGAATAGTGGGGCGCGGTTGACAGTGCGTCAAATCGTTCAGGGATTCATCGTGTTCGGTACTGGGGAAGGCGAGGGCGAGGAGCAGCCTCAAATCCGACTGGCATTGCCGCGCTCGTTGTGCGCGAGAGTGAGTATTCGTAGCCATTTATCATCGACTCGCTTGCGCACGTACAGCTGCTGCAGCTGCTTCTTTCCATCCTCCCTGTTCCCTCCGGCCTCCCCTCCGCTCGCTGCAAGAGTGCAAGACCGATTGAGTTCATTCACGCGTTGCGGAATCAGGGGATGCTCAGGCGGGCGGATCTTTCCTAGCAAAGCGCACCATCAGCCTACTACGAACTAGATACTGCAGGCCATCGGGACAGGGGGCTCACATACACGCGCACACACAGGGAAAAGAGGGAAATACTGGCGGACAGATCGACAGACGCCGGAGCGAGATAGCGAGATAGCGAGAGAACGAGAGAGAGATTGAGCGGGAGGGAGTTTGGTTGGAGAAGAAGAAGAAGAAACATTGGCAAATTGTAGAGAGACGGAAGTAGCCGAGTCCAGGAAAGGAGGGGAGTAAATGGTCGATGTTAGTGAATGGCGGCAGGTTGCGCCTGATTTGTGGATGGAGGGATTGAGCGAGGCAGGAAAACTTGAGAAAGCCTCTGGAGGAGATTGCGAACGCGTGGCTTGGGTTTGTGAAGGCAAGAGTTGGGGTCAGGGAAGTGGTCTCAATTCCAACGAGATTCGGTTGAGGGATTTGAAGAGTGGCGCTGGAATGTCGACTGCAAATCTGTTGCCAGGAAGAGACGGTTGGGTAGCCGAATAACAGCGTATGTTGTACAACGCGGGGTTGAACCTTTGCCACTGACTCCATTGCCCTACGTTTGAATCGTGAGCGGGCTTTGTTTGTTAATTAAGGGGCTATTACGAGCTGTTTGCAAGTAGTGGAACTTCGGCTCTCGCCCACAGACGCGTGTTTCGGGTGTATGATTTCACTCAAGAGTTACTGTAAGCTCCTTTGATGCTCGACTCTCCTCCAACTTGCTCCCAAACCATTATTATCATGCCATAGCGTGCACTGCACAACCATATATTTGGCCATTCGACACATATTTTCCTAATATCTAGCTGCAACCTACGTATCTGGATATGTAAACATACAGAAATTCACAATAGAATGATCATAAGTTATGGGTGTTAAAGGATTACTAGCCATTTTTACTCGGAATCCGAGTTTGAAGCATCTCTTCTTCCTTTAACGTAACTTTGGCTACCACTTAGGATACTCATGTGATTGATATATGATAGCTTGTGACAAAACATTGGAAGTTCACCGCTGACCTTTATTGTCCATCCGTTTTGTGACCATGTCGCAGTGACTGCTATCTTGACAAGTCCACTCGATTGTGTTTTTCCATTCTTGGAAAACGTGGTGAACGTCAGCATAGTTCTCATAATGGGCTGCTTCAGCTCAAAACAAATGAAACAGCCACCTGGATACGAGGATCCAATCATACTTGCGCAAGAGACAGCATGTGAGTGGTCTCTTCAGATAAAAATCAGTCACACTGTTACATATTGAGGCTCCCACTGACAATATCATAAGCAAATGTGATCGTTTTCTTGAATCATCATCAAGTTGCTTCAATTTATATCGAAGCGTCAAACTTACGTAGTTTGAGTTGTTTTTATCTAAGTTGATATAGTTCTTTGTGGTTTTTTTGTTGCTGCATGACTACAGAGTCGTGAAAGGCTTTTAAGAAATCTTCTTCAGAGCAAATTTTTTGAGTAGGTGATCAATAGCAGGCAGTGAAACTCATGTTTTCAGTGTAGGAAGTTGTTTGAGATTACATGTTTGAGGGTAGACCTTAGCAATTGAAGATGTACTTAAGTAGTTGTGATAAGCTTATATTAGCACCAATAAGTTTACCAAAGTACCCTTTTCCAACTTTAAGAAGTGTTGTCATCTTACTCCTCAAGGGTGACGAGCAGAACAATTATTTAGGTTGATTCACTTCGAATTCAAGAATAGCTCTAGTGCCCCGTGTTGGCACTATTGAGTGGTTTCTTCCAGACGATGGATTGAAGCATCTCTTTAGAAAGTTCTTTTCTCTCATCCTTTCCTTTTAAATTGAAGGTTCCCTTATAGTCTTAGAAGTTGGATGCTCAACGCTTGCTCCCGTGGCAGAGGTGATAATCATGAATTACATATTTCCTTAGTAAGGTCTTTTTGACATCGTGTGGTCGTCTCTCCCCGCATCATACAGGCAACGTACCTTGATGCGGTTCACATCTTTGCATCCAAACGAGACCGGAACTCGAACTTAAAGTAGCTGGGTAGAACCATCTTGTGATGAAAGGAAGATTGGTTCAGTTATTTGAAATGAATGGGTTGAGTCTGTTGCGACATCGTGAGGTCTTATAACTGCGTTTGGGTCTAGTTCAGGAGAAATTCGTATGCCTCCAATCGCAGTACTAATATATATATATATATTTCTGGCATTGCAACTGGGCCCTTGGATTGTACCCGGAGTACAATAGTGGTGACTCTTCTGTGTAAACTGCATGTGACAGTTAGTGTAAGCGAAGTGGAGGCCTTGTATGAGTTATTTAAGAAACTTAGCTCCACTGTCATCGATGACGGTCTTATTCACAAGGTAACAGACCTTACAGACCTGCCTATTCCTGGATTCATGTTGCAAATCAGTAATTGGATTTTCTATGTAAGCATAATCTAGTGGATTTCCTCAACGAAGATTTCACATCGCAAAACAACTGTTATATGACGATATTCATGTCCTCAATTTGCTAATGACAATAGTTATATGTACACAGGAAGAGTTCCAGCTTGCGCTCTTCAAGAACAGCAAGCGAGAAAACCTGTTCGCAGATCGGGTTAGTAACTCATCACAGTTTGTCCCTTGACCTCTCCTGCCCTTGTATTTCTAGTTTATTTGTAAGTCCAGTTATCAGAGTGGTGTGCAATTATTTCTGTACATTTTTCATGTTTAAAATACCAGGCTGAGTGTAGAGAAGTTGATCACTTAGAAAAAGTCTGGTAGAAAACATAGTTTGTGACAAGCCCGACAATGGGGCTTGCTTGTAAATGAGATGTGCACAAGGGATTGCAAGCTTGACAGGTGACTGTTTGAAAAATTGAAAAGAATTCGCAAATCTAGCATAAGCGAACTTTCATTCAACTTTAGCACTCCCAATAAATGTTGCAAGTTTAACGCCTTATTATTTATCTGAAATTCATAAAGTTACCTTCAGCTTTATGCTACAAATTTTGGAAAGAAGCCAGCACTATTGCTGATGGATGGTTATCTTGGTCATTGCCGGATGAACTAGATAACCACTTCTATGGAGAAATTCTGTAGATAACAGATGATATAAGAGTGGAAGATCTGCATTAAAAAAATTCTACAGGAAATCCAATGTTTGTCCAGACCGCTTTTCACTCGGGACGTGATTGTTAAGGGCATTATTTTAAAGATACTCTTATTGTTCTTATTCCATGTTTACCATGAATCACTCCCGGTCAAATAATCATGTCAGTGCAGGTGTTTGATCTCTTTGACACAAAGCAAAATGGTGTCATCGAGTTTGGGGAGTTCGTAAGGGCTCTCAGCGTCTTCCATCCAAGTGCTCCAACAGATGATAAAATTGAATGTGAGTACGATATATCTAACTTCAAATTTGCCGGTCCCATACTACTCTTTCCAATCAGTACTTCATTTTCCTGCTAGAAGTATATATTGTCTTTCTGCCATCTAGACATGGTACGGGTTCGCCCTGTCACAGACAGCTTGAACAGTACTTCTGGAAGTATCTCCACTCCTTTGAGTATCATAGTCAAGTAAAGTCACCGGCAGTTGATGTTTATTTTCTCGAGTATTAATGTTGCACTGTGTTCTTTGCGCGCAGTTGCGTTCAAGCTTTATGACCTGAGAAAGACAGGGTACATCGAGCGGGAAGAGGTATTGGTTGTTTGGAAAAGCATCATATTCTTAATTTGCTGGCTTAGTACAAATGACTCCGTTGCTACTTCTGTATAAATCTTTATATGTGTAAGTATCGCAGTTTGTAGTCTATACTCTGATTTAGTTAGAAAGTGGACTCCTTTGCGTGAGTGTGCCCCTCTTTATTGTCGCGCCGTTTGTGATTTGCTGTTGGCCCGAACGGTATGAATGACCATTGACAATTAGTGTACGCGTATTAGAAATATTTCGTTGCACATACTCTTCAGATCTCTCATGATCGTTTCTTCAGTTTCCGTAATTTACTGAACTCCCTATCTATAGTCAGTTTCGTGGCCTGAAAACATCCGATAGAAAGCAGTGACTCAGCCTTGTCAAAGCTTTCTAAAGAAGGCAAGTGTATTTATAAATAGCTGCAAACAAGGCACTGACCTCTACATGTGTTGTGACAGGTCAAGCAAATGCTCATCGCTCTTCTGTCAGAATCAGACATGAAACTGACAGATGACGTAATTGAGGCGATCCTTGACAAGGTTTATCTCTACAATCCGAACTGTTAGTACAAGGAAGTGGCAGAGATGTTTCAACGATCAGATAGGTGCAGGCTCTTGACAACGATAAACTCATTCTCCTTTTCGTGCCGTGTTATTACTGCAGACATTTGCTGAGGCGGATACCAAGCACGATGGTAGAATTGACAAAGAGGAATGGAGAAATCTCGTCATGAAGCATCCTACTTTGATGAGAAATATGACCCTTCCCTATCTAAAGTACGTTCCGGCTTTAGACCATTATCTACTTATTCCATGTCATGCTTTGGGTGTGTGAGGTATCATTATGTTTGGATATCTCTATACATGCGCTGAGCATGTTTCATATTTTGACGCCTTGTGTGTTGAGAATCATGTTTGCAGGTTCCTGCATTATTTGCTTGAGTGAATGCATGTTTCATGTGTAGACAAAGACGTTCTGACTTTTTTAATGGTCGTGTAGGGATATAACCACGTCATTTCCCAGCTTCGTGTTCCATTCTGAAGTGGACGATTCAAATACTTGATTATAAATGGCCCGGGTTAGTAATTTTTTCCGAAGAATTTGTAAATTATGAAATGCCACAAAGCTTGACCTTGCCAAGCTCAACTTAGTAATTTACCACTGACTTATTTGTTAGGGTTTTGAAGTAGGTAGAGAATAGTGGCCTCCAAATTGAGCGAGTTAGTTAGTTGTAGTTGGCGCGCCTACTTGCTCATATCAGCCCCTCTCCGACGGGAATTGAATAATGAAGAGGGTACCTCATACAAATTATCTGCCTTAGGGAGGCCACTTTGTACAATATACACTAGATTACCAGAGATTTATCAACAGGCACGACGCTTGTCTTCCATGCAGCTGCAAGATGGAGTGTGCAAGTTCACATTAGAGTTTTGACCTGCGGAAGATCTCTCTTGTTCTTCCATGTCCAATAACAGAAGAAAATCTATTCCCGTGTGGGTAGTAAGGCCCTTATTGGTACTTTTTTCTGGCGACATCGATGTTTTACTTAAATCCACTGTAATTTCTGCGATGACATTGTTTTTTGCCCCTGTCAAGAGCAGGGGTCACTTGTGGAGTGCGAATAAAATTAATCTGAATCTGTAGCAAGCGTCTGTCGTACATCGCCGACGTTATCGATAGATGGTCTACTTGTCGTCCCCATATACTTAAGTAAAAGTTTGTTTCATGAGTTCATAAGGATACTCCAAACGAATCTATCCGGTGACAGCTTTGTTTGTTTTCTTGTTATTATTTTAAGACTTCCATGGTTTATTCGAAAGGAGTCCAGTGACTTTTTGCTTATGCTGAGCTATTAATACGTTTCTCGGAATTCTGTACGTATGAAGGAAGACAGGCCAAAGCTCAGTATCGTGTCCGCAAGTATTGTTCATGAGGCGTCAGTAGTCCGTAGTTTCGTGTAGGGTCTGCCAGTAAATAGTGCGAGGACGTAATGCTCACTTATTGTAAGGCCTTAGAAACTTGTTAATTGTCATTGCTTTTGTTATATGTGCTTAGATTTTATGCTCAGCACTTTGTATATATTGAAAGTTCCTTGGTTCATGTAATATCAATTCCTCTTATCTTGAGCAGCTGTATCAAAGCTTGGTCAAACTTAGTGATTCATCATGCGGAATCTGTCCATTGGTGGTAATTCCTGCGCAGTCTATACTTCAGATCCAATTGCTTGTTTATCCGCTTACGCATCAGTGCAGTGTCCTGTTGTAAAGCAAATGAGTTGCCCCTGGGTCGTACCTACTCTTCCTGGAATAGATAAAAGTTCAGAGGGAAGCCCCTGGCTTGATGGGAGTTCACATGTCTTTCAATTATAGCACCACAGTTATCTAGTTTTCCAGCCTGTATGAACCACCTGGAAAGAACAGTTGTACTACTTCTAGATGCACGTGTCTTCCACATTTAATCTTGGTGAAATTTCTGAAGAGTAGACTGCTTCCTAGTTTCTACTCGCCAGTATTTGTATGGAACTCTGGAGCACACTGAGGATGGACCGGGCGGTTGATGATCACTCAGTCACCAGGTTCGATCCATTTTTCTGTATTCTAATTTCCTATTTGCTTTCTGCCTTAGTTAGGTAGTGTGGTATAGATACATATGCATGTATTTATTGCCAAGTTCAAAGAACTAGTTGTTACACTCTTTTCTATATTCTCACCACTCTAAATGTTTTGTGTCTTCTAAATATATATGCTGTAAACAATATTATTTTCAAACATTACTTCATCCCGTATCAAATAATCTATAATAATCTACTGAACTCACAAAAATCGATTTAGAAATCATTATAGTTCAAACCATAAGATCTGTGTATATATGTTGTCAATTAGTTGAAATTGTCAGTTTGAATAAGGTATTATTATCATTCTGGTTGTAATTGTTTCTCCACTTGAATTTTTAGTTAACTTGCATGATAAAGTAATGGTTTTCATAGTTTTTTTAATTATAAGTGAATACCAATTATCAAATTTCTTGCAACAATGTCCATGATTTATCGAAGATTTTGCCAAAATATAGTGATTATCTTGAAAATAGAATTAGAAATAAATAATTTACATCCTAAGTCTGTTTTAAAACAGTAAACCTAACAAAAATCTGGAAGATATGTTCTAAAATACTTTTGACCATAACAACTCTAAATACTGATACACAATTCTTTATAGTAATAACCAAAAATTTTAATTTTGGGTTTACACTGTAATTGTTTTTCAGGAAAGAACATTTTTTACATACATTGGAACATTATATATAATTAATTTTTATTTCTAGAAGTTTACATGCTACATTAGCATTTTTAAAATATTGTTTGATGACAATTCTTTAAAGAATAATTTTGCTTGAAAAATATAATTTTCATTCAATGTTACGAGTTTATCCAAAGAAAAAAAACTTTACTATTGGTAATAATTCTACAACCTATAAATGGCACACATGAAAACAATATATTTTTTGGATGTCAAATTTAGAAGGATATTAGATAGAAAGTTTTTAAGAAATGCGTTTTAAGGTAGCTGCAAAAATCATACATGAAATCGAAGTACAAATGGTATCAAATGAACCATTATAAAAAAATGATTTTTACCAAATATGTTGTTGCAATCATTATCTTAGAACTAAATTTGAATTTTATGTTGGATTAATTTTACACAATTCATTCATTGTAAACTAAGTACTCATGAAGTATGAAAAAAAACTTTAGTTTATAAATTTTGATGAGATGATAAATAATATAATTTTTAAATAATATAATTTTTGTCATTATATGTTTAGATAAATCATTTCGTGTTATATCGAAATTCACCATTGTTAATTCTGTTTTCATTTAAATCTCATACTTTGTGTAAAAAAATTTAATCCACTTAAATTTTAAATAATCATCAAAAAATTTCTCGTATATACATCATATGTGGGATATAACATCAAGAACTTTATATGATGTTTGTTTATAATACAATACACATAAATTTCTCAAGTAATTTTTTATGTAAATATTAATCATTTTTTAACCCACTGTTGCAATTGTATTTTGTATTTGTTTCGTTCAATACTAGATTCTACTTTTCATACATGTGAAAAAAATTCACAAATTGAATAACTATCATCAATATATCATACTTATTTCTGATGAAGTGATCCATAGTGAGATTTCAAATAAATCACGAGAGCATTGTAGACTTAAACTTAATACAGCAACTTCAACTTATATTTATCAGATGTACTTCATTAATAATCAATCTAAATAAACTAATTTATTTTTTGATGATTAATGAATGCACGTTAATGAAGTTGAAATAATGTGTTTACCGCAAGCAAAGTTCTCCATACATATCATGCAAATAATTATATCCAATTTCAAAGGGTATTGTAGGATGATGCAAATGTTAGACGTAATATCATATTATATCAAAGCACTTTAGAATGCGACTTAAAATCATATTCTTCTCGCAAGGAAAGTTCTCCGGCCATATTATGCAACAAAATTATATCCAATTTCAAAGTGCATTGGAGGATGATACGAATGTTAGAACTAATATCATATCATATCTAAGTACTTTAGAACCTGATTTTCCTAACGTTGAGCATTTAAATTTCTTCTCACAAATATTGTTGAACAAGAAACAAGATAATCTAGACTGCAAGAAGCTCTATAGAGTTTGCAATAACATCGACTAGTAGATATATAGGCTATCATTGCTGATTTGCATGTGTAACCTGGTTTGTAAATAATCTAAAGAATAACTTAGACTTGAATTCATTATTATGACTTACAACACGTCAGGGGATTTATCTGCACTTACAATTGCATGAGTTTCTCCTATAGGTTTGAATGGAAGTTGTGATATTTTGATATGATTCAATCCTGATTTTGATGTACAATGACTTTAGCAAGACTTTCTTGGAAATGAATCATGAACATGGAAGTCTATTAAGATATTACCTGGTTGACAAGTTGCAGCAATATCAAATGATTTTGGATGTGACTTTTCATTGCTAGTTAATGTGTTGAAGTTTAAGAGAAAGATATGTTAGTATATCTACAACGATCATCGACACTTCCTTGAATAATATCCTCAGTTGGATTTTGAGGTGATTGTATTATTCCTTGCGCATCCACTCTGATAGAAGCTTTTTCACCTTGAACTACAACCTATTCCTGTGAAAGCATCCCAAAAGCTGTAGTTTCTATGTCTTTCAAAACACATCATAAGCAAAGTTCTCTTTCATGCGATTGAGACACTCCATCTACCTCTTGATTCTTCTACCTTCAACTATACTGCTAATACCTTGAATGTTAGACAGATCTGACATGTCTTTGAACCTCGAACTCAATGTACAGAAACTATCAATATGAACCAAAGTAAAATTTGTCTTCCAAACAAAAATCAAGGAGATGAAATCAAGTAAAAAAAATAGCAAATTGAAAAAATGTATTGTACAAAAAGACAAGTACAGAACATTAGATTCTATATCACATCTTACCTTTGAACAAGACATAAGTCAAGATTTTTTTTCACAAACCAACACTTGCGTTTATTTGCAAGAAACAAAAATCACTTCAGCAGATTATTAAACATTGAACAACATTGATTACAATCCCCAAAAAGAGGGAAAAATGTAACCTTTTCTCACACTTTGCAAGAGTTGCAACAACTTTGGTGTTCTATGAAAGTAGTGATTTTTCTTTTGCAAAACCAACATCATCGTCTTTTGACTCTTGCCTCCATATGTTATTTTGTGATGGATGTTTTTCATATCAATCCCAATACTTTTCTCTCTTACTCCTTCATCGGTCATCAAGGTTTTGGCCAACAATTCTTAAGTATTTTCTGCTCTATCTCTCTCATAACAAGTGAGTAATCAACAAGCGATTGTAACTCAACTGGAAACAAATTTGATCTTGAATGATGTATAGAATCAAATTTCCAACAAATGATCAAATTCAAACAAAAGAATAGAGTTGTTCTGAAATAATAAAACAAGCAATGGAATGTTACAAGGTCATAATATTAAACTTTAGATTGTATGTATTAGAAAAAACACCCATTTGGAAAAAAAAAGGAAAGAAATATCCAAAACATAAATATTGTAACATAAAATTCAAAGCCAACCAAGAAACAAACACTACTAATGTCTAAATTCACAATTCACAAACAAATATAGAAATGTATGATTTTCACTTTCGGCTACGTCCAAGATAACACTTTAAACTTTACTCAAATTATTCAATTAATGTGAGTGTTATTAGAAGTTTTGGTTAGCTTTTCTAAATAGTGATAGACTAACTATTTTAATTTAACGTGGTTAGACTAATGAAATTTAAATGAAAACTTGGGATAAATCCTAACAATCAATGCAAATAATATGCAACACAAAATATTTAGAAATATTTCCAAATTCAGAAAGATTATATGTAGATTTTACATGATTTTAGGTTACATCATATTAATAAAGCTTTGAGTATAAAATGAATATTTATAATTCTTGTGCTATGTATATATATTTAGTGATATCATGTTATCAATCATATGAATATTAAGTGTAGATTGACTCATGTATCACCATGAATCGGTATATGTTGCATCGAACATATCAAAACATTGTGAATGATGTTAATATGGAAAGCTTTTAATTTTTAAAACATCATATATACCTATTCTATTGAATGAAGTTAATATTGTATGCATCAGTTTGGTATACATTACGCTGGATGAAAAATTTAGGATTGCAACTTTGTTCCAGCCAAATGAATACTTTTGATTATATCAAAATCAAAGAAGTGCTAGTCAAAAGAACATCCGTATGAAGCTAAAAAGAAAGAGTGTAAATGAGTCTTGGTATTATAACGAATGGTCAGATCTACTCAGTAGTTGATTTGAGTGTAAATAGAAGATGAAGATATAATATAAACCTCCAAGTTGGTCAAAGAAGAAAACGAGTGAGATTAGATTTAATTAAAATCCATGCATGTCTGACATAAATTTTAAACCAGCATAAATTTGCAACAACAACTTGGGAAGATACTAATAGTACTAATACAAACAAAAGTACTGATAGTTTCAACAATGAAATATAATGTAAGGATCCTTCATACAGAAACAACAAAATGATTTGTTCACGCTTTTGCCAACCCTTTATCATGTTTAAATAACGACACAGATATTGATCCTCATATAAACGGACTTAGAACGCGACAAGAATGCATATAGAGAACGAATTTTGAAGAAAGTAAATGGATTGATAAAAAAAATAGAAAATTTTACAAGAAATGTCACATGTGTATAATCTGAAATAGTAACAATTTGTCCATGATGCAATGTATCTTAAAAAAATGCTACATGGTCCATGTAGTGCGAGGCAAAATACCCAGAGCTCAATAATACTCGTAAATGCTAGATCCTTGATGTGGGTAGATGCTATGCAGGTCATATGAGGATCTCAAACTTTTACGGTGTGACACATTGAGTTCAAGTTTAGAGGATGAAACCTGACTCAAGTAATCAAAGACTTGTTTAATGTGATCTCGTGTGACACACAGTGTATTATTATCATTAGAGTGCACCACACACAACTCGGCAGCGCCGAAGCAATAGCCAAGTCAAAGAAGGGTAGTGACAGGAGTCACGAGGACTCTAAAGCAGGAAGTTTGTATAGATGCAGGACGAGGTCAGAAGACGTGGCTGAACACCAAAACCGGGTATTCCAACCGGGTGCGGTTTGGGAAACCACGTAGACAGGCGGACGAAGGAGGAGCTGTTTCTCAGGAGACCGAAACAGCCGCGAAACAAAGTTGACCGCAATAAAGTGTCGAACACGGCGGAGCGTCACGGATCTACCCGGGCGCGTGGAGTGTACCGAATACGAATGTCGCCGGAAAGAAGCGGCAGGATTTGATGACGTGCCTGGGAGTCAGGGAAGGGACGACGCCGCGCGGGGTCGGAACCGAGGCGTTTAACGTCGGGGAGAACCGGGAGCGAGCGAGCGCGGTTGCGCGCGCGGAAGAAGCCGCGCGCCGCCCGGGATACGCCCGCGCGGGGCCTGACCGCGCCACGTGGCTCACGTCCTCCTCAGCCAACGGCCACGATTGGGCTCCCGCGCCCTGCTCTCCTTCTCCGAAGTCTTGTTCGACCCTGCATCCCACGCTCCCCTCCCTTTCCCAATTTTCCTCGTCAAAGTCTTCGTCCTCGGGCCCAAATCTTCTCCAAGCTCTCGCTCCCTCCCTCGCTCCCTCTCCCTCTCTCTTCCTCTCGCTCGCTTGCTTTCTCACCTTCCCTCGTCGCTGCTGCTGCAGCCAGGCCAGAAGACCATCCACGGCATTCCGCCATATAGCGCCCGTGTCGAGAGACTGCTGCCGCTGCGGCCTGGCTCCCCGGATCTAACATGTGTCAATCGATCGATTTCGTCCAGGTGTAGATTGCGCGACTGCGGGTGCGGAGCTTGAAGTGAAGGAAGCCGCGCGAGCTTCGGTCTTCATTTTGAGACGGTCGTGTGTCTCGCGCTCTAGGGCACTGGGTGGGTCGGTACGCGTTGTGTGTGCATCGAACCTTCCTGTCACGACCGTGGTTTTGGAGGCTGCTGCGTCATTTTGGCTTTTGCGTGCGAGTAGTGGTAAGCTCTTGACTTTCCTCACGGCTCACTTGCACCTCGCTCGTTCGTGTTCCATCTCTCTTCCTTTGTTGCCATCTAGCTCTTCCCATCGGATGGCAACAAAGGATTGTCCTCTTTCGGATGGGCTTTGCGTCTAGCTCGGGATATCACCGAGCGAGCTTTTCTCCTTCTACATTCTGCATGTTTCTTTTGACTGCAACTTTCGAAACATTGTCTTCCGACTGGATTTCCGAGTTTGATTTGCTGAGATCCATATGTTTCGAACGATCTCCAGCTTCCGTGACAGTCCCCTCAGTTATTTTCCCCGCACGCTGTCTTCCATGTACTCTTTTTCTCATCGCCTTCATATAGTGGATTCTCATTATTCTGATACTCAATAGCCTGCCAGTGTCTTTTATCTACTCTCGTTCTCGAAAGAGGCCGCCCACTTCCCGCGCGATTACATGTAATCTGTGTTGGTCTTAGCTTGCGATACTTAGGCTTAGGATACCGTGAGACGCAAGTCTTTGGTTCTTGTTCCAAAGTAGATCCATGTGTTGACTCTGTCTTAAATGAAAGGACTTGCTATTTTCGTTTTACGTCATTGTTTTCTCTGTTTCGGATCCATGACACCGCAGTCACTGAATTGCTGTTTGATTGCCATGTTTACAATCTCGATTTCTGTGGGGATCTTATCCCTCTCCATTATTCCCTTCAGTCATCTTTCTCATTTCCTGTCGGGTCTGTCCTCAGAGATTGTCGTTTCGTGTTTCTCTTCTTCTGTATTTTTGTGACGCACTTTGAAGCAGTGAACCGACCCGTGCAGAGTGCGTGTACATGTCAGTGATGAAGTTTATTCTGGATTTTAGCAGTTATCTTTTGGTGTAGGTTTCTGGGGACGATGGGCTGAAGATTAGCAGTTCGTGGTTAGAGATACTAGATGGCTTACGTAACGTATGTTTTTAAGCCAGCTAGCGCTTTTAAAGGGTTAGTCATATCACGCTGATGTGTTTACTCCTCTCTTTGACCAGGTTTCATTTGGGTTTTACGAGCTTCTAGGTGGTTGAGCTACAGCTGAGAGTTCGCTGGCTTGAAACGGGAATATTGCTACCAGTTACAAGCGCGGACCGAGATTTCAGGACGATCAGCGAAAGTGCCCAATGCTGAGTATTGAGCAGAGACGGGTGGAGTAGTCTAGATTCAACTTTAGCATGATAGTGGAAGGATCAGAATAGGGCCAACCTGCAGTAGGACAATGAGTTGTCTCGGTGGTACGAATTTGGCTTCCAAGGAGAGCACAATTGGTGGAGACAAGGACAGCGGCTACGGCAAGAGGTTAGTATCTTTTGCTCGAAATCCTTTTTTTTTTCATGAAGGGTGTAGAAGCGCCTGTCTCAGCTGTTACCTCCCCTCGTTAAGTTCCAGTCGATATCCGCCAGTCGGTAAAACCTGGTAAAACACGCGTCAGTATACCCACAGACAATCGATGTCACAAATATGGATTTGATGAAAAGTCCGAGGTAGAACTACTGCCCATGTCACTATGTTGAATTATCATGTCAAAAGATGGGATTTGCACGGATTTTTCCTGATGTTACTAATTTGATTTGCTTTTTACTCGATCCATGATTGTACCTTCTCGTTCGAATCGGATGGTTCTTTTGTTAACTTCCGTTCCATGTTTGTGGCTGTTCATGGAGATAGTGATGATGGATGGGTCAGCTATGGGTATTCAAGTCTGCGAGGTAAAAGGGCTTCCATGGAGGACTGCTACTCTACAAAGATATCTGAGATTGACGGGAAGACTATTGGCTTGTTCGGAGTCTTTGATGGTGAGAAACTAACTGTTCTTTAATACCTTGAGCCATTAGTGCAGACTCTCGTTAGAATCGATATTTTACGCTCAACATGACTTGTTCATCATGAATCATTCCATATCAACTGGTTAGAATGTCATCGTATATTATGTGTTCTGGAGATGTTGTGAATGGGCCAACCGTGAGCTGAAACAAGTCACTTCATGTAGGTCACGGCGGAAACCGGGCAGCGGAGTACGTGAAAGAGAAGCTCTTTGAAAACCTGATGAATCATCCATTGTTTGTGGAAGACACTAAACAGGCCATAAGTACGACGTTTTGTTAAGCCCATCCACCTCTTTGCTCTCACTATTGTTGACATATATTGCGGGGGTCACCAAACTTCACGTATGATCCTGTCTGGTTAGTGCCTTTGGTGTGCATGTTCGTGTCATTAGTGATTACTACTAAAAGCATTGCGGAGTGCAAGGCAGGTGTATCTTGCTTTGTCTGGTCTTTCACCACGGCCTTACCATTATGTTAGAAGCTAATTAGAAAAATGTCGGAACAAAGGTTGACCACTGTTTCTTGGTGTTTGATGTGCATCTCCAGCTGAAACTTACAAGCAAACAGATCTTGAATACCTAAGCGCAGAACATAGTCAGCACAGGGATGCCGGGTCAACGGCATCCACAGCTGTCTTGGTCGGAGAGCGCCTCCTTGTTGCAAATGTCGGAGACTCCAGGGCTGTTATATGTAGAGGGGGTAAAGGTATGCACACAAAGAATGCATCTTGATGTCTATGGACAGGTCTTGACTTCGAAACTGAATCCTCAATTTCATTTTTCCACCAAGAATACAACTACTCTGCAGACAGGCTCTTGACTGACAAGTACAGGTTTGTCACCTTTTAAACTAGTCTGCCCATTACAAACGTATGATGATGTCGCTCTCATTTTGGTTTCTACGTTTGCTTTTTTGGACTAGCATTTGCCCTCTCCAAGGATCACAAGCCCAATCGTGACGACGAGCGGCAACGCATTGAGGAAGCGGGGGGTGTGGTTATGTGGGCTGGTACGTGGAAGGCTTTATAATAAATAAGTTCTGAGTATCATCCGGGCTTCGAAGATTATTTTTTGGCTTACCGTTCTGTTTCAGGTTACTTTGTTCTGGGTTTGTGTGTTTTGAGGAATGTCGACAAGCTCGAACTTTGACATTGAGAGTACCGACTCTGATTGTGAAGGTTGTGAGGCTGACGGGTAATCAGCATTGCAGGCACCTGGCGTGTAGGAGGTGTACTTGCCGTGTCTCGTGCATTTGGAGATAGGCTGTTGAAGCGCTACGTCGTTGCAGAGCCAGAGATTCAGGTGTTTTTTTCTCTAAACGCTGATAGAGAGTTCTTGCCTAATACATCTTACCAGTCTTCATTCTGTGTTTCGTATCATGTGGCTTCGTTATTGTTTTTTTTCCTTATAAATACATTGCTGGTTTGTTTAACTTGGATTAGATGCAGTCAAAAACTGGAATATATGCTCTAGTAAAGAGTTAGGGTGGGTACTTTATTTTGAATAGCTGACAGTGCATTCTAAAGGTCGGAAATACATGGCCAAAGTACGCGGCCCTGCCAAGGTGCTCAAGGCAATTCGAGTGATGAAGTTGAAGAAGTGCTCAACTAAGTTTTACACTATGAACTTCAATTGCTTTTATACATATATATGTACTAGAATAATGTCAATCTAAATGCATCTACTTGTTGAGTAAACATGTCAAGCCTTCCATCCAAGTCATAATAGTACTTTGTATAAAATTTGACTTCCGTGTAATCAAGTACATAGTGTGAAGTACTGCCTCATAGTAAGTCATTCCCTACCCGTTCTCATGCACTTCAAAACCAATATTCACAACCTTTTTCTTGCGTAAAAATTTCAACTTCTACTGGCTTAATTCATTTCAATGCCGCCCTCTTTAGCTGGACGTTTGGGAGTATCGATAGTAGCGACCATTTTCTTATGTCAGGATTAACATTTGAAGGAGAGGTCTAATCAAACAGCTGTTACCAACTGTTAGTCAATGAATTTATTCATGTGACCTCCGTTTCAAACACTACCTATGTGGACGTTTAGGGTACCAGGTTTACACTTATTGCATTTATAGCCGCGAGGAGTAGCAGTAGCAGAGTCTAGTCGCGGATTTTTCAAATGTTACTATTTTTCCACTTGATACTATCTGTCTGTTAGTTTCGATGGTCTCCAAAATTTTTTTTAATTATATATCATCGTTTGTCGTAGTGTTTTTAGTGTGGACGTATACCAGCTGCACTTTTAGGCTGTTTCAAAATCTGCGAAGTGAACCAATGAAGTTGTGCAAATTGGTCGCAGTCTGTTTAAGAGGGGAATGAGGAAGAGAACCTGATACTTTGATTTGCTTGTCTCAGGAGGAAACCATCAGAGACGACGTGGAGTTTTTGGTACTGGCAAGTGATGGTCTGTGGGATGTAGTATCCAATCAGGTACATGGTTGCTTGTCTTATCGCCTGTATGAACCTAGTTCATGGCCTTCTTATTTGACTGGTGTATGTCATTCCTGTCGTAGAAGTAGGGAGGTATAATGCTCGTATGGCTAGTGTGGTGGGAAATACCTCGTGTACATAATCGCTGTTCCTTGTCAGATACTTGTATCCGGAAATATTGACTTAAATAAGGAGGTTTTATGGGAAGTCTAAAGTTCATCGTGTATGTCTTTTACAGGATGCTGTGTCGATGGTCCAAGCTATTGACAACGCCGAAGATGCTGCAACAAAATTGACGTCTGAAGCGTATGCCAAGGGTAGCGCAGACAACATCACTTGCGTCGTTGTCCGTTTCCACCATCCTGCCCAGCGCGTGAAGTGATTTACATCAAGCTATTTTAGCACCCATGTGTTCGAGGCGTGTTCTATTGAGGCAAGCGCACCGGTCTTCACAAGGACACCTGGCCTTCGATGGACCATAAAGGACGAAACGCTTGTCTCAGGTTTCTTCTACGAAGACCTGTGATTTCCTGTACGTTATAGTGACTGTGGGAGGGAGTTTTGATTCACTGGCTGCTGGGGACTTTCTGGAGCTTGCAATGGGGCTTCTTGGCCAGTATATTATGAAGGTGGGTAATCATTTGTAACTAAAGGATGATGGGGTGAATCTCTACGTTTCTCTCTCTGGCATACATGCAAATCACAGGGAGTTTTCAAGTATCCCGGGAGAAAGGTCATTGTTTCCTTCTATACATCTTTGGAATGTGGAATTATTCTCCTGGTCAGACATGTTCAACGAGTTACATTTATTTATTTCAAATTTCGTCCAACGTGAAGAAACGGATTATGCATGATCCTTTACAAGGATCAGAGACTATATCTGTATATGTTTGGTCTGTACAGATGTTTTGGGAGTAAGCTCAATTTTGTGTTGAATATGATACTTTATATGCGAAAGAGGGCACGATTTGTGCGGGCCGGCAGGGGGTAGTTCCCGCTTCTTTGAGCTTACGCTTGGATCGTTCAGTTCCATGTGTACTGTGGAGAACAAATTAATAAGTTTCAGATTTTCTAATCTTTCCAGTCTTGAGGAGGTGATATAAAAAGTTTTTAGTTTGACTTGAGTGTCCATACTACATCAATACCTTTGTGAAAAATACTTTTGTGAACAAAGTCAATACAATTGGCTATATATCATCTGAGTTGTTTAGCAGGCCTCGGTGATAGTACTGCGGGACCCATCTCTTTGGAGGATTGCGCAGCAGTCTAGTCGATCGGGGAACACCTGACCTGACGGAAATTGTCAGCTATATGCCTCGACGAGACTTTCCTTGTACTCTGCACTCGTCCCGAGAAATTGTACTGGTACCGATATACTGCCCTATTTTCTGGGTCCTGACATCTTGTGCTAGTCATATGCAGACAGGAAACATAACAAACAGTTACTAGCCTCACAATCATATCCCATAGGTTCAGAAAATATCTGGATCTTTTGGAGGTTATGGCGCAAGTCGTTTTCAGGGCCACGAGCCTTGTGTCTGAAGTTTGCAGCCTGTGGGCAAACTACTTCCGGAACTTTGTAACATAATTAATTGTCCAGAGAGTTATATTATCTAATAAGCAAATAAACTTAGTGCGCAGTAAACGGGTAGATGTTTGCTCCACGTCAACAAACGCAGTCAGTCAGCTTATGTTGAGAAAATGATGTTTCGAAGAAGCAATTCTCATTGTCAAAAGGGTGCTCCTTCCAAGTTTACACGTGGTATTATTCATCTTTTCACCCTTTTGACGATGAAAATTGCTTCTTCGAAAAGTAGGTTTCAATCGATAAACGAAGACTAGAGATTGTAACCTAGTAACTGTTATATCCTAACTGCCCGTCTCGACAGGTCTTCTTCGTATCGTGCATATCAGCTACTACTGGATGAAGTGCACAAAACAGTCTCGTTTGAAAACTGCAGGAGTGTTTTATCTTCTCGTAAGGAAAGTCGCCCACGGTAGTTTATGGAGTTTACCCCAGTGCATGGACTGTTCAGATGTCCAGTATGATGCCGTACATGAGAATAACAAAAAATAATAATTTCTTCACTGAAAGATTCAGATAAAGTTCACTCCCCTCATGTAGTTATGAGAGAAACCAGAAACATGTCGGGACATTTGTGTTAAACTCCCGCCAAGAAAAGGTTCTTAGAAACTTTTCTTAAAATATGATGAACATGCTTCATGCCTGCCCCGAAATAAGCAGTTGCCACCATGGACTAGAACTAGTTTCTCTGACGCTAATAATCGGACGCTTACATCTATTCTGTGCCATCGATTTGCATTTGATTCCTTTAAAAAAACCATAGAAACTGAGGCGATGAGATACAAAAAGCCATCCATGAAAAGAAAATAGTAATTGGATGTACTTCATATTACACTTCACACATATCAACGCTACTAATAGCTAGCAATTATAAATAATGAAGATATACCATCAAACCTTACCTTCTTAAAATTGAAGTTTAGAGCAAAGATTAGATGATGATATATATATCACAATTTCTGATAAAATGTCTGATGCATATCATGTATCGTTATTGATCTCTTGTGTGTTGTAATGCAATAGGAACATCTTTGAAATAAATTTCATAATAATAAACAAGATAATACCCACGTCACCAATCACTATGGAGGTGCGCTTTCACATCTTTCAAAATCTTCCGAACCAGCACCCAGCCAAGAGTCTCCTTCCCAGCTCTCAAGACTTCTAATATTCCTGATCATAATGCTACGTTCTCTTAAAATTGACAATATCAAGATTACTTCATATCAGATTTGAGATTATATATCTTCCAAATGATTACACATGCTTTAATTGATACTTCATTCCTCTTCTTAGTATTAAGTTATGATCAAACCTTATAATGCTAAATTCTCTCATAACATATGTATGTAACATATATACGTGTTATCATTAGGAATTTCATATATTTTGTTATGTTCTTTGAAAGTTATCATGAACTTTTTATGACCTCAACCTAATATCTAACAAAACATTCATCAAGATATTTGTATGACTTCTAATTGTTGATGTAAAAAATCTGTTTCTATTTAGCCTTTTGACTCTTTGGGTCCCACGGGCTTGATCTATTTACCATTTATCTATATATGATAGTATACATATAGTGGCTATATACCAGCTTTTTTTCCCCAGTACCATATGATACAAGCTCAACGTCATAACGTCAACGTCAAGCTTTTATTTCACACATTATAGCTATCACAAATGACTTGCATAAAATATGAGTAGACAGAAATTTGGATAGCATATGTGAACGCTCTAACAATTAGATCTAGTAAAATTTGGAAAATAATTATGAGATTGAATTTTCTTTTTACCTTCTTGAAATTTTAATATTTTTGAATATTGCATACAACTTTCTTGTTATGAACTTGTTATGACTTCAGTAGATCAAGGTTCATTGATTAGACACTAAAAACAAAGTACAATTTTCAAAAACATTGATTAAAAGGTTCTTTACACCATTATTGATGTAGATGAATTTGCATCTCAGTTGCTAAAATTTCGTGAATGTGTACTAAACATGTATCAAAATTTACATATGTTGATTATTTTCCAAGATTTTTTGATGTGTTCAAATAAATTTGTTATGCTAAGTGAGGAATAAAATTCTATTTGTAAGTCATTTCATATCACCTGTAGGCTTAATTGTACGAACTTATACAAATCAAAGCAAATGCAGCGCAACACAATTTACTCCATATTAAGTATTTCATCATAGAATAATTGTTGGACATTGAAAAAAGTTATTAAGAGTAACCTGGGCACAAATACAAGCTGCAAATGTAACATTTATTCCTATATATCAGCTGTATCATGTAATTAAAAGCATTATTAGAATTTCCAGACTTTATCTTTCAGGAAAGGTACACATGGATATAAGAACGATATATAAACCCCATCAAGTCGAATAAAGCTAAGTGAGAGAAGGCGAGCAGAGTCCACTTTGTTTCATCACGGGTGGGATATTGTTACTCTTGGCCAAAGCTGGATTAAGAAGCAGCATTTGTTTTCAATGACGAGCGCAGCTCGTGGGCCCCGTTAGATGATCTTAGGCTACATCTACTTTTGATAATGCATCGCGAGCTGCCAGAAAGTTGCGTTCAAATATTCTTCGCTGCCCAAATACATTTCTTCGACCCGACTTCAACTATGACCATCCTTACCTTAGGCTCCTCCCGTGTTTGTGTAGAAGCGGTCTCGCGTGTCGTTACTGCCGGAGACTGGTGGCTTATATATAACGTGAGTTTTGCTGAAATGATTAGTGTCGTGTTAGGCAAAATCTCCTTGCTCCCAGTCATCATCAACGTATATATGGTATGCGATGTACAACAGGTGATGGGACTGAACCTCAGTTCGTAAGATGCTTGTCATTCATATATTTGACCCTTCGCTTTTCACTTCAAGAGAGGCCTAGAATCAACGCGCCAGTGTTATCATTTAGTTTGGTTTTCCAAGAGACAAGATGAAACATAAATTCCAAGGGATGGTTCCCTCCAACTCAGCCTCGCGAATTGGAGGAACATTTGTCTTCATTGCAACTCCCACATCATTCAAAGGATTAATAGAACAGAGCAAAAGATAGATGTTTTGATGAACTTTGATTAAAAAACATCTCATTTCGCTGATTAATCACAACATGAAGTCCAGGAGAAATGTGTTCAATCTAGCCGACAACCCTGTACTGTACGCAACAGACCATTCAACAAGGATTGAAGTCAAAGAGCTGCACTGTAATGAATTGCAGAAGTAAGAAATACAAAGTTGATGTCACAAGAACATCAAATAAATTTCCTACTAAAGGAAATTGTTTCATCATATGACAAATGTGGCACCTATCTAAAAAATAAATTCTGCACAATCTAATGTCCATCAGCTTCGACCAGAAGTTGACGGGTTATAAATCCAAATAAATAGTAACAAAAGACAGCGTCCAATCATAACAATACAGACAAATCTAAGCAGAAATGTCAAGCCAAAACTGGTGCAGCACTTAAAAGAGCCTAGACATAATAGTTACCACCATCATGCGCCTCCTATGTACATCCTCTTACAAGATAACCTGTACAAAAACTTGCTTACATATAATATGCTGTGGCCGAGTGGTCCTGATTCTTCTGCATAAATGGAAATCATACCACAGCATAGGTTTATCCAACCTCCTGCGGAGTCCTACTTACTAGTTCTATTTGAGAACTAGTTGAAAGTACACGGGGAAGCTTTTCAGAGAAGAGGTCGATTTTTCTCTCAGTTGAAGAGTTACAGCGACAATGAGACACCAAGATGAAAAAGACAGCTGGAAGAAGATATTTAGGTGTTTGAGACAAACGTTAACTACTTGGTTCAACTGTCCACAACATGCCAATTTCCAGATTCGACTTGGTCAGGAACAAGTTAAGTACTGATCAGTTGAGCGTCCTTGGGAGTATAGGTTCTTCTCCCAGAAAAGTAGGGATCGAAACCTTTCACGCTGGCAGGTATATAAAATATCAACACCTCGATACGGAGCTGTTGAAGTCGACGATTTGAATAATGATCTTGGATGTCGATTTCCACAAGTACAACGAAATGAATACTTCTCGAAAGTAGCATTCGCGGTAGCATGACATCCAATCAACAGTAGCATGTTGACATACCTCCACATACGCACACGCCATCACTAGCACAGATTTGTAGCCAAACTTTTGAGATGATACCCCTTTTTCCTGTGAGGTCTAACCAATTCAACCAGCAGCAGCATTTGAACCAACCAATCCGTTTGACCTTCTCTGCGGTGTATTGTCTACAGTTCTGAGGGCTGGATTCGACACCTGCGTAAAAAGATGTCGACAAGTGATTCAGAGGGAGAATGAAAGAGCATGATGGACACACAACCTAAAAGTTAATAGGGAAGTCATTTTGCAATGCATTCCTACCTCCTAATACATATCAAATTATCCATTGATAATTAACTATAAAAGTACTTGCAATTAACTATTGAATTACTCTTCTAATTTGTTGGGAAGACCAGTGTACTCTTTCCCTTCAACGACAATTTGTCATGTCGAAGAACATGCTTCCCGCTGGAGTTTATAATGATAGATGTGCGAACACGAGCACTTCAATTTGTAGAGATGTAGTTGCCATTTTAGATTACCATTAACTTAACAGCTTTATGGAAAAATCTTAGCCGATACTTCCGCGAAGGAAAGAAAAATTACTGACTTGATATAAAAAGCTCAGCATTGAACAAATATCATTGATGTTGTTATTGATAAATGGCAAAGGCTCAGCAGGTTAAAGAAATTGAGTTACTTGAGGAGAAGCTTCGAAATTGTTGGACCAACTCCTCGGCAGAATTTGTGGCCTGTCAACATCTCTTTCAGAAAATGAAGCCCGTTTTTTGGACTCCTGAGAAATTTCTCGAGAGGAATCTAGCTGAGCGCTATTTCTGAACAATGTACTGTCATTGCTGCCAGATGATGAGTCGTCAAGCCGTCGAAGAGATCCTCCTCTACCCCTCAAGGGATAATCTCGAACAATCAAATCACCATCTTTACTACCTACAGCAACTGCTGCATCTGGAATTCTGTCCTTAGACATCGAACCTTTAGCTTCTAAAGGCAATTGACCTTCAACTCCCGCTCGCATCAAGTGTAACTGCATCAATAGCACGAGCAAAAATGAAAAGAAGCAACCTCATGAAATTTCTATTCAACACGCCAACTCACGTTCCGGTCGTAAAAATTTGAATCAAAAAGTTGCAGAATCCTCCAATGCCCATAAAAAACTTCGCCATTCAAAAGTACCTGCAAATGAAGGGTGACCTCTCCAGCACGAGATAGAAATGGAAAATCTCCGCCTGTTTTAAGATGGGCGCGACGTGCACCTGAGTATCGAGCGGCGACTTGATCCTTCAGCATCTGGGGCACTGCACAGTAATCATTCGTCTGCCAGGGACCACAAAGCTGTGTTAATTACGAGGAGGTTGGTCTTACATATGGCATGCAATTCAAGTACGCATAAAGGTAAGTTGAAACTTTACGTCGACCTTCCCAATGATGTTCTCTTGACGTCAACTGAACGTATGTTTTATTATCAATATAGTGTGATATAAAGACCCCGGAGATATGCCCCGTTGACATATTTGAGCATGATATGTGCGGCGAATCTGATTCCCACTTTGCTTTTTTAAAGTCTGTGTAAGGACCAGTTCGAGTCCACCAGATGTGTAGAAAAGAAGGCGATTTTAAAAAACAAAAACGAGAGCCCCCTAAGAATGACTCAGAGTGCTCATCTGCAAGCCGTCGTTGATTTTAGGATCTGAGATTTATGCATACTAGACTAACACAGCCATTGGATTGTCACAAAATGCGATCCGAGCAGGGAGAAGTAACACGAGCCATGTGATGAGTAACAAGAGCAAAGCATTATGCTACCTAATATAAGGAGAAAAACATATCAAACAAGCCACAGGAGTGCAATCAGAAGGATAGCCACGTTTTTCAAATAAAAGGTCACTCTGATACCACTGATATCTCTGTAAATACCAAAGCATACAAAAGGACAAAGCCAATAGTAAAAATAAAGAGAGTGAAAAGAGAATGGAGATATTGAAACGAACACAGGATCAAGAAAAAAGACAGAGCATACGAAGCAAAGAACAAACAAAAATATGATTGAGCAGTGACCGACCGGGCATATGAAGGAGAATCAGAGTATACAAGACATCCATAACAGCATCATTTTTATCATATACATAAATAATCACTGTCAACCGCTTAGGTTAATCGGATGACGAGTATTACTCTAATTCAAGATATTTGGATATAAAAAGTTGAAATCTACACTCAAGAAGCAGGCAGCGATACTGCGGGGTCAAGACTGTGAAGAAGGACCTTACATCCATAATAGTGATGGCAGAATCTGGAATTGGGAGCTGTCCGATGGCTGCTGAAGCTGTGTTCAGAATTAAGCGTGATGCAAGCTCCTCCCGGGAAAGAGTTTCAAGCTATAAGATAAAACCAAAGTTTAGTGAATCTCTTTATCTCATGGAACAAGGAAATAAGACTCCAGCATCCGCAACAATACGATTCTTTTTTATTCTCTTGCAAATGTCAAAGACTATGGATAGAATGAACTCAAACACAGATATCTTCGCTGACATAGTCATAAGAAAGACGAAAAGCAGATTTGTTTGAAACCCATAATCCAAGACATAAAGAATCCTCGAACAAACCTGACCAACGACGAAATCTATGGAGTCCGCTATTAATGGCTCTTGAGGACCATCCCGTATTCCAGACAAGATATATCGCTTCAATACGAACTCGGGTGTCCAGCTTATACTGAGTTTTGACAGTGCAACAAGAAAAATTAGCCAAATAGGAAGAGGCAGCAATTACGGATTTGACAATGCAGGTGACAACGGCTAACCACATACTATACCTTTGGAAGCTTAATCCAAGCGACTACTAAGCTGGAAAGTCAAGGCAAGCTGAATGATAAAAAATAACAAAGATTAAGTAGAAATGCAGATAACCATGTTCTCAGCAACGTGGGTGGATCTATCCCGACTGTAATCAAGCAAGAAGACCTCAACCTCCACACCTGACCGAATTGAAACAATAAGATAATGTACAATGTAGACGATGACAGTTTCTGAACCGACAGGGTTCCCTCTGGTCTGAATGAAAGACAAGGTGCTAGGCCCCTGAAACTGACTCAATAACTCTGGCTCAATAATAACACAACTATATACAGTTACACAGCCAGAACCAGAACTGCAGATGTAGATTCAGTTGCAGAAGTGATGAGGTAGCGTGCGATGACTCAACTAAGAGTATCGGATTATACCACTTTTTTTGGAAGCACTCACAATGATGACCAGGTGATTCCATCGTGGAAAGCGCGAGTGTCCAAAAACGTGTTGGAGAGCAGCAGTGATTTTACGCGTCTTACACGATACTGAGCAAATAGCTGTGCGAGAAAGCCTCCAAGGGATGTGCCATACAAGTGGACCTACATAGACCAACATCCAAAGGTGTCCAGATTGAATGCTTCTAATCTTTATATTATATCAAACGTTCAATGTCTGATTAGCTCATCAACAAGACCGACAAGTAACAGATCAACTGTATCACCTCCCCCTCAACAATGTCAAAGATAGGTGCGAGTCTCAATAAGCTCTATGCAAGAGCAGTACAATACACATGGTATGAAGGCATGTGAGCGTAAGGAGAAGGTCTATGTAAGCCGGACATCTACGACACGTACCTTCACCATGAAAACAAAACCCAACGAAGAACTTAAAGATACAGAGAGCTACGGAGGCTATAACAACTTCTGTCTAGCAAAAAGAAAATCAGGACAAAACTACATTAACAAACGCGAAATGTGGTAGTACTGCAGCTTTATCCTTGTCCAGTGCCCATGGGAGGAATATATACAAATGTGTAGTTTGAAATTGAACAGTGTACTTTCCCAATATCGATGGCTTACATGATGTGCACCAAGGGTGTCCAGAAACTTCTCGAAAGAACTAACCCACTCCTGGTGACTACGAACAGGTGGTGCGTCTGCGGCAATTACCCTGTAGCCCTGTAGGATCCAAAGCCCCATCAAGATGTTTGCATTAGCATGGACATATACATTAAACGCAGTAGATTAAGAGCATTGGAACGGAGTAGAGACTCCGAGAGTAAATAAGAAAGCAAGAGAGTAAAACGTGAAAATAATATAGTGGGTGGGGGCATCTAAGCCAATAACCAATTAGAATCAAGTCACACTTGCTGTGACTTGATTGTCCTTGTGCTCCCTGAACAATAGACGTGTCCTGCACGATTGCGAATTTACGTGGTCCTTGGAGAGCCGTATTTATTAAGACATCTATGTTAAGATGTGAAGCGAGAAAAACTGTCAGGTGTATATCAAGAAGCTATTCCTGTTAAAAAGGCGCAAGTAAAGTGAGCGTCAAATCTAAAGACGGTAAAATGTTATGAAGGTGTCTCTTCTGGTCTCCACAAAGACGTTGTTCATTATAGTTCTGAGCACTTTTGCTCTCAGTACACACAATAAACTGACTAAACTTTCATCTCAACTAATAAATAAACGATTGCTCTGTTCCTCTACAGCTACTTACCAAGGACGAGGACACGCTTCACTGTGAAGGTCGATGTGATCACATTATTGACGTACACATTATTTCTTGTAAGATTCTATCCAAAAAAAGCACTGGAAATATGTACTGAAGGTTTTATTCATAGCGAAGCTAACATGCAAAGTGCTAACTGTCTTTCTTGTTAGAGACCCCTCACAAAAGGTGGAAGTGGTGAAAGTGGAATTAAAGTGAACCCAAGCTTAAAAGAACAAAGGTGGGTAACGAAACGTAGGTGAGCGTCTCAAAAATGCTCCTTTCACAGCAGAGACATCTCAGTCTCATTGCCTGATATTCGCTAATCGGCTCGCTTAGAAAGAATCTGTAATCGAGCCTGTGACCAGGAATAAAAATGGCTTTGATGAAAAGCTTAATTGGTCCGGTTGTTGATCTATACTGAGACCTTCTGCGGGGGAAAAAATGGCTTGCCCGTCATCCAACAAATACTGCCGAACTAATCCTAGACTCAACGCTGTTTCTTCGGGAAATTTCACTTCGGACGGGATTTAATAGCTCATAACTTGCCATGCTACATCGAGCGAACAGGGGAAAACCCAGAAAAACAGGAGGCGAATCCTGAAGCAAGAGCAACTGACCTTGGCAGACAGGGACAAGATTTGCTTGTAGAAAACATCTGCCGTCCCAGCAATTCCACAGAGACAAACGACCGGGGGGACACTCTTGGGTCCATAATCGTAGAAGCGCCAGTGACTGGTTCCAATCTGCACATGGCCACTCGTCAAACCTGGAGAAATCCAATCCCCTGATCGTTCCAAATTGCGCGCATTGGGAAATCCGAAATTCAAAGAACCCGCAAGAACAGCAGAACGCGGATCGGACCATCGAGAGTGAGAATTTACGCACAGAGATGTGATGCAGCGGAACCTGACCCTTGAAATGGATATAGTCACCCGGCACGCTCGCCATGGTCTGCCTCATCTCTCCCTCTCATCACTCTCGCCCCGACGAGCCCACCCCGAGCCTTCTACAGAAATTGCCCACCACTCCGAACGAACTCGCCCCGCAACACATCGCGCCTCACCTCGCCCCCTGCCCCTCTCGCCCCGTCAGTCCCCGGCTCTGCCCCTGGCCCTGCGCCTGCTGCTTCTGCTGCCAGTCTATGCCTGTCGACTCCTCGTGGTCGTGCCGGCACAGCTCACCACCATCGCTGCCCTCCCTTCCATTCGCTTTCCTGCAGCTCTGCGCCGCGGTCGCCCCGTCAGTACTCAGGAGCCCGGCGATGGGAAAGAAACCTGCGACCCGAGCTGGCCACCGTATATATACACGTCTCTGGCGCTTTTCCTTTCTCTCTCTTCGTGCGAGCGAGCGAGCGCGTGTGAGTGTGTCAGTCGAGTCAGTCGCTCGCTCGCGCAGCCCGCAGCCCGCGCAGCTCGTCGTGCCGAGCCCCGGCCCCTTTGGAACTTCGCCATTCCCGCGACTATATTTTAATTCCGCTTCTGCCCGGACGCGGACGCGGCCCCAACGCTCCTCTTCGTCGCAGACGCTCCCGCTCCAGCTCCAGCGCCACCCCCGCGCCCCGCGCCCCCCGCTTCTTGATCCGCCTCTCGAGGGCCATCGGCAGCGACCCAGCTCCTCGCAGGTGGCGCACTTTGTCCATGTGTTTAAGAGTTGCGAGAATTCGCAATTATTGACGTAGAGACTGGAAACTCGTACTCGGGATATCATAAGATATTTTCATGTTTCTATTGAACCTAATGAATCCAAGCTAACAGCTTAACTGTTGAACGTAGGAAGTCAAAATCTTTGGGTTGTGTGTGACAAAATATGAGTCGCTGATAACGAAATTTTGTAAGAATATGATTTTTGTTTCATATGAGGATAGAGACTTGCAGATCACTATAGGATTGAATTTTGATGTCATGATTTTACGTTTCGCGCGCATCTGCATTGACATGGTAATCTTCTCTACAAGATTGTAAGTTCGTACACTCGTTACTATTTTACGTGAATGTGTTTGTCAGTTTCACAAACCACTTTCATATCTAGCTCTCATGCTCTTTGTGATATCTTTAGGCCGAAATTGCTAGACCGAAAAAATCATATATTTTCACTAAAACATCCGGAAGCAAGAAGATGAAGCTACTCGAGAACTTGGGCACACGTGCCCAATTTAGGAGTACACACAACGTGCTCAATCTAACCGGAGGAAAATCGTCATTCCTATGGTAGTATTGAACAATGTTTCAAAATCTTCTATGTTAATATATATATATATATATATATATTAAAAAGAAGCTAATTTTATGGTTTAATTTTAATTTCTCTTAAATGTGAGAAAATCTATTTGGCCATGTAATATTCAAAATCACTCAAAAATCAGGATGTACATAACAGGCATTTCAAAACTTGACTCAAAATACTCATAAAAAATCAAATGATACGTTTTTCAATCCCATATTTTTCCGAAAAATGACTTCAGTATTGAGAGAATACAATCCGTCATCTTTCAAGGGAATGACTATGTTCTGAAATCAGAAGATACTTTGTGTCACTTTTACTTCTTTTTGTATACATGGGCAACTTATTCAAACTCAAACTTGAGAAAAAGGTTCTGTACGCTTCTGAGTATTGAAAATCAACAAATTTGCATTCGTGAAAAGCGAAGTCAAATCCATTATCTCGTCGGAGATACGGACAAAAGCGTTGAAAGTATTGCCGATGACAATGATGTTGAAGTACTGTTGGGCCACCGATATGAACCAATCCACTGCTCGAAAGCGGATTTCAGTCATGGTCAATCCATTGGCAGAAGCCTGTAGATGATTTTCATCTTCATTCTATCAATTGAAACATCAAAAAAATTGTCTTTACACATTTACTATAGGTGATATCTGTTAGGAACAATTTACACAGTAATCTTTCCATTCTCAGATGTGGTTTTGAAAAATTTAGTGTAATTGTCCATGCGAGTAGATATATTTTTATCCCACTTTTTTTTTTCTGGATGAACAGTTTCATTGTCATATTTTCAATTTCAGTATCTATTCTACATAAGATTTTCAAGAAACTTATATAGTTTATTTCGATCTGTCAGTTGTTATTATATATACTTCGATAAACATGTCAGTTAGTTATAAACATATATAAGTATATAAATATACCAGTTTAAATGTACATATTTTCCATCAATACAAATATTTCTAGTGTTTAGTGACATAATTCCATTCCAGTTGCATTTTGTTTTATATGGACTAAATGTATATAATAATTTCATCAATGTGTGAATTAAATTCGTCTTCTACGTCATTCAGAAATAATTGTCACACGGCTACTACTATATTTTTTTCAGCCAAACCGCAAGTTATGATAACATTCCATACCCGATACAAAACCAAAAGTATTCTGTCCAAAGTAGTTTCTCAACAAATTGGTGAATTTATACGATGGACATAATCTACACATGGATTCCGTCAAAGGTATCATGCAACGTAATGGTTCCACTGAAAACTCGGCAGAGTGCGGCTTTATAAATCCTAAAATCGGAGGCATGCCAGAACAATGGACAGTAAGCTGTTCAAGCCCGTCGTCTGGAAAGAAACCGATACGTTAAGTCATCGAATACAAAGATGTGCTAAATGTTGCTCAGCCAGCACGGAGAGGGGTGGTCGTACAGCAAATCTTTACAACACGGAGAGGAGTGACATGATAAGTCGGTCATGATACAAAGTGGTGACGGCAACATAAGCCTCCTAAATTAGATCGGCGAAACATCAATATGAACACTTTCTAGTGAATTTTCAGGTTGGTGAGGACATTGTTGTTGGCGGGGTCTGACAAGTGGTCCAACAAGTTCTGGAATGGGCCGACACCGGTGAAGATCGCTTGGATGAAGTATCCGAGGACTGCGAGCATGGCCAGGCGTCCGTTCTTCACTTCCTTCACTTTCAGGTCCTTCATCGACTTCTCGTCCCTTCCGAAGCCCAAGAAGTTGAACAGAGGACCTCCGGGGTACGCTGGGTCACCTGATCCTCCCAACACCTTCTCGAAACCCAAGAAGTATTGCTTGCCCATGGATCCGGGTTTGTAGTAATCTTGTGCACGTCTGTGCTCGGCGAATCCCATCAGCGCCATCTCGAGAACGAACAGTGTGTAGGGGTCAGCCCAGTAGCTGTATTGTCCGAGAGGTGGGATAACTCCTGTTTGGAACCATGGGATGGCGGTCTCTTGGGGGATCAGACCAATCTTTCCGAAGATTTCTGGGGCGATGGCTCCGGCAGCTCCGAGCATGGCAAATCGCCCGTTGATGATCTCGGCGTATCTCAACCAGTTAGGGTCAATGAATCCTCCAGCGCCCTGTGGGTCTGACAGACCAAGGGGATCGAATCCGTAGTCTCCGGGCAGGCTGATAACAATAAAACAACCCAATTTAGGACCCCGTACGATAAAGGAGTGTGAAACGGCAAAAAAGCAGCAAAAGATAATGCACCATGTACTTACGAGCCATCGAGGTAGGACAGGCTCTGCTCGGAAGCGAAGATGAGCTGCCTGTTAGCCTGCGTGTGGACACGGCAAGAGTGTTAGCCATTTGGGAGCTGAACTTTGCAAGCCGCATTGCCTCAGGAAGTTTAATTCTGACTACGCATCGCACAGGTTACACCGACTGCTGTACACGAAGAAGCAACGACATGACACCTCGAAACCGGGTCACGGATTACACTCCCTTCGAAGTGCGGAAGAGACTTCGACTCGCCGAGCTCGTCCTTCAATGTGGGCTTCATACTTGGGGATAAGGGAGGATTTGGGTACCCCGGTGCAATTACCTTGACGGGCTTGTCGGAGGAGGCTCTCACGACGATGCTGCTGCGGGCATTGGAGGTTCCAATGGGCGCGAAAGAAACGCGCAGGGCGTTTCCTCCCATCAACCGCTGCTCCTGGGCAGGAGCGAAAACGGCTCCTGCAACGGCCCTGCATGCCACGGTGGTCGCCATCGCTACGAGCTGCTGGTGGTGCTAGTCAGGCCCTGGTTGCAATCTGCTCGCTGGAAGAGAGAAGAATTAGCCTGCCCAACACGCTTCGGCGAACAGATCCCAGCTGGAAAAATGAGGCCCGAGTGCCCTCTTCACAAGTGGGTTGCTGCCGATGCTGCTCGACGATTCGCCCCGCGCTCCTCTTTGGCTTCACGGCAATCCGCTGCTGCTCTCGGCCGAGCGAATCACCGGATCCCCACAGCTGCACTAACGCTTCCAGAGCCTCGCGATAACAAGGCCCCGCTCGCGCCAATGAGCGCGCGTCCGCCATCTCTCCCGACCAATCCGAGCCAAGATTAGGTGCTTACGTGGCCTACCTCACCGGAACTCGGCGCTCGCCTGCGCCGTCGATCGCATCGACGCTTGTCGGCTTCGTCTCGCGACTGGAGGATTCTCTCAGCCATAAGGTGATCGTCACGCCCGGGCCGTCGGATCCCGCCATCCTGTCCGTCCAATTCTGATATGCGCGGATATCCAGAGCCTGTGGGCCCTCTTTGCCGGTAAGTCGTGATTTTCATCCCCATCGATAAACTCGTCACAGACAATCGCATTTCTTTTCACATCTTATCTCTCTGTAATCATATTCTCGTCCATGATTCGGGCCGCCGTTGATGAGATTTTGCTCCCCTGCTCTTCAAATCGCTCTCGTACTTCTGGCCGAAACATCCTCAGTAAGCTCATCTTTTGCTACGCCCATGCACAATTCATTCTTTGTGACTCCAGAACAAGTTCTCTGCGGTTTTTTATCACCATGGAGCGATACGGTTTTAGCGCTCATACGCCAAGGAGTGAAAGAGAAAAACATTTATTCTCATTAATTATGAAGCCACCACAGTTCAATAATCACCACTTGTATGCTAATAAAGTAGATTTGTCACAACTTAAGTAAGTTGTGAGTGCCTCCACGATACTTAGAATGAAACAATCATTTCTTTTGAGGTCTGATCAATCAAGGAGGAGCTCTTATAATTCGTTATTATTTTTTAGAAATTTAATACTTTGTACTACTCTTGTAGCCGAATAACTGGTCTGAAGATATTTTCCAACCAAATTAATCTACTCAATGAGAAATATGCAGTTATAAACCTACAGATTTATTTTAATCAAGACAATATTAACTCCACTTTCGGTGAGTCATGAGATCAAAAACCCCTTTCTACGTATAACAAGCTATAATAAGAGAAGTCAAAAGGGTCTAACGATGATTCTTGACTTCGCATTCATGTGTTGTTGAGTCGATGACTGATACGTAGTAAGTAAAGGTCATGCATAAGTTGAATGTGCCGTTCAATTTGAGTTTTTATAGGTCCTTGAGTACAAAGCTTTTAGGTGATTGTCATGACTTGAGGAAATATAGTACTGATTTCTACAGAGTTTGAAGTCCTCCATGACCGTGCTCGACATTGTTTATAAAAATGTTACGTATTCCCATGTCAGGATGATATGTCAAACATCGCAAAGAGTGTTCGATACAAACTAGCATTCAGCATTAAGAGCTTCTATGAAAAACACTGAGTATTGTTCATGTAGTTGTCGCTAGTCTCATTGAGCTAGATTTATTGTGATGGTCGTTAACAATAGCAGTTTAAGGCCTGTAGCCCACTTACCATATGAAGGTTGCTGTACGTTTCAATATTATCTATAATTTGGTAGTTAGTACCTATATCGTGTTGTATGTATACTTCACAGTGCTCTAGACTAAAACCTCTATGTATCACCCTATAATCGCAGATGATGTGATCAAATCATATGCAAACCATGAGGTGGTGTTATGCAGGAATCTCCTCCACATTTTCCATTGTGATACGGACTGAGTGAAACGCAAATACCACATAGTAGATACCACATTTGATTATAATAATATGAGGTTTAATCATTAACGTCAAGGTGACGCCTACTGTGATTCTCACCTACATTCTCTTTGGCCGTTACTGAATATACTACTTTCACAGACACAATCTACTGAGATGTCTAGATTTTGACTGTATCTTTCGCAGACAAGTGTTTGAATATGTTGCATACATATTGACTGATGCAAGTTACAGAGTCTCTGTTGAACATGTAATATGCCTAACACATGCGAAGATTCAGTTAAAGGGCTTGTCCATTTAACATAACCATACAATTAGATGGCCACGTACGCACATCGACAGGGTGACATGTTTCATTCAGAACACAAGGGAAGTTATTACATATAAACAGACCTGACAAAGAGCTCGATGGGCAAGTATTTCAACGCCAGTGATCTCAAGTGCCTATACAGATTCAAGCTCAACTTTAGCCGTACTCGAGGTGTTGTGAACTTTCGCAAGTGTGAACTCGGATAGTAGTTACTGAGTGTATCATAAGGTAGGAGAAGATAACATCAACAACAGTTTTGACATATGGAATTTGCAAGCACAAAATATATGATAATTTCCATATTTGTGTATTCGTAACGTGCATCGTTTGATGGCAATGCAGAAACTAGGTGAAAGACAACACCTTCTCTCTTCCGAAAGTCGCGGAGGAACTCACATATGAAGAGAAAAAAGATGTAACCAGCTAATGATCTGAATCTTCGTTACTACATGTTACTGATCCAACATCGCGTAACGTTTGCTCTCTCTAATCAAAATCGGATGTTTAATGTAGGTCTTGCAATCAATAATACATCCATAGGTTGCATTTTCTACCTCCTAGAAAATGCGAAATTCAGAGCAGGCGACGATTGTAGCAGCGTTTTGTCCAATAAATTCATAGTCCAAGCTCTGAGCGCCACTCAGAGCCTAAATTCCATTCTGCCGACGATAATAGTCAAACTCCAGCGATTCATATACTAAGTACACACCTTTGAGTCTGAAGAAACCTCATTCCAGGAAGTTGATCCAGGCCCTTCGTCAATCGCTTCAATGTAGATCCCATTCTGAAAGGGCAAGTACATGCTCGGCTTGACATGTCTAAAACTCCAGGAGTGCTGACCGACAACCAATCGATCATCTCGCCTCGAATTGCACAATTCGTCGGGTTCGCTTCTTATACAAGATGCGATACCCGCATTCACGGCACTGGATGACATCTCCAGGCTTAAGAGTATTGTCAGCTCCACAATCCCCACACAAATATGTGACTGGCTCGGGTGGAGCGGGTCCCCCGTGATCCATGATGGCAGATCAGTTCCCGAGAGATGAAGAGATCTCTTGAGGACGAATTCGCAGCTCACCTAAAATTGCCGAGGGAGAAGAATAAAGATAAGACCCACTTTGAATTGCGATGGAAAACTGACCAGCAACAGTGAGAGGTGCCATAGTTACAAGTAATGTTCAAGCAGTCACGATCATGCAAAAAATACGTGTCAATCAAGTCAAGCAAAGAGTTCCAGATTCTATCGATGTGTGCACGACAGACATATGACACAAAACGGATAAGCATATGCTCATGCCGTAAAACGATAAAAGAATTTAGTCCTCCCCACATCGGGCTCGGTACAGCCCACAGTATACACACATTAGACAAATTCAACGTAAACTGGGGAGAATAAAAGAGTAGTTTTTAATGGCGGGATCAGAACAGCCGAGCTCTGAGTTCCTCTTTTGACGCTGCGGGATACTCTGCCGCGAGCATGCATAAAATATGAACTGCACTATATATGAAGCCCCCGATCAAAGTAGGAGAAAGTTGCCTCCTATCCTGTCATGGAAAAATGGTAAAGAAGACGACCTAATCGGGGTTCAAACTAAGAGGCGCCGCGACGAAAATATAACCAGGAGCAAACAACCCGTACTCGGGGTTTAAAAGGTGAATAAAAGCTGTCGAGAACATTTCTAGAACAAAACTTCAATTTCAGACCAGCTCTGTGAATCGGGTAGGCTATCAGTCGCGCGGAGCTACTAGACAGACCGTTACTTCCTTCCGATCAAAAATCTCTCCAAAACCCTATGTCCAAATTTATCTATGGAACTGGTTGCTGCGAAAAAGCTTGATATTTTGACTCAGAGCAAAAACACTGATCCCAACTTCATAAATTAAGTGCTTTCCCTCGAGTGTTGCGTGATCGAGTCCGCTTCGAGAACTGAATGAAGTTCATGAACTCGATGTCGTGAAGGGAGACACACTGGGAAGCAATTTCTAAAACCCTACAAGAAATATGAGTAGCACGAAATCAAGGGCGGTTCTACTTAAGTCAATTCACGCATCTGTCAAACACTAGCCCGCGCACCGGACCAAGAAGAAACTAAAACCGGATGGAAAACATCCTCAATTTCGCGCAAATCAATACCTGGATACAAGAAAAACCCAAAACCTGTCACGCTCGCAATACCCAGCGATGCCTTCTCTCGATCAAACGAACGGAGAAATCTGGCACGGGGGGAAGACTAACGAGGTCTAAAACCCTACGAGTCTGCTCCCCAAACAACGACGCGAGAACGCTGGGGTATTCTAACGACAGCCGGTTAACAAAAGTAAAACCCCGCGAGAACTTCTACCCTACGATCTTATGCGCCTGGTCGTCGAAATTCCTCCTCGTTCACGAAGCGTGGGGGGGCTGTGAATACTCACATTTCGCATCACTAGAACACAAATCAAAGCATTGAATTGAAACCCGGGGACAGGGGCGCGAGCGTACCGAGGGTGCGACGCGCGCGGGAAGCAGGAAAGCAGGAAAGCGTAAAGTTCGACGCCCACAGAACGAACGAGGAGTCGAGTCGAGACGAGGAAGGTTCAATTCGACCGTACGATGGGCTTCGAGATGTGAGGAACGGGTCTAAGTCGTCGATTGACGAGGGTCCTCGCGAGGATCCAGCCCACAGAGTTGTCACTGCAGTCGGTCTCCGTACGCAGTCTGTATGTGGTTTTTATGGACTAGGTTAGAGGTGGACTTGGTGAGTGAGCTTACAGCGAACCGGAGCATGGTGAGCTTAATCTGAATTTCCGCGACAAAGGTTTCACCACGTTACCCGCCCTCAAAGTGATGTATTATATAAAGTCTACAATAATTTTTTTGGAACTGAGTCAATCACATTTAGAGTTCACATACAATATTACCCCGCGTATTTTACATGGTTAATACCATTAAAAACAAGAATTCGTACGCACTTCTATTACATCCACCCAAGACAGGAAAAGATTTTTTTATGACAACCTCAAGTGTGTATATATGGGTATATGGCGAATGATATATTACTTTCTTTGATGATTTTTCAGTCATATTGTCATTTCATATATAATTTATTTTTTGAAAAATATCCAATGAAATAAAACGATAAAATTTATTACGTCTAGACAACGTTTTCCTTCTCTAATTCTTAAGAAAAAGCTACGTCGAATTTTACATACAATAAATGTCAAATTTTTATACAAATATTTTGTAAGAGAGATTTCATTAAAGAATGTAAGTATTAGATAAATTCAATTTATAAGTATTAAATCTGAAATAATAAAAATAAAAAATTTAATTCATTTTCAAAAATAAATAATAACTTCTTTAAGCTATTTAAAAAATAAATATTTCGTAAGGGGAAATAATAATTAAATATTGAAGAAATTTTTCAAGTTTTTCAAATGGTTGATGAAATCTAATTATAATTTTGTCATTTTTATTACTAAAAATAAAAAAATCTTGATGATACAATTAATATTATCTAAATTTAAATTTTATGAATAACTTATTGGATTCAATATAAATATTTGATCCACAAAAATTAATGCATAGAATCTTTAAATAAAAAAGAAAGTTGATCTATTATATAAAAAATCTATAGAAATAGACTCCAACTTAAAACATGAAACAAAACCAGAAATAAGTCAATTTTATTGGATTATATAATTTTCTTAATTATTTTTTAATTTTTCCAAGAAAATGATTTTATTTTGCCCTATAATTTTTTTCTCAATACCATATGAACAGAATAAAAAAATTGGTGCAATAACATTTTTTCACATGTATGCAAAATTTCAGTCAGTGCATTTAAGTATGAAAAATATCAAGAGCAAAATTCAGAATTTTGATCTTAAAAAAAAGAGTAAATTACGAGAATTATTTTAATATTTCAAGTACATAATATTTTCTCTATAAAAATATATAATAAAAAATAAAAATAATGACATATTAATTTAAGTTATATATATATATATATATATATATATTCGTACTAAAATAATATTTACATTGATTCAAAGATGAATGTTATATCACAAAAGTGATTTTTTATTCAAGAATATTTTTAAAATGAAATTTCTTGATTTATTTTTTTTATACGAATAAATCCTATCAATTTTATGTATTGGTTTGTAGTAAGAAAATTCAAAAACCTGTCTTAATAATCATTTTGAGCTTCTTGGGCTTACATTAGATCTTGTTGAGCATGAATTTAGTTTATTTCACAAGATTCGATAATTTGAGAAATGAAAAAAATTTAATATGGAAAAGTAACAGGGAAATTCATAAACATGCAAACTGTGATGTCTAAATTTGTACTCTCTTAAAATATGTTCAAAACTTTTGACGATGCTATGTTGCTTCCAAAATCAATCGAGCAGCAATTTGAGATGATATCGCATATGTTTTGATATGTTGACCAAGCTACTACTACCTCGGCGCTGCTAACCCAAGGTAGAGCTACTTTAGCAGCAAGAAGGACGAACACATGTGGAAGTTGAGAACACGGGGCAACGGAGCACTAAACTGGAGACTGGCCTTCCTCGCGCGTTCCCCGCGCTCCTTCCGACAGCACTAGCCAGGGTGTCATATCCAATGCAAGAGAATGTCCTTAAAGTCCTTAAAGTCCTCTAACTCGAATGCGGCCTACTAATAGCAAGGTACAAGCATAATTTAGTTGGAAAGCTATATTCCTACGCGTTTTGGTGTAACATGCCACTGGCAACACTCAGAACTGAGCTACCCAAACCCATGTTTCTGATAGGGGAGTGACGGATTAGTATAATCCAGAGCTTAATTTGGGTAAACTTAGTTTGCATCTACACAGCAAATCGTCATCTCGTCACTCTATTTCTGGAGCAGCCGATAAATATAGCGGCGCAGGACTAAGTCCTGAAGCGAACATTGGAGAGAGGAAGAAGTAGAGTTAGAAGAGGCAGGCAGTCGCAGCGAGAGCTCTGGGTAGAGTGCCGCTATTTCAGGTGAGAAACATAAGCTACGACCGGCATTCCATCCCGTTGCACTGCCCTCAGAACCTCCGGTCCCCGACTCCTGAGACGCAAGTAACCCCGAGACACAAACTCTCACCGCCAGTCCACCATGTTCCACCGCAGATAACCGCTCCTGCAAGACGGCAAGGGCACCGAATGGGAGGTGGAGGGAAAATCACTCACGAATGTGGAATGTTGGGGATGAGGGCTGTCGATCATGAAGTATTGACGTGAGGGATCGACGAATTTCAGAAAAGTTTTTCGAGGAGGAAATTGAGTGGGCAAGCTGCCAAGATGCACTGCGATTTGCGCACAGTTCGATTGACTGAGAAAGACATTCTGACGAGAGAAATGTCTGTAAGACACTGAGGAAGCTTGAGAAGCATCGGATGTTTGAGCTAGTAGTAATGTTCTCGTTATTCTTCCGATTGGTTTGAGTTTGTACCAGATCAAATCGACGTTCTGAGGGGAGTTTTCCTCGGGAGAACCTTCCTCTCGACAATTTTGGAGTATCGTGCTAGAAGCTGGTAAGCTGCAAGTTCCCGATCACTTGCCTTGACGTTAGCGTGTAGTGTCGATCAGACATAAACGAGGTCGGTGGAAGAGGCATTGGCCTCATTGTTGAAGCTGCGACCCCGTGCCTCTATAAGTAGTAGGGCCTTGCGCATTTTTGCTGTCTCGCAATCCGGGCGTTGGTAGAAATTCAGTGGGACGACTGGTCCTAGCCCGGTTGCAGATGGAGAAATACAAGAGGTGCAAGATCTCTATGCCCGATGGAGGCATGAAGGATTGGCAAGAGCGATTTCGAAGAGGACTCTCAACAGCAGCCAGCCCTGATTCTCAATCCGATAATGGTAAAGAGATCCGTAGGAAAAGTTCCGGAAAGTACCTGCGTAGCGAGTCCATCTTGCTTCACCTCGGCTTGTTCGGGAAGAGGCAGATTTGGATTTAGTCCTTCCTGGGTCCTAGCAGCGTATTGGTGGTGACAATTACCAGTCAGAAGCTGATCAATACCCCCCATAAGAATGGAATCTAAAAGTGTCTCCACGAGGTCAGGAGAAAGACGCAACTCAGTTGTTGCTGAGGACCATTCTTGGCGAATCCGAATTATTGGCAGTAACTCACATGGTGGAAGGGCTGAATTTTCCCATATTTTCTCGGTGTAGTGCCCCCGGAAATTATCAGGGCTGGTAAATACAATCGGTACATCGGACATGACTTTCTTCGGAAGAAATGAATTGGAGAGATCTGATTACTCGCGGCATATGCTCCGATTGGATAAGGAAGATCGTGGAAAATTCACGGAGAAGTTCTGTGCTGCTGCGCCTGATTTGTTCATCAGTCTCCTAAACATTGACCCCAGATTCAAGGAGAAGAGGCATAAAAGCAACCAAGGTTCGATTCTCGATATGAGGCGGTGTTTCTGGATGTCGAGCACTTGTACGTTGAACACAAGTGGGCAGATGTGCAGCTAATTTACGGAGGAAGAGATCTTAATGTTGGTCCAACAGTTGTCGATGGTCTACAAGCCCGGGACGTTTGTATCCGTGCTTCAACTGTCTGGTCTCCTGACAGCCTGGGCCTTAAAAACGTAGATGTGGACTGAAGGCAATCAAGTTGTACGGAGAACGAAGATGTGCTACACAAGTGTTTCCACAACCATTAAACTGAATGTTCACTCCAAAAAGTATTGAAAGGAACGGTACGTAGGAGTTTATATCTAGTTCAATGATCAATCCTTCGTTGGTGGGACCAGCTGCAGATTGGAGTGAAGCAATCTTCACAAGAAACCACTATTTGTCCCGACGAGTCTGTCAAAGATGTTGACTACAACATACTGATGTTTCGAAAGAGGCATGCCTTTTGCAGAGACTTATTTTGCTCGGCCACTGCACGAAGAAATTATGTGCGGATTCGACCGCCTGATCCCTCACCTCGAGCACTTGGACATATTTGGCACGAAGATAACAAGAAGGTGCTCGGAGCCCCCCGTTATGTTGAGGTATTTCCGGTTTCAACAAAGTTCTGTGCCATTTCCTTTGTCGACAAAGTTTCAACATCAGGCGGTTTTGGACGTTAACTTTCGCATGTGGTCTGCACAGATCTCGATAGCATTGAGGTGAAATCCTGCCTTCACTTGTATATTCCTTCCAGTAATCCTTCTGTAATAGCCACCAGTTTGTATCACTGTATATTCTCTACAAGGCTAGATATCTTACGAGTGTCAGAAATGTCAAGGTTGAAGATATCCCCTTGATATCTGTATCCCAGTTTCACTTGGCTGGATGATTCTCAATACTGAGATTAAAGCTTGTAGGTATAACCACAACATCGGTGATGGATTGAGAGGCTCAATTCCCGTCACATTTAATGAACACGGACGCATCTTTCCTCATACTTTTGTCTTTCAGGCACAAATTTTTGCTTGGAATGTTCATCTGTTACAGTCAATGACCACTAGCGGCCTGCTGCCTTTATCTGGCGGATTAAGCCTAGCAGATAAAGGAATGAATAGGAGATAACAGAGGATTTTTGCTCTTCGGTTCTTGCTTATTGGTAACTTGTAAGTGTTGTTTAGCTTCGGTCTCAGAAGTCAAATGTGCTTCGTGGAGCTCTCGTTACATATAAAGTGCACGAGAGCTCACACTTAGGTTAGCCACTAATTCTCTGAATGTCACTAGTAGAATAATACAAAAACTAACTGTTCTTCGGTTAAGAGCAAGCCTTCAAAAGCTGAAATCGAAAAGCTCGAAGAGTTTGAGAAAGCTTGGTTCGGACCTTGAAAAGCTCAAAATATTGATGATTCAATCCTCCCCAACTTGGGAATTCTGGGCAATTTGAAACGAGATGGTGTCACTGCGGAGATTGTGCACTGTCAGAAATTCAGCGAACTTTGCAGGTGTCACTAGCTGAAACGAATGAAGAAGTTGAACTTGACCGGGTTTAAATTCACCAGATTCACTGAATTCATCATCCCATCAGCGATGCAGATTATGGACCTTTCGAGAGACCAAAACTTGAAAGAGCTGCCCGACACTAGAACCAAGTAACTGACTCTGAGATACTGCTCTGGGCTCCAGAATTTGTCAGCCCTCCCTCCCAACGGGTTGCAATATCTTGATCTCGGAGGATGTGTGACGCTCCAAAGAATCGGAGGACGTTCAAACACTTGGACGTGTGAGCCATGCTACGAAGTCATTCCAAGCTTCAGCACATTATTGACAGCTTGGAGGGGAGATTCAGCACAGAACCCGATGGCAAGACAGAAGGAAAGGGAAACTAAACATTAACAAACACGGAAAATTCTTATCAGAGTTAGATCTCATGGCATCCGATTTGACGTGAACACGGAGGTACGAACTGCAACTGTTACATGTTCACGAGTTCAGTGATATTTCAAAGTTGCTCGGAGGAGGTTGAAGGCCAGAGGATCAGAATGGACTTTGTACTGCTGCACTTGGCCGAGAAGAGTAGGGGAGAAGATGTCTTATGAATCGGGATGACCTTGAAGTTCTTGTGTACATTTGTATTTGTCCTTTATAAGACATCTTCAATTGAAGGGTCTAGGAGCAAGCAGAGACAGAAAAAGACAACCCAGGAGGATGTAATAAACCAACGAATGCTGTGTCACGTGGTTTCATAAAAATCGGCTCACAATGACTATTCGACTTGCAAGAGTTATCTTCTACACTACTCACAAATCTTCCTGGACTTGGTGCATTCACATGTGTTTTCCTCAGATATGAGCGTGATACTACACTATATACATAACGTTCTATATTATCCATTGCCAAGTTAGGGCAGCTAGTACAGGAATGAACATGAAATAAATACATGATGTGTTTGTTAGGGCACAGAGTGGTGGATATAACCTTAAAGAAGAGAACGGTGGTATGTATTTAAACTTTAAATACATACTACTAGACTGAGCTACAAGACTTTAAAATTTAAAGTCTTGTAGCTCAACAAGTCAGATCTTTAAGTGACTTGTGGATTGATGTTGAGATTACAGATTCTATTGGTGACATTGGAGACTTTGGTCACCTCTTCCTATTAGGGCGACAAGTGGAGTCTCCAAGCACAAAGAAATGCAATCATGTGAATTATTTGCATCCATAACTTGGGAAATATACATACAATTATGTGCTCCTACTTGGATATATTGAATAGAGCATACAATACTAAGTAATATGGGTAAAATTAGTTTTTGTTTCACTACAGAGCTTAGTTCATGTATCCGAACTCTTAGCATTGGACAAATCACTTTATTGTACATCATTGCAAATGGTCAAAAATCAACCATCCTATGTGATGTTTCTTTGTTTACCTCAATAGCACGCATACGCTTTAATCCATGTAGTTTTGACAGTTCAAATACATGTAAATTAGGTCAAGAAGTATCCGAAGCAAAGTTATGTCACAATTTCAATTTGAGTTTATTATTTTGGCTTCCATTTTTGGATGTTCACAAAACCATATTCCATATAAACTATACTGTACTCTCTTGGTCAAATGACCAAATTTCTTCCCCACTCCATCATTCCTACTTGTTTTGGTGCCTTTTGTTCTACCCTGGTACTTGTGTTTTTTCCACAAAAGAGATTAACGAACATATACGCAAAGAGCACTTTTGATTTCTCTTGAAGTAGTTGATATGTATACATTCCTTGTAAACTTCCAAGATATCTAATTGAAACGTTTTTGACATTTTAAATCCGTTTATATTTATTATAACTACACCCTATATATTTAATTAAACTTTGATAAGCTCATCAAGCTGTATGCGATTCACCTCAAGACTAAATAGCTCTGCTGGATGGCCAATATACACTATGTATGAGACTTTCGACGTGAGTTGTATAGTATGGTGGCATGTTGCATTGTAGCATAACTTGGGCACTGGGCGGTCGACGGAGTGTGATGATTTGGTTCTTAACATGTCTATAACAGAGCGAGTATTCCAGCTGGACGGCTGTGATGGGATGCGCAGAATGCTGGATGTCTTCCCGACGTTTTTAATTTTTCCTTTCTGCACGAGCTTCTTCAGTTCAGGCACTATGATCTCTACTAGAACCTGGCAAGACATCCGGTGCTTGCAAATTTTATTTCTTTCTTCAACTTTGCTTGCAGCAATGGCTTTAGGCTTCTCTTAAAAAAATAAAAATATTTCTCTGATTCATCCAGAGTCATTTTGTTGTATCCTTCCTTTTCCTCCTCTTTCTCAACACCATCCTCCTCAGTGAATGCCACATCAACATGATTCTTTGGGAGGATTAACTACTTCATACTACTCCTGATAAGATTGCTTATTCCAGTCCTGCACAATTGAAGTCTCGATGATGTTGCGCTGTTGCGCTGCTCAAGAGCTGGATTATAAGAAGAAGAGTATTTCGTAGACCATGTAGTTCCAAATCAGTGGGCAGAAAGCGCAAGTGAAGATGACCGGAGAGAGAGTAGATCTCGGGATGAGAAATTCTGCTGTAGGTCTGTCCAGAGGGATCTCGAAGGTCTGCCTTGTGATGACAATTCTCACCTCCTACAAGAGCGCTATAGAGGAGGATAGCTCGCTGGGAAGCAGATTACCTTCATTCGACTAACGAATCGCTAGTGCTTCGAGGAGGGTACTTCTATCTGCAGTGTAGATACAGCTTGTGGTCCAAGTGTCCGCTGAATCAGATCTTTGCACAACGTGATGGTTTCACCTTCCCTGCTTTCGACTCGATGTCCAAATACTCCGATCATCTATTCGTGAGAGAGACTAGAACTGAACCAGGGCATTCGACGTAAAGGTAGTTCATGAAACTTCTGGCGGTAAAAAAGTACTGAGTCTGACGCTCATGCAAGAGTTTACAGGAGAGTTGACAAGATGCTATGTAGACCCAGCTTCGCTTCAAGCTCCCATCCTGACCAATTTATACCTCGACACACTCGAGAGCGAGATCCTAAGGATCACTCCAATCCGTCATGAAGAAATTTGCACATATTTCGTAAGATTGGTAGGTGGATATCCTCTACACGTTGAAATGTTTCCACCGTGATAATAATACGATAGACTGTACTGTACACATGATGTACAATGAGGATCAGAGGGAAAACTCAATGCAAGTGCTCCAGGAGTTGAGCTACAAAACTCCAGTAATTGAAACAGCGCGTGGACCCGATTTCTTCAGATTTGTGGGTTGTCAATCCCCTAGAACTCATTATACTCGTCCATCGGATTGCCAGACTCGATCGGAGCCCACTTTTCTTGACAAAATTCTGCACATGATTTTGAACCACTGATACTAGATTATTTATCCAGATATTCACGTCGTCATTAGTCTCTCGCATGTGCCAGCTTTGAATAAATGGAGGTTGAACTTGTGCTACATCCATATTGGAGCACCAATATTAAACAACTTTCAGGAGCTGGTGGATGGTTTTGAGATGATAACAAATATTGCACTGTCCCAACCAACGATCTTATACCCTACGCGCAGCATTGTCGATGGCAATCGCGTTAGTTAGGCTTCAATATAATAATCTGAATTAGCTTGGAAAGTCGATGATATAAATACTGATGGCTGTAGAAACAACGTCAACATCATGGAATACTTGAAGTTTTGAAAAGATCTGATCCATATGACTGAATAGAACTCATAGATATACCGGGCTGCCATGAGGTGGTGTAGATGACTATGGGCTGCTTTCATTGATTCTACAGGTACTTCTGAGGGTCTGTCTTAAGCCCATACGAAATTTAGAGAAATTTAGCTCGTTACACAAATCACAGTATGACTTGTCCTCTTTCTGGATCTCAGGTTACTGAATACAAATAACTGATCTCCTCATCCCTCTACTGAATCACATATCTGAAGAAACCTACATCTCCATGTTTCTGTCTAGTCAGCAACCCGTGCTCCAAGCATATGATCCAGGTCTGGACAGCAGCTGAGTCTCTACCAAAGCACTGATCGGTGCCACATTTGTCATTAAAAAAGCACCGAAGAAGATGTTCTTTGCCTTCAACAGTGTGAGATAGAACTCTTGCCGTGAATCCATGTGGAGCCTTAAGATTTAAGTAACCGTGAAAACGTAAATTGAATGGAATTTCGATATCCTCAGGATGTTCGTGAGTGCTTTTACTCGATGTGTCTGCTATTGTGCAAACTTCGTGACTGCATTTTGGTCCTCAGCTCGATCATCACCAGAGTTTTAGTTTTGCATTTTCTAATCCCGACCACGAAACGGCTTCCTCAGCGTGCATCTCGTGGGAAAAAATATTCAATCCCACGGACTTCAAAAGGATGTAGCAACCAACATCGCAGCAGTTGTGTGGTTCAATCGAGGACATGAGTCAAGAAACAAGAAGAGTGATCGGAGCATGTACCTATCACGGACAGAGGTCGTCAAACTTCGCACTTAGAACTTGGCATCAAATTTTTAATTCACTAGACTCGGTCAGAGAGAATACCGCAGCTTCTCTCTAGGCCCATCGACCAGAAGCCAGCTAAGTCTTCAGTCGATGTTCCAGAAGTATGATCCTTTGAGTGAATCATAAACTTCACAGGCAGCACTTCACACTCTGGGTCATGTTGAGATGCAACGATGGCCCAGTCTGATCCTGCAAATGTGAATATACCATTAGGTACCACCAGTAGTAGGTCTCGGTAATCTAGCTAGCGAATATATGTGTAAAACTCCCACAACGATAAATGTGGTTCTATATCCTCCCATCAACCTAGCGCTTGACTTGGTGGCAGTGTGATTACTTGATTAGAGCTCCGAATTTCAAGAATTCTTGCTTTGAAGATCAATGAAGCGTATGCGGAGTAGACGCTTACAGAACATTAAGATGCATATCACTTGCATAGGTTGATATCATTGTGGAATTTATATATTGATTCTTGATTTAAAAAAGTTGTTCCGTGAAAAAGTTTTCAAATTTTATTTTTAATTTAATCTGATTCAAAACGTAAGAGGATCTTATTCAAATCAGGTCACAAATGTTTCTCCCAGATGCTCCATAATTCATAAACTCTCGATCAAAAAGTGAGTACGAATTATTTTGCATTATTTGAAACTTATTCTTCCAATCCTAATTTTTTTCGAGAGAATTAGAATTAGAATTCTTGATGGGACCCAATACGTTCTATTCTATACGATGGGACACTTCCGACCGGAGTTCAGTCCACCTTCATCGATGTTCTACTACGAGTTCTTCTTGTAATTGCTTTGAGTCCGGGTTAATAAAATCACTGCGGCGTTTTGTTGACAAGTGACTTCTCTCCGAAGTTCAGTTATTCAATAGTTTTCAATGAAGCACCGTCAGGTACTCAAAGTAGTGATTTCACATACCAAAATGCACTTCGGCCAAGAGTATTATTAAAATAAGAAGAGAAGTGTAAGTAGATAAAGCCCATACATTATAACTATAAAATCATTCTGGGCCGAGAGAAATTCGAGTTTTCACATGATGAAGATTTGGGAATTCTGACTAATTGAACCTGGGGGAGAATTTACATTTTTCATTGAAGTGGAAACAAAGTAATTATGAGAACATAAGTGACAGTGAACTGAAGTGCTGTCAAAGGGGTCCCATTGGGTGAAATGGAACATATTGGACCACATTAAGTAATTTGTTCTATATTTTTCTTACATTATATTAGTTAAATGCTGCAATATGTGTTTCATTTTCCATATACAAACCTTTAAAACCTAGAAAGTTAAGCCACATAAAATATAGGCTATTCCGAAAATAAATGATGGCATCATAGGTTTATAGGGGCCATGAAAGCACTAACCATGACAGCTTCCTGGGTGGTTGGAACAAGGTTTTGGGGACATGACAAATCTCCAGAACTTATATTACGATTCGGCTGTGGAAACCACAAGAGAGTACCTCTATATCATAATACATATCAACAATTGCTTCGATCCACATATACAAACTGGACCCCTAGCAAGAATGCTCAGCTAGCCTCGTAGCCTGCGAGTTCTGAAGTATTTACGACAGATTCACAACTATAATTCGGCGTTTACTTCGTAAACTAAACCGGTAGACAAACTTAAGAATGATCATGTAGCGCGTCCACTTTTCAGTCAGCGCTGTTCACGACCTGCTTAATGTCGCGCACAGCCAAAGGTTCCAATTCCTTGGCGACGGATTCCGCAACGTAGAGTTTCATAATACCCATGACTCCCGTTCGGTCCACAACGTTGCTGTAATTTGATTCCAAGCGCAGCGCTTCCATTGTTCGAATGTTGACGCTTCCAGGCTTGGGATTACAAGGACTCATGCCTACCACAAAGCCTGCTTCGTTGCCTGCTTCGTCTCCCTGTCCGTATATGGGCAGGGACTCGCAAATTTTATCACCAGCCTGGAATGGTTAAACGTCAACAGATCGTCGTGATATCTCGAAATTGACAAACATTTAAACGAGCTGTCTTCACCAATGACTGAAAGCTGGCAATATCTGATCAAGTTGCACTAAGCTTTTACGCCTAATTAACAAATGGTATGAGAAGACCTCATGAAGTCATTCTATATGAATTGAAACCCGTATCAAGGGTCTTGGCCATGTTCTCTATTCCCCTCTGCCTTTGCTATTCCAATCTGGTACGTGGCCTTAGCCGGTCTTGTAACGAGGAAAAACATACCTCGTTGAAGACTCTCCCGCCTAGACCTCCAGAATGTTGGTGAAGAACGGCGAATATGAGATCTCCTCCCATGGGCAGCCCTTCCACAGATTGAAGAGTGTGGATGCACTCCTCATGTGGTGTCCCTTTGGTGCACTTCGTAATATCGTACTCGCCCTGTCATCACAGCGATTGTTCTCGATAAAAGATAATATGTATATTCCACGAACTCTTATTTTCCCGAGATTACAGATTCTGTATGTATATATTTTCAAATTAATGTTACAGTGAAAACGAGAGACATGAAATTGGTGTTAAAAGTCCAGCAAATTACTTGATGGGACCCGGGTGAAACTCAAAACTCAAACCAACAAGTTTCATTTTCCACCATGGACGCCTGCAGCCCCGCCCTTGGTGAAACATTTTACCCGATGGGACCCCATGGACGGCCTGTACCCCCACCATCAGCGATGTTCCAGTACTATTTGGGGTTATTTCGAATACATGTTAATAAATCAAGCCCCAAAGGGTCAAAAGGTTCAAAAACATTTGGAAAAATACACCAAAGGTCAATCCCTAACTAATGCCAAGAGTACTAGAACGGTAGAAACATGAAGTCACGGTTCAGACTCATGGTGGACGTAGTTTTCTTGGACATAGCTGCGAAGGAGTCGCCAAAATATTCTGGTCCCACAGTGGCGAACATTCCCCACTCTATAGAACAAATCAGTAGGTTATAAGAACATTGTTGACCGTGGCCGTTCAGTGGTAAATAGAAACCTGTTGGGTCCCTTCAAGAGTGTTGAGTTTCCAAGGGATCCCATCAAGAAATTTCCTCTGAAAAGTCTAACGATTATCAAGGAATATCCGAAAGCATCGACACATATGTCGCCACACGACTTCATGGAATCAGGACAATTCGAGTATGAGTTATCTGCGACAAACCTTACACTCAGAATCTGTCATAAACTGAAGCACGCGTATCAGTGGCGTCCAGAAAGTATGAGCGGAGTGGCCTCACGGATTCATCGTACTCGACCCAACTGATTGTATAATTCATCTGTGCTCTTCTGGGCTTGGCCTGGACTCCGGGTTTCAGTGCACAGTTTGTCAAATGATAACAACATCTGAGACCACCTTTGTAATCATCAGGCAGTGGATGCCCGTCGACATCTACGGTGACGTTGTACAGGTCGCAAACGCATTCAAAACAGCCCCTGGGGTCCACGACACCTCTCAGATCGATTGAGTGTAAGTTTAAGTACCATGCCTCCTCGTAACCTTCCTCGTACTCTGACATGTCTCCAGTCACAATTCCATACGGAGCAGGAAACGATAATTCTGTATGTCTGCTCTCTGCCCCTGCTGCATATGGGTCATCGCTCAAGGTATCTTCTTCGTCATCACATACCGTCCCTGGACAGGCTGAGCTTCAGGTCTGAAGGATATGCGGTGAAGTTGATTTCGCAGATAGTGGGAAGCGTATTTTCGTGGTAAATGTGGAGCTGCAAGAGGAGCTGAGCTGAGAAGAGACTTGAAGCCTTTCTTCACACCATATTTTTGCAAGAACCAGTGATGTACGTACAGCTGGGACAAGGGAATGGGTTCACCTGTGTCCGCATCAACCATTTCGCAAATGAAGCTGCGAATTGCCAGATGGCCCTCGGGAAACTCCACATTTTGATGAGGATCGAACACGTTGCCCGGTGAAGTCTCGAATACTGGTGAGAAGAAGCTCTTCGTATGTACCTTCTCTCCACATTCCACTTCCAGTATCGCTCCAGCACAGCAACAACTACCGTCCACATCGTAAGATCCGGGATAGAGTAAGTGAGTGAAGGAAAGAGAGAGAGACAGAGAAGAGACAGTCGTCCCGATTCCAGTTCGGCCCATGAGCCCCACAAGCCAATTCTGCTCCTATTATACGAAAGAAGCCCTCAATATTGTTTATGAAATCAGAAAGAAAATTCCTTAAAATATTCATGATACAAGCATATGTCAACTCCGAGTCAAAAGATAGAGGTCTTCACTACAATATGAAATGTAGACTTTTGCATGTAGGTTTTAAACATTGCCATACAGTTGTTGTAAAACGATTGGATAGTAAGGAGTGTATGTAACGCTTCTCTAGATGCTCCGTAAAATATTAGTATCAATCAATCCTAATCCTAATCCTAACTTGATTAGGTAGGTATAATATGACATACCTATGCTTGGAAGTCATATGAATACCTGAAATATATATATCACATTGAAAGGAAAGAAAACGGTTACGATGATGAGGCATTGTCGATGATTCATGATTGACCATTTTATGGTCAAAAAGAGCAGAAGTTATATAATCTTTGATCCGCCGCGACTTAGATAACTTGACATTTTTGAAAATAGGGATCTCGGTAGTATTCTAAGATCTATGCATGGCAGTCTTCACCTCGTGTGCACCTTTTACCTTTTACGCGTCCTGATGTTCCCTATATTTAAACATGTGGGATCAAATTATGTGTTACCACACTTTCTCCAAGCTGAAAAGCGTTGATTTGAATGCACAATGATTATATTGCTTGTTTACTTCGAGCTTTTCCGCTTGTGTCGTTTAAAGGTGTCCTGTATTTGAAGAAATCATGACCGGAAGTCATGTCTTCGGCTTTGGGTTTTGCATTCTATTGTAGAAGGTGGATAGTTCATCAGGTTTGTTCACTTGAGTTTTGTGTTAGCAATTAATTGAGATTCTGATTTATCTCAGATTAACTTGATCCCAATTAGTGAAGTTCGTTAACTTTTCATTATATAAGATAATTCACAAAATTTCTTCATGATACTTTCTAGAGTGTCTAAATCACTCGTAAACATAGTTGGCAGTGGTGAACTACGTATGTACATGTTATTAGTATTTCAAATTAAACTAAAGTTAATCAGGCTAGTTTTGTAGTTAAAAATTAACTTTATCTTCAAAATTTCAAATTAGTCTTATACTAGTTAGGTCAGACCTAGAAATTCTGCTACAATGTATATATAAAGGATCAAGACACAACTAACCTTGTACACTTTGCAATTAAAGAACACTTTCATGAAAGATTTCCATGTTAATGGGTATGTAATAGACAAGGACAAACCACTTTTTTTTTTAGGCGTTAATCTTTATGTTTGAGATGATTGTGGACTCGTGTGTTTCCTTTAGCAGTTCTATGTTGTTAACATTAGCCGAGAATTATAAACACGCAATAGGAGACACCAAGGTATAAAATGATTCATCGTAAAGGGTAACATCCACAGGAAGTGCATGCGTGAGAAGTTACTGGATGTTCTAAGTAATATACAAACTCTAAAATTTAAATGTCCTAGCACTTGTAAATTTTCTAATTATTTTTAGCTAAGAACTAAGATTATTTTTTAACGAGAATTAACCACAACAATCTCCAAGTATTAATCATTGTAACTTTTATTATTATTTCGTGAAAATTTCTAGATAAAAATTTAATTCACTTTTTACATAAAAATTAATTAAAATTAAATCATAAATATAACAGAATAGAATATAACATGAAAAATTTATTAATATATATATGTAACAAAAACTTTAATAAACTATATAATTATTTTGCAAAAAATTTTAATAATTTCATTAAAAATCAACTATAACTAATCTATATTAATCATATAATATTATATGTATATAGAAATATAATTTAAAATATTACACTATTACCTCTATTTATACTAAAGTCTCCACTTGACACATATACTACTCTTCTCACGTAAACTGCCCACTGGTTGCCCGTGCTTACTTGGCATGTCCGAGGTACCTCTTTATGGTGTTCAGAAGGTGTTTCAAGACCTTTTGAACAGGTCTTGAAACAGGGCGATTGAAAGGCGATTGTTACTTCCTTCCACATGTCGTAGTTTATCCACGAATCTGTTAGGCCAAGGAACATAGTACTGCAGATCCGTGCCATGTACACGTCTTCAGATGTAGAACGGAGCTGAAGCCGTCCTACCAACGGTTGAGCTCCATCAGATTCCCGAAATTGAGAGCTGATCGATCAAGAGCCATGTCATTCAAATGGCAAGTTGCCTGTAGATACTACTTTTTCAGTGAGCATCAAAAGACCCAATTGTGGGCGTAGACTGTATGCAATTTGTGCCTCACGGTGGAAACGAGGGAAGAAAGAGTATGACGTGCAGAGAAAAATGTGGAATATTGCTTTCATCGATAGTCCATGAGTAGCAACAGAGTCCATACGGAACGACAAGCTTCACTGTTGAGTTGGAGTAGGTGCCAATGAAGTTGAACCAGACTTCTAGTTTAACATTCCAAATCTTACAACTAGAAGGAATGGACCGAATTTAGCCTCAACCGGAAGTCCAAAATGGCCCTAAGGCACAAGCAAACGACGCAAATAGCACAAAACAGAGCGTACACATTTCATGTGCCGAGAGGTAGCACAAGACATGGCCTGAGTGAGTTTTGATAAGCTTCTCAAATTCTGAAAAAAATTAGACATTAAACGAGATGGAGCAGGTCAGAATTGTAATCTAATGCTGTCATGAAATGTACAATGGAAAATATAGTGATCTCCGCAGTCTGATACTACTAACGAGCAATGTGACCAAATCTATCCTTCTTCTCTGGCTTGAAGAATTTACAACCCACTGAAATCTGCAAGTTATGAAAATTCGTTCACTATCTAGCCAACTGAAAACCATGTTTGGTAGACAAGCACGCTGCTTGCTAAGTACTTATGATGGATCGATACCTTTCTGTCGGACTCCCGTCACTACTTCCCGTGAGTGCTGCAATGTGCCATCTTTGCCGAAGTAGATAGCCCGTTTTCTCACTGTGATAGTGATCATGTTTCTGAGAAACCTGCTTTACTTGAAGCTTGAGAATCCCGACGTCATTGTCTCCTTTCTGCATCCACCTTTTGGTAGTTCGAAAACAAGTATCATGTAGTTAGAGATGGCCGCCTTGGTGGTGATGTAGGCAGCTGGAGACAATAGATCTGATTGTTGAGCCACCAAATCCTATTGACGCTTGATGTACAGAATCGGCTTCTTGAATGCATAATACTGGAGGGACATAATTCCACATTCTGCACCTAAGTATTCCAGAGGGATAGACTCTTGCACTCCCGAAGCCTTCAGTCGCAACTCCTTTGGATAGTGGTCCATGGTGGAAGGCCATATAGCAGCGTAAGATTCTTCGCTTTAATAGGGGACTGTAGGACAATCTATATTGTCAAAAAAAAATATGATACTGGAATTGACTGGAGTACAAGTATTCAACGTTTGCAGATGATTTGCTGCTTTGTTTTGAACTCTTATTTAATGACACTTTTGAAGCCTTTTAATTTCTTCTTCTCACTAGATACAGTTTCATGAGTGCATTGTCAATTAATGTGTATCTTTGATGAAGATTATCAAATATCAGACTTAAATGATTTAATAAAAACTTGTTTAACATTTTACATATAAGTATCATATGTCTCAATTATTTTTTATTTGAGCGCCACAATCTTTATGTAACAATGATGTTCAAAATACATATATGTGATATTGTCTACAGTGGCCAATTATAACTTAGATTCAAAAATTTTAGAATTATCAAAAAAGAAACTTGATTTTTTTGGAAAAAAATCTTCAAAAAATAAAAAAATAATAATTCAAAAATTCAAAATCTATTGAAATATATCAAATTATTGATTCTAATATTTTTTGTAAAGTTAAAGCTGATATTGATAGTAAATAATACTTATCAGACATAATTTTTTCTTCATATATTATATATTTAATAATAATAAGATATGAAAATTCTAATTAAAATTTTTAATTTAATATTTATTTAAAAAATTAATTTTACAACAATTGTTTGTTTTTTAGTATTCAAATCACATAAAAAAAATCTCATGAAATAATTGTTTATAATAAACTTGGAAATTAAATATTTTCTCTTTTCATACAACAAATGTCAATATATTTTAATTTTGATTTGCTGTATGTTTGAATCTTTACATTTTGGTATAAAAAAATCTATAAGCACAATAATTCAGTTCATTCATATCCTAATTTCAGTATTTTAAAAATTTATTTATAAATCATATTTTTATTATTTATGGAAATAAAATGAAATAAAATATTTATTGATTATTTTTTCATGTGTTTATATATACTATTAGAATTTTATTTTAAGTATTTTATATGTAATTATCTTAGTACAATTTCTTAATTGTTGAAAGACCCTTTCATCCAGATCGACCAACACGCACGACAGTCACAACACCAAGATAACGTGGTTCACCTTTCACAGGCTACGTTCACGGGCAAGAACAGAACTTCATTAAAGCTCGGATGATTACACGGCCTCCATAGCCAAGCGCTACTCCAACCTATTCATTCTCTCGATGCTATCATGAACTGTACGCAGAGAGAGTCACCTTCTCTCTTTTATACGAGAAGAGATAAGGTGCACATAATACTTAACCTAACCTAACCACAGTTAAATTCCTACACATGGTTACCACTAACTAGAGTTAATCCAAGATAGAGTTAACCTAACAATTGTTTCTTCATTAAAGTAAATTCCTACCGTATCCAGTTCACCTTCATGTTGTCTATTTGGAAATTAGTTGCTGATGGTGAAATGAATGGGGATTTGAAAATATTTGGATAAGACCTTATATGTATAGGAAATAATTCAGTGCATGAATAGAATAAGATGTACGAAGACCAGATATCAACATTAATCTTGAACAACTTTCGACACTTTGTGTTACAATTTGTTGCAATCTACAAAGCAGGTAGGCAAAAAACAATAGTTTGCAATCTTCTTTTCTAACTTTGATATGCATTTCTTTGATGCTAATTATACCAGTAAATAAATAAAAATAAAAATCAATCATAATATTAGCTTGGGCACAAGCTTTGAATTTATTTTTTGCTTCTATTACAGTTTCAAGTGATGAACCAAAATATTTTTCTTGTCGTATATTCATACCTCACCAAGAATAAATTTTGAATGAAATTTTTGTTCAAAAATAAAATATTCACTTATTTCTTAAGAACTTAGAGAAATTATGGAGCTATTATTTGAGCTATGATAGGTCATATTACCAGAATTTCAACTCTTTCAAATGAAACAAGCAAGCAATTTTTTTATAGTAAGAATATAATCAATTTTCACAAAAAATACTATTATACAAAATTCCAAATTTCATGAAGAAATTTTACTTAAATAGCACACTTTGTGAAAAAATATGTTGAAAGGCAATCTATCTTCGAAAATGAAATCTTATATTATAATAAGATATATTAGAAGATAATTTCATCTAATCTACAAAATTCAAATCAATGTGTTAAATTTACTTGATTCAAAAATATTGTTATCTTATAAAAATATTTTGCTTGTCACAAAGAGTATGATATTCAGATAATAAACATATGAATCAACGCAAATAATATATATTATTGATTTAATATAGAATCACAATAAAGAAGTCACTTCAAGATTTATTTTATTGTTTTATATCAATATCATATTTAAAAAACATCCATTTGATAATTCTTTGATAGAAATATTCACTTCACAAATTAATAGTATTGTATTGTGTCGTGTTAGTAAAATGATTTTTTGGAGAATGAA